TTACGAATAAATGCAATGTAATAGTTGAGGACAGTGCCTACGTCTGGGGGCGTAACTCCGACGATTTAGGAAATCGCCACGCTTATAAAACTAAGAAGTGAGTGAGCAAAATGTATAGCCTTGGCTCGTAGTTACTTAGTTGTAAAGGGTAGGTATGTAACTCTTAATTAGCTGTAAACAGTATTTTAATTCATATACATAAACACTTTTTATTTTTGACTATTAAGGGCATACTATGACTGAAGCATTTAAATTATGTTTTAACGCCTCATTACGCCCTCGATAAGTAGAGTACAATTTCAGGAATGTATGTTCAAAAGGTAATTTAATTAATGAACTAACACACCTGTATTGCGGGTCGCGTCTTTGTTTCAATTGCGTTTTCTAAGCGGTTTTAATTCGCTCGTCTATCAGTTCAGTCCCGACATGCATCGCGACTCATTACTCCACTAATGGAGGCTTTAATGAACCAATCTAACAGATTGCCCTCGAATCTCCTACTTAGAATGTTGATTTGAAAGCTCTGACGCGTCACGTATCTTTTTCTTAATTTAATTACACATTTACATTAGCTTAATTAGATTATCTTTTTGAATATATTATTACTACAAAATCCTTACTTGTACTATATGTGCGCTGTAGCTTGGTGAGGGTGACAGTTACTGAATTTTTCTTTCAATTTGATTTTATTTGTAGACTAGAACATTCTGGCTGCGTTTAATATTTTACGAATGTGGTACAGCTGAAATACTACGTCATAATTTGTAAATCGCGGCAACTTTCAAGACTGAAACGAAAAATTAAGCAACTGTCTCGCACCATGTTACAGCGTACATACTATAGGGCAGTCGAAATGTATAAATAATTGACCACTGTCAAGATATTTTTTTTTTATCTTGTTGAAGATAATAAAGTCTTTTAGGATATAACTTAGTTCCCACTGCTTAAAGAGTAACATTTTCAGATCATAAAAACAGCAAGTGTTCGTTAAAAAATAGTATAATAAAACATGTGCGCAAATATTGATTATAATCAACTCCGACATAAAGTTGCTCCGGCAGTGATATTAAATTAAAACTTGCTTAATTAATGTAGCTCAATACGCTTAATGATCCGCATAATACAGCGGCAAATTAAATTTGTTCGCCAGTTGACACGCGGCTACTAATAATCGCTAAGGTTAAAGCGTGACTTGCGAACTTGTTCAAGAACTCCAATTTGCGTTTGAGCGACTAGAAGTTATATTAAAAGGTCTACAGTAATTTTCTTGACAAACACAATGAATAAGGAATGCGTGTACCTATATAAAATTCGGAGATCGGGAGAGGCTCCGTGCATTCCGCTTCCACTGTTTGTCTAGCTTAATTCTGTGTGTTTTTGCTAATTGTGTCACGTATGCTCCACACATGCTCATTATAACGGATTTGAAATCGTAAGGAAACTCTTTTCCGAATTTAATCAACCCGATTTGAACATAAGGCGCAAGATTTATGATCGACACAAATCGAATTCGCTAACAAACAATATCGTATTCGAGGCGAGGTAGGATACGATACGAGTATATCAATATTGCAGGCGCTATTAATACGTCCGTCTCATGAGCTGAGGGGGGAGAACCTCCCTCCCGCCCGCACTCGCCGCTCTTAATTGAATGAGGAGCGGGAATTGTTTCCCAAAATGAAACAATTAATTGTGCAACGGCTATTCCGCCTTACATGGATAATACGTTCGTTTATGGCCTCCTAACGCGGCTGCGCGTCCTTTATTGGACCGACTCTAGGAATTTGTGTTCATTGGCGCTCGTATCCAAAATTTAATCGGAAATTTATAAGATGCGGTCTCGTTTGGAGAAAATTGCAGCTGATGCCTATTTAAAAGACTTGTAACGCGGCACTCGAAATCCTTTCAGTTTGAATTGCGTTTAAAATTTTCATGGTCAGATGAATATATATAATGCGGTTTTCCGTGGAAATTCAACACGCGAACATGTAGCGCATTCAACTTGAAGACGCATCGTAAACTTTACGCCTCGCTACGAGAGCCCCTCAAAACTTTTCATATTCTCCGACCGTAAAACCAACCAAAAAATACGAGCAGCCAAAAACATTGTAAACGTTCGCCGGTTATCGGCACAACCAGCTATTACCCTGAAATTAGTTTTAAAATATTGTCTTAACGATACTCGTTGCACCGGCATTTTGTATTTTAAAACATGCTTACTTAGTTTGGCTTCAAATTAACATTCATTGTCTGTTCTATTTAAACTTACCCTAGTTAAAGACCCGAATAGGATTATGATTAATCTTAGGTATATAAAGATTTTAAGTAAGCAATAAGTTCAATAGTTTAACAAAAGCGAAACAACAAGCTAAGTTAGGAGATATTTTATCTAGACGGGAGTTATGTAACCTAACATTAGTTAAGTTACATATATATATATATATATATATATATTTAAGTAATAATTAGAAGCGCACACTTGAAGCCAAAATGAGCCCTTTAGTTTTTCCCACACTCATAATGTCCGATAATGTCCAATCCGTCGACTACACTTATATTCTTTATTGGTAACATAAGTATCACTTAGATTTAAGAACTCTTCAATTAGTTAGTTTTATGTTAGTCTAGCGTCGCAACGCCACTACCCCTAATTTTATTTTAGTTATAAGCTCAAATTTTAAACAATTAAAGGCAGTTGACACCCAGCTTTAAACAAAGAGTTTGAACACCACTACAACAACCACCACCGCACTTATATTTTTATTTGTATTCATTTTACACACATTTATTTTCATAACATTATCATTAATTATGAACTAAAACAGTGATGAAATTTCAAAGAGAATTAGACCTTTAAAAGAACATAGGCAAACGAAGTAGCGCAGCTAGTTTGCTCAATTATCCGAGAATGAATCTAAGTCATTACTTAGCTGAGCGAGAGGAATGGGACGGGGTGCAGTGGAAATTGCATAGGGTGGGACAACATTCATTTCTGGTGCAGACAACTGCATATATGATTGTGTTACTGTATCGTTATACCATTAGCTTGCGAAGTTGAGAACGCTTCAGATGTAATAAACATCCAATTTGTAATTACAACTTGCTAACTAAGTTGGTATTTCAATTGTGAGGTCTTTACACGGACTCCTGAACCTGTGAGCATTCGTTAGAATAATTTGTTAAAACACGAATGTGTTAAAAACAAAAATATAATACATATATTCAGGCTTTAATATATCTTAGATATACCCTTTAATTTATTTAACAAATATGTGTCCAAAAATAATAGAAACCAAAGCAAGTGATTGAAATCTGAAAATATTTTATGACTTCTTTATTTATGATAATTCACATGAATTGAACTATTTATAATTTTTTTCTTATTATTTATAGTTTGTTATAAAAAGGTTTAGGTTTTATGTTTCCTTGTTTTGTTTATATTATGTTTTAGTTTCATTTTTATATTAATAAGTTTTCTATTGTATTAGTTTTATTCTGTAATAATACAATTTTCATTAAAGCTTGTATGGCGTAAATGTATTGAAAAACTTTGTAAAGACCTTAGCGCGATTAAGAACCTATTTTAAAGACTAAAGTGTTGTGTAAAAAGCTAATTCAAAAATGCCGAGTACGCGTATCACTTCTTAACGCATATTAAGCAAGCACTTAAGTATTCACTAATAGCTTATTGCGAGGAAAAAGATATCGCGCGGCGGGCTCAATCACAGGAAGTGCGCCATCTCATCGCGGAAGTGGTTTCTCTTGTCGTCTCACTCTCACATGCCTCTGTTTTGTAAACTCGCACGTTAATGGACGTATACGATGCGTCCCGATTGAATGCATTTCGCAATGGAAACGGGCCGCGTCGAATTCAATCTTCTGAGCATTATGGAGCGTCACTGGATTGCTGATGTTTTTAATCAAAATATTGAGTAACGGAGCGCAGGGTTTATTGAATTATTCTTTAGTCTATTCGGAGTATTGACGTAAAATTTGTTCGTAATTTCGAGTTTACAAATGTACTTTATCTTAAATTTTACAATTAGCTAAGATCTACAACTGTTACCTTAAAAATAGATTTAAAAAAACCCGATTGATTCTGATAAAACAAAATTTAATAGGTAGGTAGTACCTGCTGTAATCTCGCAGTAAGATCTTTTGATTCATCTTGCAACAGGTCTACATCCCGTGTCAAAAACTATGTCAGAAAGTCATCAAACCGAAAGTGAAACTATAAGGCTTAATCCGCGGCGCAGAGGAGGGCGCTCGATTAAAATGAATCACAACGGTGCTAATTGGGCCTGCCTGGCCGCTAGCTCATCCAATTAGCCGCGACTTAGAAACCCCAGGCCGCAAGCCACCCTGTAATCTACCCAGACCACCCCACCGATATGAACTGATGGAATGTTTCATTCACGTGCTTATGACGCCAGCACTGCTTGCTGTTTGATATGGCCTAAACCAATTAGGCACAAAGTACTCTACATTTATGAAACACGACTTTTTAACAACGTCTAAACGTCAACTGCGATCAAATTAAAATCACTACACCGTCCTATCTTAGAAGAGTTTGTTTGGAAAATAATAGCGCAGTTGTTTAGACAAGCGATAACGACTCGCGTAGAGACTTCACAGCGCCTTTAATGACATCGAGGGCAGTAGGCTTCGCGTGCGCAGTTCTTGTTATATCTTTATTACAAAGGAGTGCCTCATTAATTTGGCAGCCCTTCAAAGTTGAGAGTTGCGAACCCTTGACCTCGTTCACGAGAGCGATACTGAACCGTTTCGAATTGAAACGCACCTTGCGATACATAATTAACGATCCTCATTACTGCGTAACAAATACTCTTCCTCTCGGCTCTCCACAATAACGCTCTCGGCTTCAAACGAAAAGAACATAAACGTCCAAGTTAGATCATTCCAGTAGAACACATAATTTCTTGACTCATTCTAGCTAGACAGTTTCTATTATCCTTAATAGTGGTCGTAAGAGTTTTAAAATGGTTTGGATACGAAACTTGTTCCGCTCAGGAAGTGTTTCCAGGGCAGAAGGAACGGTTTGCGGAAGTTCGATATTGAATGTCGCATTTTATTGGGTAAATTCGATAATCACGGTCCGCGGCGGAAGAGAAATGTGCATTGGATTGCCGGTAATAGAAAAGTTGTGTCATCGAGACGTATACTTTTGCGATTTACTTTGGAGAGCATGTAAAGAGGCTAATGAACACGTCGGACCGTGTCCGCGGACTCGTGCATTTTTAATGGCTCACGCTAGCACACTCACTATTAATATTTACCGAACACGTCAAGAGGGTGCACTTTACCTTTTAGTTAACTAGCGTCCGGCCGTTCATTAAATTTTCACGCGCGTCAGTTTCGGCCGAATTTTCCGCGGCGCTGACCGCCCGCCCGATAACGAGCGGGCATCGTTACCGCGTCTCGCCCTGCCTGCTCACCGCTGGCACCACACAAAACCGATCCCAATTTTATTAATAATAAACTGTTACTCAGACTGGGCTTTGATGTAAAACCTTAACCTTGCAGCCTCCAAATATGAATATACAAAGTATTATCCTATATTTTCGATACTAAAGGGCCGTAAGCAAAGCTCTGAATAATAATAGTAGGTACATAAATGTATTAGTTTTTTGTAGGAATCCTCGAAATGCATTTCGTTTAAAGCATAGACAATGTGTGGATAATATGTGTAAAAAAATAACGGTTGACGTAATCACCAAATAAGAAAATCAAAGACCCCCTCCTCCCACTAGCTTACGTAATACTTGAACGGCTATATGTACGATACTACTAGTAATATATTCACTACTTATAAATAACTTTAAAAATATTTCATGCAGCTAGACAAGGAGACATATCAATGAAACGATTAGCATGCACCTGAAACTGAAGACGAGCGATGATTAATGCGTGGAGTTGTATCGCATCGCGTGCATGCCCAGCATGAATAAGGAATGAACGCGGGCGCACGCGACGCGACAAACGGCCAAATCGCACGCTAACGCCGCCCGCCCTACGCCGCCCTAATTTATTACTCCACCCTGTATTATCACTCGCCTATCTCTCTATACCATATCTGCGAATGTACTGTATTTTCTTCACTAATTCGTAATTGCACGAAAGGTAAAACGAGTAAATGATATCGCACAATCTAAAATTAGTGCATAAATAATACAACAGGTTAAGATAGTAAATATATTTTCGAAGACAAATGACAATCATTTGGCACAGTAAACAATGTGAACCACATTTATATCAATTAATTATTCAAATATTTAAACGTTCAATAACAGGCGATTGTTTGCTAACATCTATGAGCTTAGGACTATTAAATTATTTGGCTGTGTTCAATGTATCTAAATGTGGGTATTGTCTCGCGACGTTCCGCACTCGGAACCTCCAATATAAACAGTTTTGTTAGTCCCTTACGTTTATCTCTATCAAGAGGTGTGCACACTGTTTCAAATTTTGTTTAAAACCTTTCAAAGCACGTAATTGACCGATGTTCAGTTACTTGGCTTGCTCACTTAACAAGGCACTGAGGTTCTAAAAAAAACATTCAAAAGTAAATTTTGTTGTCCCTCTTATAATGAGTACATTGCGATGATAAAGATACTAATAAAAATACTATCTTAACAAAAATCCTAAATAAATTGTCTCAGTAAGTTTTTATACCAGTGGATCATCAAAAGTGAACAATAATATCAGTAGCTTTAACTTTATAATTAAATTTTCCAAATTTAAAAGAAAACATCTAATTCCTCCAATATTTCTGAGTTGCAAAGCTTTGAGCACTATGTATAGTCCCTCTTATTTCAGGGATGCGTCGGGCATGTTTGTCGAACTAGTTAATGGAATGCCGATGGGCTGTAGACCATTGTACGCGTCCAACCACTTTCTATTCAATATCTACATTAAGCTGAACGCATTGATTGCCACATACCAAAACCTTAAGCCTTCATTGGCTTCGCAAACAAACGATATTTGAGATACGATCATTATTCTAATACAAATGGTTACAAACCTTACCAAATTGACGGTTGATGAGCAAATCCTTCCAGACATCCAGGCAATAATTGGTAATAAAGCATACACAAAAAAATACAAGTCGAGGTGTTTTGGGTTTTTTTGAAGTCGCCAAAAACATCACTGTTTTACGAGATAAACAAAAGAACATTTGCGATGTATTGTTTTAATACTGTTAACAGTATTTTTTCAAGTATTAACAGAAATGAAGGCCCAGGTAAAATTAATAGGTACAATTTATTTTATGTTACTAACTCAGTAATCAGTAGAAGCAATTAACAAAGTTTGTAGTGGTCAGGTCCCGGCCTCTACGGTCTTGAATCTTGCATAATGATCGAAATTCGACTCCTCCACTGACCAAGATACGTTTCGACGTTACCTACACGTAGTAGCTCTCCCAATAATCATTCTGGAAATTTCCTAAAATTCTATACAATTTAAGCTGAAAACGTGGTAGTATATAAATTATTCGTGTGTTAATTTTTTTATAGATATTATCTGCCACAATGAATCAAAAAGGCCGGATATTATTATAAAAGAAAATAAATTAGTACCATGGCAACGTAAAAAGCGGCATATTTTTTGTAATATTTAAAAATTACCTGAGTCATGAGTACCTACCTTAAACTTTCTTTAAAATTTCACTGCCAGATTTACGATTTTACTTCCAAATATGAAGATGTGTAGTTAACGTTGCTCCTAAAAGCGGCGTGGGCCATTAAGATTTTTTACAATATTTGTTATAAACAAAATACTACGACTACGATAAGGTAGTGTGTTGGCTCCAGAACATAAACCATTTTTTATTCTATCTAGTCTGTGGATTAAACAAATTGTTGTTTAATAATAGGAATGATCATTTGGAACATTGCTATTAACTCGAGTTTGCAACAAATAAGAGCATTTCTAATATTAAAGCGAAACATTTATAAATATTTCAAATTAGAATAATGATTAAACTCACTGAATACCAGCATTATTTAAATTCAGAACGTCGTTCTATTAAGAACACTGTACATCAAAATGACTATTCAGAACAATCCTAACTATAAAGAATGTCTTACCCAATTATACCTGTACAAGACGCCCGAGGGTCTTCTTAACTAATTAAATTAAGCGTGTAATGAAATGGTTTACCTCTGGGTAAGCTGTATTGATGTAGGGGCCGCGTCTAGACCAGAGATAATTAATAAATAGGCTCGAGAATAAATGAAATGAACAATCGTGACTTCCATTAATAGTTTAAATCCCTCGCTTTGTTTATTGTGAGTAGATTATAATTTTGAAGTGAAATTTTTCATTTATAATTAATTTACCGTTGTAGCAACGTATTAACGTAATTATTCCATAATTTCTCCAGTTATAAAAATGTTTGTACAAATATTAGTAAGAAAATAAATTTGTGTTTAACAGATAAGATATGGGATAATACTAGCGTAAAAGCGACTACAGAATTCAACCGCACAATGCTTGTCTAATTGATAAATCATGTAAAATACTCAAATTCCAAACACAAACAGATAATTTCCATGGAAAGCTTGTACTGTCTGTTCCCACAGAGAATAGCACATACGCCCGGCTAAGTTTCAATGGCGTCCGTATTAGTTTGAAACCTAATTGTTACGCGAGCCCGCGGCAACCGGGGCCGCGCGGGCGCACGAAACGCTCGCCCACGAATACTATGCATGTTTAATTAACGCCATTTCTAATTCATAATCCGACAGTGATAAATTAAAGCCCGTCCACCCGTAATTAGGTACGCAATTACGGCCCGTTTGAATTCATTATTGCCGAAAGTACTAGGTAAGCGTGATTTATTACTGTGTCTCAGCGTAATTAATATCGCGTTACACGTGCGTTATCGACCCGCGTCGCCCACAGTATCAATCAAATGCCAACTGCTTCCTGCGGACTTGAGCTGTTATAATTAATCAGCTACGAGATCCTCATATTGTTCGCCGGTATTATTAGACAATAAGCGTTCACCGCGGCCGCGCGGACGTAATTGGAAACTCTATACGGCTATTTAATTTACCTAGCGGGCCGCGCCACCTGGCTCGATGGCGAAACAATTGCCGAGCGCCTAATTATATTTTAATCGCAACATGACCCCCGCCCTACGTAGACGGGCGGCCGCGGCGAGCGGGGGACTGCACCACTAATTCATTTGTGCGGCGAAACTCGGGACGAGCCGCCCGTAGCGATTGTTTATTCTCATAGGAGAGTTTAGGTCTCCTAAAGCAATAGCAACACTTAAACATATTAACCACGTTTACGGGAACAGTTAATTATACTCTATACGCAGCGCAGACACAATAACACCGGTTTAATTAAGTTGTACATATTTGTCTGAGTCGCTTTGATGAGAAAGTTCTGGCCGCTCGCTCTTTTTAATAATGAGCATGTCATATCCTCACGATTACTCTCGTAAGTCGTATTTTACGTAGGTAATATTACTTGCACTAACTTGCCCGGAGTTCATCAAGTGCAATAAATATTAAAGTTACAATATCATTGTTAGAACACTCGCTATACGCGCAGCTGTTTCCGCGAACTATTGCCAATTGTGTGGGGACCTTTGTTCGCAACATCAACTATGAAAATGTTATAATAGCCTATTGAGCCCATAAATTGTTAGGAATCCTTTTGCTTCCACAAAAAACTTTTAGTTCGCAATGTACAGGCTAATTGAAAAAGCATCTTATGAGCAGAAGAAGTTTGCATAGATCTATGTCAAATTTTCATTATACGTTTCGTTTACACGAGTAGGGGTGTGGAGACAATTTTGGCGATGCAGATGTGGCAGTAAACTGCTCGTGCGCGTACCACATTAGCTTGAAAGCCTTAAGAACGGGAGAAGAAACTGCGCATTGGCCATTAGCGTGATTAGAGGACCCGAAGCCACTCGCGAATTCTTTAGGCCTCCTCATCTCATAATACCCACCTACATATTTCATTATTTATGTAACCTCTGTTTTACTTCAATCTACTCTCCCGGAGATTGCGTTCACAATATACATAAATATGATCTTTGACTTGCCAAATTGCGCTTCTAAATTATAATGGTACACTTTGTTAGATTATATTGTCTTATTTTTGGTGAAACAGTTTTGTTATAACCATACTTTCGAACGCGATCTAATGAATGATTTAATTTATTTCAGATGATGGCCTGCTCATATTTAAGTGCAACGAGTTTTAAGCCTGAACCCTCGGCAAGTTCCTGGACGCCCCCGCGTGGAGAGCCAGGCCAGAGTGCCTTCAGACTTGAACCAGAAACGGACATGGAGCCAGCCCTCGACCTTACAACATCGTTGAAGCCCAAGCCACCCATCGATGACTCCGAGTGACAGTGTTGTGCAAAGACAATTGAACTTCAGTCGAAAGAAACCTGCGGTGTCGACTTAATTTAATCATAATTCAACAGTCTTCGTGTGAATGCTACTATGATTTCAGCAGCATTCACAAATGTTGAATATGGCGGTTGTACTGGTATTTAATTTTGGTTGTGAAATTGCAATTTATGTAAAATTTAATCTGCTATCATTCGATTCTCCTAACTTGTAAGATGTGTTTAACACGAGCGTGTTGTTTCTATTTAAAGTGATAATGTATCGAAACTGCATATCTTAATAATATCTGATCATGGAAATTGTAATATACCTAATATGTAATCGGTTAAGACGCTTGTACTTTTTCAATTTTATCCAATTTTATATTCCATTATCGAACAAGGGCAACTTAAGTATTTCGGAGTATTGATTATTTTAGGAACTTACGTACATTTGGGGACGTGTTACATCATGTTAACTCGTTTTAAGTTTACACATACATTTAAGGAGTACACTTTTTTCAGTGTCTCAAAACAGTGATGTACCCCAATCTAATTAAATAAATGTTTATTGAAAGTCGTTCGTTTCGTTACAAAATACCAATGAAAGAGTTATTTTATACATATTTTGATTGCCTATATGTAATTCTTGCCAGTGGGTTAAAATTCTCAACGCAACTCTGTGATTTTCAATCTTTGTAAATATTTCTCGAATATTGTTATTTCGTTTTTAATTGACGAGCTGTTACTTTAACTTCGAGCCTGTAACAATTTGTACATAATAGTATACATTTTAGTTGTAAGTAGACACATCTTGTACCTTTTAAGAAGCAAAGTAGCAATAATTACGATGCCAACATCATGAATTGACGAGTTACTATGTATATATTACAATATTAACGTGTTGATAAAATCAAATTTTAAAATATTTACAATATGTAAGTAATATTAAACGCTAACATTCCTTAGGTTCATAATTTCAACAGTTATATTAATCATATTGAAAATACTGTTTACTACTTGAAAAAAAAACAAGGATTTTCCATAAATGTCTATGATATTTTTCTGAAGTTCAAATGTAGAAATGTATAATTTTCAGAAACAGATTAAAAATCACTAAATATTTTTAATCTGTAATAGTCGTAGCTTCATTTGTTTAAAGTAGGTGTTTACATGTCTAATGTTAGCGTTTATTCTTGCCATTTATTTGAATTCAACTTGATGGTCTCTCAAGTATCTTATAACATTAAGCAAATACACGTAGAATTGCGGTGTTACCAGTTTAACAGAAACTTTCATCTAGCCTAAGTATGGCGACAGGAGAAATTAAATTTTGTAAATTAATATGTTGTTTTAATTGCTTACCTAAACTAGTGCCTTTTACTACAAATTGCGAAAATCAGTTACTAACGTAAGATGAGTCAGAGTATGCTGTATAATCAAAATATAAAAAGACTATCCATACCCTATTGAGGAAGTAGAACAAAATTATATTGGATATAATTCTGAAATCGGTTTTGATTAGATATTATGATGGTCTTATAAAGGCTAATACAAGTTCTTTTAATAACAGAAACACACCAAAGTATTTTAATAAATTAAGACCAGTCGTAATTAAGGAAGCAGAAAATAGATGACGAATAGAAAATTAAGGCTTGGATTCTGCTTTGAACCCTAATCTCAAAATATAAAGCTACTGTCTCTACAGACTGGAGGAAAGTTGTTGTTTTGTTTTGTTTAGTCTCATGACACCGAAAACTTTATTAATATTTACAAAAAATATATATAATACCAGTTGTGTTTTGCCAATTCAAAGCTTTTTTTCTCAGAAATATTTTTCATATACTTATGACAAGTTCCATATTGTCATTCAAATCCAATCAGCTTCTATAAAACATGTATAATAAATCTTATTCATACTTCGTTTCCAGTTACGGTAAAAAACGCCTATTCAATTATTATTAGCAGAATTACCAACAGACATTACAGTCTTAAACATTTATTACCGTCTTATTTATGTTTATTGTTCGCTAAAGAACTTAATAAAGCCATAAATAAACCGTAAAAGGCAGAATGAAAATAATTTTAGCATTTAGCGTGTTCCGATACAGAAACGTCGCAAGGACATACCTTTTTGGCAAATGAGGTTGAATCTCTTAAAAAAATTACAAGAATTTAATTTTATTGAAATGTAATGCGACAGCAGTGAGCTGAGAAAAACTGTATTGAATTAAAAAGTAAGAAACCAGATGGCCAGCGCTGTTTAACATTGCAAATTGAATGGTTATGTAAACAAGCCCCAAAGAAGCCTTTTTAACTGGTGTCATGGCGAAATTAGTGGACTTTTGATTCAATAACGTTTGGGTTTAATTCATGTCTGGAGTTGAATTTAATTTGGAAAACGATTCATAATAATAACAAACCGACATTATTTAATAATAAACTAGAAAACAAGAATCTAATCTAGTATATAAATAAAATGATGCTGGACCAATGCGAATGTGATTGATTTATTCCTTGAACTCTGAAGGTTAGGACTAAACAAATTATTTATATTTGGTACTTTAGTTTCTATTCAGTAAAAACGAACAGTCTCAATGGCGTAGCATTGCAAAATGATCCTATGTTGGTATGTAAAAAAGTAGGTTAACAAAAAAACATATTAAGGCGAAAGGAAGTTCGCGCGTGCAGCTAGTTTAATATATAATATGTACTAACATGTATCAATTAAATACATTACATTACACGAAAGCTGTAAAGAAATGCAGTTTAATGCAAGACACATGATTACAATACTAAAACATTTTGCTAAGAACTGTCGGCCTGCTTTGGTATTTTACAAGTACAAGATAATCGTAATTACATAACGATACTCATATATCCTCACATATTATGCTGTTTTTGTGTATAAGTGACAGTAATTGTGAAAACAAAGTATATAAAAGTTTATTTACTTTTTAAGGTTTCGATTATTAGCCATACCTTTATCAACTTATTGACTCACGTTTAATATTGAAATAGATAGATTATCAATCATTGATTAGTAGAAACCTAAATCTTACTCCTGGGATTTCTATTGAACCGTAAAGAAGTACGCTGGCCCAGTACAGGCTGATCACATGTATCGTTGATTAGTAGGTTCATAGCATGCTAGTTGCCTTACGATTCTATCCTTCATCTTACGAGCATGTTTAAAAAAACGTATACAGAAAAATAAGCTAACGTTTGTTTTATTAGCAGAGGGATCTATTGGCCAAAATACTTAAATAACGATAGAATACGAACAGATTTTTCCATTCGAAAGCACTCTTCGCGCATTGAACACGAGTTTTGGACATTGCGACAATTGGATTATCGTGTTGTGTGATCGCTTCACTGAATAAACACTCAGGGGAAAATAAATACGACACAAGGATTTTAATACTCACCTTTTTATTTATATTGGACAAGTGATGGCTTAACATATACTAAGACTAACGACTACAAGTAATTTGGTATAGGTAGGTATTGTTTAAATTATACTCGTACTTGTCAAATGTAATCAACATTATTATCGACGTATTATTTTCGTTTATATTATTAACTACACGCCCTATGGCTACCTTCACCTCAGTATACATCTAATAAGGTCTGAGAGAGTTGGTATTTTAGATTCATCCAAAATGTATTTTTAATAAAATGTCTACATATCTATATGTATTTCATTAATCGAACCTAAAGCTAGTTCCAATTACCATTTCTTCTCGAGAATTTTAGCCACCTTCACACTTATAAGGTAACTATTGAAATGAAAACTTCGCCCTAAATACGTTATATTTATTTCATATGCCATTCATAGTGTGGAATGGTATTCTAGTAACTAAGCGTGCGATTCTCAAGCCTAAAGTGCGGTGGTGCCCCAGAAAGGACACTAGCTAGGTCGTTGAAGGAAGACTTAGTGAGGAAACCGGTATGACTAAGACATTAGTGCGACCATACGGAAGTCATACTTAGGCTCAGTCTCAAGTCTCAACTGTGAATCTTACCCTCAAAACCCCAAATATTCTTTCTGTGACAGACAGCTGATGCCTACATACTTCCTTTAAAAACATAGGAGGAAAACAATTGACGAAATGAGATGAGATAAAGATAAAATAAATGTAGCGCCACTGGATTATATATTAGTATCTAACCATACTACCTTAGTTATAAAACTTTTAGTATTGATAAAAATCTTGAACAAGTTTAATTGGACAAACCCAGGAGCTACAATGTCACTTCCTTCCTCGCATCAGCCATCAATTATGCAGTGCTACTAGCAACGCTGAAAATAGTCGAAAAATGGTAGCAGACGTGTGGACGCGATGAATGAATGATGTGCAGGCACTGGGCACTAATCAATAGCTGCCTCAGGGTACATTGTACCTTGTTATATGCACCCGCAGGGGCCCGTAAACGTGTACCTTAATAAACACCTCAGACCACAATGTCATTATTATTACCATAGCCTTAATAACGTAATAAATAATTCTAATATAAATACCAAAGTCTTTCTCGTTAACGGTCTCATCCATAAAGAATTACCCGTTACTTAAGTCATTTTAATAAGTTCATTTGGAAGCTTTAACAATTCTTTTACTGTCCATGTTTTCACCACAATTTTATAAACTCTAAATTTATAAATTAATAAATAAATAAAATATGCTTCATTAAATCAGTGGCCTTCAATTTCGTAGCGGTGTACATATATGTATATTGTATATGTTATGAAGATTTTAACTATTAACTCTGTGGTGGTTTCGAGAATTCTAGATGCGAGAATAGCTCACATTATTTTTTTGTCATGTTTAATTTTTGGCACAAAAGCCTTAGCTATCGAAGGCGTCGAACACTTTTCTATGCTGTCGTATGTTACGAAAAATTTTAAAAGACTAATTGTTTTGAACTATTCCCAACTTTCATGTAATATAAATGATGCGATGTATTAAGAAAAAACTCTAATAATAACGACTATTTGTCGCACTATACTTATTTAAATGAAAAGTTCATTATTACTTTTACTAGTATATTATCCTACGTACTTTGATACTTATATTCCATTAGCTATTTTCTGTTTTCTAGTTATACCCAATTAGCATAAGGAAAAATAGATTCGCGACCTAACAGGTTCCACTGGCCCCGAAGGCTTGTTATGTTGTTAGGGACCAACGTAATGTTTCAGGACGGATGGACAACGTATAATGATGTATGCTGACGGGGTATCTCAATAAGCCACATAAAATTATATAATGTTCAGTAAATTTTCGAATATATTAAATCTTGTACAACAATGTTCACGAATTGATTATATTAGAATATGTATATATAATAAGTCAACTGTATAATAAGTCAATTTTTCTGTAAATTGGATCTGTGTTTGTAAATATATTATAACTATTATTATATTATTAATTGTGTTTAGTTATGAAACATTGTAGGACATATCTAATGTTACTTTTTATGCTATTTTTGTATCTGTGTTCATTCCTGATTATGTACTTAATAATAAGCACTCATTAGTGAATTATAGCATATGAAAAGAATTATAGCAATAAATTCAATAACGGGTTACCATGGTTACGTCGTGTTTGTGAATGTAAATGATTCATTTATTTTCACGTGCAGCAAATACTTCCGAATTCCAATAAATTACCTAAATTTTAATTAACATATCAGTTACGTTACCAATTATATAATAGTAGAAACTGTTAACAAATAGTTTTCAATTACGTATCGCAATTTACATAACAAGTGAACGAACCAAGTATAGGCAAAGTTTTAATAGCGCGTTTATCCCGCAATCAAGTCGCTAATAAATTAATGCCATTACTAAATTATACTTGGCTAGATTAATCTAGAAGTCGGGCGCAGTCCGTGGCGGCCGCTCTTACATTATTACAGCATTCATTAGAGTTCGCTAATTACTCCTTGCTTTAATGAATAAGCTCTAATGAACCACTTTCTGTTAATTAAAGGCGGCGTGGGGTGGGTTTGGGCGCGGTGCGCGGGGTGGCGCCAACTTTTCTCCGAGCTCTGATTGCAAATGTGAATTTGTGTAAGTCTGAGTGGAAAGAGTGTTTCTACTGAAAAGAGGTAATGAGGCGGTCGAGAGAAGCCGAATTAGTTGCAATTGCATCGTATAAATTACAATTCGCTCGCTAAAACTGGTTAATTATACGCTCATTTCGTGTGAGATGTCATGAAATAATTCGATTTTAATCGATTTTATTTACAAACGAAGTATTCTTCAACATTATATGATCAGCATTTATTTTTCTTTATACAATTCTGAAATTGCAATGTACTTGCAATGTACCTATACATTTTTCTTGTTTTCCCGAGTAGCGAAAGGGATTATTTTTATGTCAATGTTTTTAGGTAAACATTAACTTGGAATAAATGTCAGGTAAAAGTAATATATGTGAGACAAATAATATTATAACCGCAGGGCTTTCTTTCTTTACACATATTTACATCTACTTTATACGTTAAGTTTTCTTGCAATATATGATGTGTTTTGTACTGTTTACTAAGTTCGATTATAAATTCTGTTGCTGTTGAGAATTAGTTTAATAATCACAAATCCTATCTCTGTACTGTGCCTGTGCACACAAACAAAAAAATTAAAATGCTAAGAAGCGGTTGCAGAAACTATTACAGTGCATAATTTGTAGCGAGGACCTGAAACTTGGAATAAATGAATAATTTCATTGAGTGATATTTGTGCAACACTTTCGTAACACAGAAACCTAATTCACTAATTGGTTTGTTAACTTGACACGCCAAATCCATTGCACATACAATAATTACTTCAGACCTGCCAAAAATCCGATAATTTAAAAGTTACTTTGAAGTATGAAACTCTCCAATTAAATATTGCATGTTAGCTTATCTATTGCGTTCTAATAAAATACAATGTTTAATATTTTTTTGTTTTTTTTTTTTTTTTTAATATGCAGGAATCACATTATTAAAAATCATTATTAGAATGAATTCACCTAATACGATTGCAGAAGCGATTTTTTTTTTTTTTTTTTTATATTTTCTAATCTCGAAGTCTTATTCATACGTATAAGATTTGTAAGATTTAAGACTAGTGTGACACGATATCCAGTTACCAGCTGAAATGTTACTCGTAATCACATCTTGCCCACGCCCGTACCTTTACCTTTGCGCGAAATCCGTGGAGGACGCGTTACTCACCCAGTGCATTGTAAATTTTATGACATTACGAAAATAAATCGAATAGTCAATAAGCGTGAACAAAGGATAGATGTACCAACGAGGAGCTGAAGCATGTATAAAACCGGACCAATGTTATAGCACAGCACACTGCTACTGAACGTTTTGTTACATTACTTGTGTGAAAATTGTGTAAAATGTTTTCATTTATCGCGGTAAGGAATTGTTATATTAAATTAGTCTTGGGGTTCCCAACGGAGACAAATTGTGTTCAAAGCACAAGCCCTATGTCGAAGTACAAACTGGTTGACTGAGAGAAAAAACGGTTGCTGTTAGGTTAAACATTAACTTGTAGTAGCTTATTTGTTAAAAGACAGCAATTATTCATATTGGAAATGCAAATTGAAAATTCTGAAATGATATTATTAGTTTCATATTCCCTCGCATTAATTATACAATTATTATTGAAATAATTATCCTTCCTTACTAATTGGCTTTAATCGAAGATGCGCGAATAATGTACGTTATAAGTACTTAGTGTGTTATCGTGTTAATAATAAAAATACACGTGTTGTTTTTGTAAGTGGATCTTTACGAAAAAATCTTTCAGGTTTCTTGCCTCATCGTGGCAGCCACAGCAGCCCCATACGGATCTGAGATTCAAGCCATTTCAACCTTAGATAGTGTTGTAAGTATGCATTTTTAATAAATAGTCATTGTAAAAGTCACGTTCAATGAGAATTAATTATTCTATAAAGGAGAGATTATAAAATTGTTAACAAGACTAATAATTCAATTTTCTGATATCCTTAAAGATTAGTGGGATTTTCCTTTGAGCGATGTTCTTTTGTACTTTGCGAAATGTATTTATAAATTTCATGCCACTGTTCGATTTTATATTATAAATGCTAATTCTTATAGTCCGTGCCTCGTTACAACTTCAACTACGCTGTAAATGATCCCGTGACTGGCGACAACAAACAGCAATCAGAAACCCGCGAAGGAGGCTATGTCAAGGGCTCCTACTCTCTAGCAGAGCCCGATGGCACCATCAGAATAGTGGACTACACCGCCGACCCTGTATCAGGCTTCAACGCTGTGGTCAGGAGAATCGGCCACGCGTCTCATCCACAAGTTATCCGACCGGTCGTCACACAAGTCGCCACACCGGTCGTCACACAAGTCGCTACACCACAAATCGCGCACGCACCTATCGCGCACGCACCTATCGCGCACGCAACCAGCCAGATAGGTTACGAAAACGTTGGCTACAGCAACCTCGGCTACGATAACTATATTGGAGGAAATCTTGGCTACAATGCTGGATATTCTGGATATGACCTGGGGTACAGCGGTCATGGCTCATGGAACCTAGGCCACGGAAGCTCATTTGGTCACGGATACTACAGACGCTAAGACCCCATACAACTTAGTGATAAACTATTGTTTTTTCGCGTAAGCCTAATTGTGAATTACCAATAGTTATTAATGACCCTAAATTAAATGTACCTACTGCGTATGACGCTTTTATTTGTCTAATACCTATAACATTTTATATATACACTTGTGGTCATGAACAACGATTATATAGCCCAATATGTATCAGAACACGTCTGTACCTTTTTTCAAATCACCTCAAAAGTTTTCTAAAGAGCCGAAGCGCAATAGATTCATATATAAGAAAATCTAAAAGAGATATACCTGGACATAACTTCAGAAACGAAAAAAGTCAGACTGACGTACTTCAAAAAGGGATTGTGTTATTCGTAAGGTTCTATTCGGAATTTTACCCATAGAATTAGGTGCATTAAGTCTTAAATAACAAACCAGCATCACATTTTTTATTGTTAGGTAATCATATGCCCTGCATTAGCAATTACAGTGTAGTCCATGTAACGTCCCTCGATTTAACGACAAACTCTCTAAAGCGTCGAAATCATTCGGCTTTGGTTGGTTTAGCTTGTCTTCCATACAATGATACACTCTACCTACATATTATTACACCCACCCTCAATAACAAAATTAAATACTAAAAAGTACTTTTTAAGTTGCCGAAATTAGTTAAAACTTCGGAGCGGTGTACGTTTTGTCGCTTTATTGTCCTAGCGAGAAATAAACTCAACTGTCGGTACTCGTCATACGTACCGAACTTTACAAGAAATCCGTTCTTTTTATTACAAATTGCGCATGCTTGCATGTGCTTTATCACGAATATGCCTCAATATCACAAAATATGAATTAAATAAGTAAAAAAATACAACCTAACTACTGGTACAGTACAAAAATAACAGACAACGCAATAGTGTTCAAATACGAATTGTTTTTATGTAATTACTAACACTAGTCTGAAATAAACTTTCTTTTTCTAATACAGATTTCTTATTCCATTTAGCGGCAACTCTATATTATATAGAGTTTACACTGTATTTATAAATTCCTATCTATAAAATTGTTATACTCGTTTAGTGAACTCAGTTTCTTAAGTCCATATTCTCATTCGTATCTCAAGTCAGTCTCGTCTTATGCGCTGTCAAATGTGTCAAACTTCATACAGACATCGACAGCTCCTAAAACTATATTAATTATTAACGTTCTAGGAGGTACTTAGGGGATAAAGGAATAAAACTCAACAATTAACTACACATTTATTGCCATAATATACCATAAACACATCCACACAGTAAATGCACGTCTTATTTGAGCGGGCGTTCTATATTTCACCAAATATGGTAATAAAAATAATTTATCTACATACATTTATACATACGCAGTGTTCATATTTAAAAACATCTCTATTAAAATAATTTTGTAAAAGCCCTTGACGGATGTTCCTAATCAAACGCGTGACAAGTCCTGTCAAATTTTATTATGACAATTTGAATATAAAAAGCCTTAACCCGATTATAGAAAAACTCAAATATATTACTATTAATATATATATTCTAATATCCACTCCATCTTTGAATTAAAGTCTTAAATAACGAAAAATATATAAACGTGACAAATGGCGCCCCAAAATACGAGGCGTGACATACTCGTTAATCATATTATTTTAAAACATTTTTGCTTGATTCGGAATACATAATATTCAGATTTGGAATTTCGTTCCATTTTTTAAATATTATTTCAAAAATTTACATTACGGTTCTAATTTCAAATGGAAAATCGTAATGTCATTAAGTAATGTCACATGTCCATTGCGTTTACATTTTGCTAATATTATCTATGTCCGGCGGAATTATGGAATTTATTTAATATCGAAAATAAAACGACTCAAGGCAAATTATTATAGTTACGCTTCCATTGTATTTTAATTTGTATTGAATACGTAATTTCTTAAAGTTTGACATAACTTGAAAATCTTCATACAGAAATTTACAATCAAAAATACTGCTAGCAAATATTAGATTGAAAATATATTGAACACATACGTATTATAAACATTACGCTACGTTAGTGCGCCGACGCGACCTTCACCGAAAAGCCAGAGACAGACCCGGTCTACCAGATAGGCAAACAACATATCCGCTACCAGCACTTGTACTACTATTAGCCGATACTGAAACAAATATAATAATTTAATATGATTAACCTTGTAAAACATCATTAATGCAGTTATACTGAATAATTTCATGCTACAGGGCTTTTTTTATATTTATTTGACCAGCTATGTTCTATGGTTCCTCTGCTTCAACATTATCATTTTTATCCATGTGAAATGTCTTACGCCCGAACCCAATAACCAATCCACAATCCCAGAAAGATCTGAACAGACCATGACAGTCGATCGATCTCCTATCTGCATCCCAATAACCAAACCCTACGAAGACAATCCATTTTTGGCGACGGATAAAATGCTCTTTGTCGTTCCATTTTACCGAGTTTACACTCATATTTGATAATCAATGTAAACCAAATAAAGTAAATACAACCGTACAAATGACATTAAAATATACATGTGTAAACATAACAAACAGTTTTTTTAATTATTTAAAAAACTGGTGTAAGTTAAAATCTGTTAAAATAATTAACTGTTGAAATCGAGCTTTCGTCAACTGTCATTTTCATACAAAGGTCTATCCACATAAAACCAATACGACCTCCCATGGATAGCTTGTATCGACAGATGGCTATTACAATCCGTCGATTGGTTATTGGCACACTTGTTACAACATTTGGATTCTCATTGGATATCTCAGATGGTGGATTATGGATTGAGATAGGTTATTGAGTTCGGGCGTTAAAAGTAATGGATTCTATATAAAATCTATTGAGAAATATATATGAAAAAACTAGCGGACAAGATACTTACGTCAGGCGGGAAGTAGACAATTTCGAAGAGGTTAGTGAGGCCCGGGAAGATGCCAGTGGCTAGAGCGAGGACAGCTGCGCCTGAGCTCATTATGCTGTACATCAACGGCTTGTTATCACGCAGACCTTCCATAAACGGCTCGCCCTGGAAACATTTAAATAAAATTTGTATTTTTTTATACTGTTTTAAATGAAGTTCTCATATGTTCAGTTATGTCTATCAGAAAAATCTACGTCGGCACTACTTCTAAGTAACTCCCGATAGCGATTGCGATCCCGACTGCAATGTCGTTTAGGTACCGACCTATCCCAAATGTGCATCAGCGCTACGGATATTCAATTTCAATTTCGTCGAAATTTACAAAAAAAGTTGCTGTGGCTATCGCTATCGCTATGGTATCTATAGCTATTGAAAGTTACATAGCACAGAAGTTTTTGCCGCTCAAGTGTACAGATAGTGTACATATACGTAGCGGATCTGTTTGACGTTGACATTGTTCTGTTTTAAATACAAAAATATTTAAAAAAAAAACGATCACATGAATGTAAATCTATACCATTCTCGAATCCCCCACAACCCAAAAATTTGATCGAAATCGGTCTCGCCGTTTAAAAGTTTAATTAAAAACTTTTATATTAATTTTAAATGGCGTTTCTGCCTATTAAGGCAAAAACCGACAATAGTATAGCATTTAGTATATTACATACTCGTGCAAACCTCTATTAAGTGAGAGATTTCAGTATTTCAAGCGTGTTTACTTAATTAAATAGTGATAAAAAGTAATATTTACCCTATAATTTATAGCGAATGTAGATATTTGTAGAGCCATAGAGATAATGTAGACGGTACTATTAAGGAGATCTGGCTTAAACGGACGTTCTTCATCTTCCTTCAAGTCCATGTCCAATTTCGGTGTATTGTCTCTGAAAGTGTTAAGAAATGGGTAAAATTTTGTGAAGAATAAAAAAACTAAATATAATATTTAAGAGATAAAACTCACAAAATTTCAGTAAGTAAGGGTATATTCATAATCTAGACTTAGCCAAGTATGCCTCCAGTATGTCAAATCCAATATCTTTTATATACAACTATATAAAACCTGTTTCACCTATTAATATTACCTTAAAAACCTATCTACTATTTCTTTAGAAGTACCTAAGTGTTCGCTTCCCGTCAAACCAATAATTGTTATGTGTAAGCACAGAAGTCTTAAGCATTTATCTGATAATTATGAATTATATATATTATGATTTTCATAGATATATTATGACAAATTATAATCAAAATATATTAAAATATATATATAAAAAAATGGCGTGCGTTTGATCATTTCTTTCATACAATAAAATATCAAAGAAAACAAAAGAAATCTATAAAAATAGTGCGTAGCCAGGTGAAATAATGAAACATTACATTAATCAAATAAAGCGATTATTACTCTTACCTATCCGGTGAGCGAAGAGTGGCCTCTTGTACGAGATATATGAGGCATATAAAATGCACCGCGAACTGAGTCAACACAGTCATAACTGTATACATATTGAAAATATTCGGCAGAGGGCGCTGTTTTGATAATTCTTTCAACGGCTGAAATTGAAAAATATATTAATTTATGTTACCTTTTTAGGTCTGGGCCTCATATTTCTGTATCTGTTTCATGATCATTTGTCAACTAATAGACAAGTAGGTGATCAGCCTTCTGTGTCTGACACACGCCGCCAACTTATTGGGTCTAAGGCAGGCAGGCCGGTTTCCTCACGATGTTTTCCTTCACCGTTCGAGCGAATGTTAAGTGCGCACATAGAAAGAAGACTGATGATCGAACCTACGACCTCAGGGATGAGAGTCACACGCTGAAGGCACTTGGCCAACACTGCTCGCGCCTATATTAATAGAATTTCATCAGAGAATATATTTTACATAGAAATAATAACTCACTTTAGACCGTGATATGAAGAGGAAACACGAAGCAAGCAAAATACTCTGTAGAGTCGCCTGAGTGTCGCTGAATTTGATACCATCGAGATACAACACCGACTGGCTGTAGGCCAGTATTAGGGCATTGAGAGCCAGAATTTTAAACATTTGGAGGGTAGTTACTAAAGTACAACGACCCTGCTTGATAATGTGGCATACTGAAAATAAATTAAAGTCAAATTTGTTAATAGAAACTATTCCGTTAAGTATGTTTCTTCTAATAAAAGCTTAACTATGAATCCAAATACGGAAATCGGGCGCGATCACAGATGAGGAAAATTGTAACTTGCTATACAGGTTCTATACTCACATACATCAGTACAAAAAAAAGTCATAATAGAAACTCCTTGGATACCAACTTCGTGGTATTTACCTCTGACCGTTATGATATTCACACCAATTGACCTAGTCCCATGCTAAGCTTGTGTTATGGGTACTACTACAACGGATATACATACATATTATAGATAGATAGACATATAAATACATATTTAAACACCCAAGACCTAAGCACAACACCAAATGCTTATCACATCGATGTTCGTCTCAGCCGGGGATCGAACCCGGGACCCATGGATTCGCAGTCAGGAGTACTAACCACTAGACCAATGAGTCGTCTAAATTATATATTTAATTATATATATAATTATTGTTTACTTTGTTGTTACAATATTTTGTATTGCAGTATCAATTTAAATATTCAATAAAAAATCTTATCAAAAAATGTTTTTCAGACTTTTACAAACTAGACCAGGCCAATTAAACAAAATCCTTTTGCGCTTACAAGAATGATTCAAATTAATTAATTAGAGAATCAAACTTAAAAAAACTGTACTTACTACAAAATATACTAGACAATCGGCTAGTAAACGGCGCGGCGACACTCGCGTCTCCCAATCTCACAACTTGCGGTTGGTCTTCCTCTTCTAACTTCTTCATGGCCCTGCGCAGACGCATGGCTGCTTCAGCCCTAGCTTCAGCTCGAGGGTCTCTGGGCCCTGTCAACCGACGTGGAAGTTCAGGTTCTGGTTTTTCTTCTCGAGGTTTATCCTTAGCCCTTTCAGGTGCGTTTGGCAGAATCGCAACACCCACCTGAAGCATTAAATTTGTTTCATATAACAAAGTAGTGCGCCAAAAAAATTTATTTTTTTATTTTTATTATATAAAAATTTTTGTATTTTGTTAAGTACATACACAATTAAGGGTATACTTACATCAGCATGTTTTAGTGCACCAACATCATTTGTACCATCCCCACACATTAGTGTCACATAGCCAAGAGAATTCAGAGTCACTATAACAAACTCTTTTTGTTTTGGTGCAAATCTAGCAAAAACTTTTATATATGGAATGATATCAATTAAGAACTTATGATATTGTTCAATTAGGAATGTCAAACCCTCCCCCGTAATACATAAATCATATTTGGCAGTCAACTCTTTGGGTGTTTTAAAATGCTGCACCGACAGGTCTACACTATTGTCAATAGATTTCCAACTCCACTCATTATTTGTTTTATTCAAAATAAGCAGATCATTTTTCTGTGTAAACTTTAGTTCTTTAGCAACGTGACATGCTGTCAGAGGGTTATCCCCTGTAATCATTACCACGGAATGAGATGCATTCACTATCTCTGCTATTGCCTTCTTTGAGTCTGTTTTCAGAGGACAGGATATTATCACAAAGCCAACAAATGTTAGATCTGATTCAACATCGTCCCTTGATAATTCTCTTATATCTTGAGAACTCATTTTGCCTAAACTTTTATAACCTAAAGCTAACACTCTCGCGCCTCGTCTAGATAAGGTCAAGTAAACGTCGTCATAATGTTCAGGAACTTCTTTCAGCATTGTTTTTATGGTTTCCGGTGCCCCCTTAACACTGCTTATATAGTGTGTTTCTACAAAACCTCTTTCATTAACCTGATAACCTGCTACTACTGACATCCTTTTCAAAGCACTAGCAAAATGATTTCTATGAACAATCTTCAAGCCTGGAGATTTTCCCTTCTTTGGTACAACAGCATCACCTTTGGTTAAATTCCATTCTGCTGCCTTTAAAGTTGCTTTTTCTAGGGGATCACCAACTACTCCATCATCTAATTGAACTAGGGAATGACAGGTTGCCAAGACTTGAATTGTCTCCAAAGGTGCTTCTGACAAAGGAATCACAGTTGCATCAGTGTGGTCTGCTACTCCTGCTATGCCTTCCACAACCAAATTATCACTAGTTAAAGTACCAGTTTTGTCAAAACAACAGATTTCAACTTTTCCAGCAAAAGGAATTCTAAAAGGCTCAGTACAGAACACAGCCAACTTCGACAGAGACAGTAGAGAAGTATTAACAGCCAATGATAGTTCTATGGGTAGTTCAGGAGGAACAACTGATGTCAATATCAAAGCACATTCCAAAAATAATTTATATCTATTTCTTTCAGGATCTTCAGATCCCTTAATCCAAACATAGGCTGCAGCAGCAATGGCGAATATTAACAAGAATAATATAAAACCAAACGTTTCTAAATTGTTAGCAGTTACTCTTTTAACTCCAAATAAAATTGTCCTCAAAAGTTTTCCTTGTGATGTATTGAACCCGTTACGTATAACATAACCTATACATCCGTTGTCAGGTGCTTTAAGACCAGATGACACATTTTTTCCAGGTGAGGAATGTTGTACAATTTTTGTGCCACCAAAGAGAACATGCAATTTGCCATCTCCTTCTGGGTCTAAACATAGTTTGGTGTTCTTGTTGTTTTCTAGAGGTTCTTTCATTTGAGGCACACTTTCGCCAGTCAGCATTGATTCATCAACTATACAGGAACCTCTAAGTAAAACAATATCACATGGTACCAGGTTATCATTGACAGAACGAGTGAGAGAAACAATATCTCCAGGGAGCAACTGATCACTCATAATTTGGCGCCATCTTCTGTTTCTATAAACATTTATATTATAAGGTTTATTACCCATTTTTCTTATTTCAGCCATATTTCTTAATTGTTGTTGGACTAATGTGCATTCAAACATCACCAGCATGACAAGGGTAAATATAGAATAATACCAATATTTGTCCAAACACCAGAGACCTACACAAAATACTTGAAATACAAAAAAGGGTGCAGTTGCCCTTTCTTTAAATAATTCCATAAATTCTGGTACTACCTGAAAAATAAGTGTAGGCAGTTGATTTTATTTATAATAGTATTCACAATTTAAAAAATTAAAATCATAAGTATTGATGGTTCATCACCTAAATCATGAACTTCATATTATTTATCTATACAAAATATATTTTACCATAATCATTTCATTTTTTCCAAACTCCTTCTCAGCTAAATCTATAGATTCATCATCAGAGTATCCTTTTGAGTCTAAATACTCTTCATGATATTTGTTTACAGGAAAAACCACAGATTGAAATGATTTTTTGTCCCAATCATAAACATACTTGCTTTTTTGAAAAACAAACCACACATCTGGGTTAACCTCACCTCTTTTAGTTGACTGAAAAATATGTTCAGTCATTCAGTTACATACACAACTAAAAATTAATTAAGTAATGACTGAGTTTATATAAATATAATAAGAAATGTCATTAGTGCATTTTATTTTATTGGCTTGATCTTGGAAAGTAAATGGCATATTAGTAAGCTGCGTTAATGTAAATCTAATTGAAAACTAAGTTGCCAAGATACTACTGCTATACTGATGTTTTTCCTTAAAAAGATGTAAATATTTTTATTTAGGTGCTTAAATCAAAATTTCATCAAATCCCTCTTGTTACGAAATAAAAAATTATTGCATACCTTTGTATGATGAAGTCTAACAACTTCTGGAAATCCATTGTTAGATGTTGGTACCACTTTTACAATCTCGGCACGAATGGGATCACTTTCCTTAAAATATACAAATAAATATACATTTACCCAATATTTAAATTAAAGGAAAGATTTGCCGCTTGAGCAACTTACCGGTGAGCACGATAGAAAACATTGTATGTGAACACTCCAGTAACAACATAGGCATATTAAAATTTGTATGCTTGCCACAACAGCAACAGTTACAAATCCAGCCTCAAAGTTTTCGTCAAAATTGTATACAAATATCCAACAATAGAAGATTATAGGATAGATGATTAGAAACGGCAATATAGTTCCTTGCAATACTGTAGCTACTGGTTTAAATAACTGTGTATATTGAACTAAATCATCGAGCGACGACTGCTTATTTAATACCATTTTTCAAACTTTGTGAACTAAATTAAATTTGAGATAAAATAAATGTTTACATTAAAATCAATACTCGCATTAACATGGTTCAGCACTTTACGCACCTACTTTAATTCAAGGAAACTGTAAATCATGAGGAATTATAATTGAAACGTATCTAAAAACTATCTAATGTGTGACACAGTAATAAGTGGTAGCCACGGGATGAAGGATCGCTTATTTCGCTTACATTTGACTTATGACCATTGACTATTGAGTATTGACGTGCACATGACACGATTAAGTAAAGGTATTTAATGTAATATAATAAGGTATAATATATTGTGATGCGTCATGCGAGCAGTCGTTCCGAACGAACAACTAGGAGAACCATAAGCAAACCACGTCCACTCTGAATAGAGTGCGCGATTAAGAAGAATTATTTATTGAACATTCGGTAATATTTAATTCAACAATAATTATAGCTACAACTTTAAGTCGAAACCCATGCGTATACAAATTACAACTAATAGTCTCTACTCTCTAGTCAGATACTTCACAGCTACTATCATGTACTAGTCAGTAGTCTGAAGTCTTATCGCAGGCTAGTATATTAACCCCCCCTTCACAATCTAACGAGGCTACACGAGGGGATGGGAAGGTAAGGCAATCATGGAATAATATAGTAAATGTAGCAAAACAACTAAATAAATCGAGTGTGCTACCACTCGAGCAGCGTGTGTTTTTATTGTGGCTTTAGCCATCTGTGGTCTCTTCATCTGTGCCTTTGACGTTTGGTAATGAAAAGCGCGCGAATCTGTTAGTTGCTATGCTACAAAACAAATAAGTCAAGTTTTGAAACAATTCTTGTACAGCAAAACTAAAAGATATTCTAATCTAAGGGCACACAACTATCATGGATTTTAAAATAAAGAGGAAATCTACAAAATCTGCTATAGCAGGAGGGCTTTTGGAGACTTATCCGCATGATCTTCAAATGTATAAACTCCCACCTGTCGGAGATATAAGCTTACAGGAGTTTGAAACTCTAGCTTTGGAACGACTAATATTGTTAAGATGTTTAGCAACTGCAACAACATTAAAGGGATTGAGATTATATTCAGAGGAATGGTGCGATTTTATTTTGGGTGATTTAAGAAGTCAAGGAATAAAATATTATGTCAAACTTTGCGAAAAGTCAGGTTGCAGCACCCAGGACGTAGATTTACAAGCAAGGCGAAAGGATCATATAGCTCACTTTATTCTGAGGCTAGCTTATTGCAGAACGGAAGAATTGCGGAGATGGTTTATTTCTAGAGAAATAGAGTTATTTCGAATGCGTTTTATGACTATGAAAGGTGATTCTGTAGATAATTTTTTTACTATTAATAATTTATGCTACACTAATATATCTGAAGAAGAAAAAGATGAACTTATTATAAATTTACGAGAGTCGACACACCATCCAAATATTGATAAGATGAAATTTTATAAGGTAAAATTTTTTGAAGTACTTGATTTGGTTAAAACAAGGAAAGTATACTTAAAGGGTGGGTATGCATATATTTCACATAAAGATTTTATATCCGTTTTGACAGCTCAATATAGAGTCCATTTAAGACAGAGTCTTGCCATTGCATGTCACCATCTTGGTGAGATAGAACAAGATGAAAGGTTAGTTTCTTTATTAAAAGGATTACATCAATCATATACTGGCAATGACTACAGTGACTCAAAGGCTGTTATTCCTATAGAAAGTCTTGATTCATTGTCCATAAAGTCTTTTCCACTCTGTATGCGTCAACTACACGAGTTCCTTAGATCAACACATCATCTTAAACATGGAGGCAGATTACAATATGGATTATTCTTAAAAGGAATTGGTGTGACACTGGAAGATTCTCTTAAATTCTGGAGAGAAGAATTTACAAAAGTTATGGATTTAGATAAGTTTGAAAAACAATATTCTTACAATGTAAGATATAACTATGGTAAAGAAGGAAGTAAGAAGAATTATTCACCATTTAATTGTTTGAAAATAATAAACAATAATGTGGGCCCTGGAGAATGCCATGGGTGTCCCTTTAAACATAGTGATGCAAATGTTTTAAAAAATAAACTGAAAGGTTATGGATTTGAACAACAAGGTATTTTAAACCAATATTAAATTTTAGTTCTTTTTTTTTGTTATATGTAACTTTAATAACATTTTGATGACATACTTAAGAAAAAATGTATGTAATTATTTATTAAATAATTGTTACAGCTCTACATGATGTGGTTGATTTAGCAAAACGAGGCCATTACCAAATAGCCTGCAGCAAATATTTTGATGTGGTACATAGTTCTAACATTGGTCTAGGTATTAATCATCCCAACCAATATTTCGAAGAGAGTCAGAAACTACTTAAAGGGGATTTAAAATTAGAGCCCAAAAAGGATATTAAACCAACTATAAAGCATGAGAAAAATGACATAGAAGAAATGGATTTTGATGAAAACTTTTGATGAAAGTAGTTTTGTTTTTAATAAAGATTATTTGTCTTTAACTACTAAATTTATTTGTGCCTAATTTATCTATTTCCTTTTTACATACATGGCTCTCTTTGTCATTCTACCACAATATAATCCAAATATAAAAATTAAACCTATAATTGAAAAACCTACAACTAAGAAATACTTTTTAGAAGGTGAAGATGAGATTTCATTATAAACATCTCCTATATTTTCTACTACATTTACCTGAAAACAAAAAGTTATTAATTAAAACTTGAAGTGTTCTGGAACAACTACATAAAAAACGATTATAAAGACTTTCAATTACTTACAGCTGCAACATATCTGTACATTTCTAGTCTACTTGATAATTCTTTTTGACATTCTGTTTCAAGCTTTCTACTACTATCATTTAAAATGATCTTTAAGCATTTTAAACCTGAAAATATATATAAAGTTTTTAATAATAGTTATATAAAAATTATATTTAGTCAATCTAACTTATAGTGCTAAACAGAAACTTAATTTTGATACAAATATTACTGTCATTGGTATGTAGGCAAGTTAAGAAGATTGGTTTCAGAGAACATAATTCTCTGATGCCATGAATTAATATAAAAATTGCTTACGTCTCCCCGCACCATGCTCTAAATCTTTACAGTACTTGAGTAAATCTAAAGCACAAGCTCTTTCCAACAATGGGTCAGCCTCGATGTCTACTTCTGTTTCTTCTATAATTTGTACCACCTCTCTTGCACATTCTGCTGATACTATTTTGTGATTTAAAAGAGCATTCTTTAAACATTCCTCTACCTGAAAGTGCAAAACGGTTAATTATGTTTTCCTTTTTCCATACAACTAAAAAATTACAAGATCATTCACTACCTGGCCATCTGAATTTGTTATTGAATCATTTGGAATGGCACAAATAGTTTGAATTTCTGCTTTGCATAGTTTTCCAAGAAGAGGATCAAGGCGGTAGTTTAATGCTTGTTCTTTAAGAACATTTGCCAGCTCATTCTCACATGTTTTCTCTAATTTCAACTCTCGAAATTTTTCTTTCAAACAATATAGTACTTTTCCTTGCAACTCAATATCTTGTGGCTCATTTACTAGAAAAGAAAAGTTACAATTTCGAATAGAATATTATGTTACATTAATAGTTATGCTTTTATTAATATTACTTACATATAATTGGAGAGCAATATTTACGAATATCTCCTTTACAAGCATTTTGTAAGTTGTTGTTAAACCGATAATCCAAGTTTTGTTCAATCATTCTGTTCGTTACGACATACTTACAGTTCTTATTGAAGTCTGTTTCGTCACGATGTGCCTTAAAATAAACAAAAACCTACAAATATTGTAACTTAACTAAATAAAAGGATTTTTTATGTTGTAGCCTATACCATTGCACAAACTTTTCATTTATTCACATGGACATTGAATGAAAGTTAAGAAAGCATTTTGCCATTATTTGTAAGAAGTTATTATTATTAAGAGAAATTGACTGAAAAAATTGGAGATTACTTTTACTAACAAAACACACACTTTTGATAACTAGTAGTTACTATATCATGTTTTCTTTTGCCCTAGTTGGATTAAGCTATCTTACAATACATATATTTTTTATTAATAAAGTATATTTACCTTTAAGCAATCTAAAAGAACTGTAGGCTCTGTATTATGACAATATAAATCTATCATATCACTACAAGTAGTTATCAAATGATAGTCTATTGCATTATCTGTAAACTCTTGTTTTCTTACTACAAATATTGCTTTTTTACAAGGAGCACTCAATCCAGACTTTGCTGTCTGAAGACATTCCAACGCAGCTGATTCTCCATGAGGAATGTTAGAACAATATGCATTTAAGTCTTTTTTACATGCTTCTTTAAGTTCTGGATCCAGATCTACATTTTCTTTTTGTTGAAACAGCTGACTTCTTAATTGTTGACGACACTCTTTATAAATTGTATGCTTCCTTTTGCTGATTGTGTCATTTCTGACTATTTCACTTAAACAAGTCACAACCTGACTTTTAGTTTGTGCTTTTGGACAAAACCTTACTACATAAGACTTACAAGCATTTTTAAACTTTCTGGTGAATCTGTAATTTTTCAAAGAGATCAACTGTTCATGCTCAATGGCTGCCCTGCACTTTAAATTTGCTTTTATTTCTGGATCATTCTTATGTCTGATAAGACAGTCTAAAACTTCATCGTCATCTGATTTACTTTTAAGTTCAGATGAACATAGTTTTTCTATGGGAACTCTACAGTTAGTACCAACTATGGCATTCAGTTCAATATGACCACTTTGAGTCTCAGTAAAATTTGTCACAACTTCTTTACATTTAGATGACAATTCTTTGATTTTACTTTGTAAACATTGAATTTCTTCTCCTTTACCCGTATTTTCATAGCAAAGATTTGCTAATTCATCCATACAGGTATCTGCTATTTCTGGTAGAAGATCAACACTCACAGCTCTTTGTCTCATAACTCTTCTAATTTGCTGTTCACAGGCTGGTTGCAATATTCCTTTTAACTCTGAGTCATAAGCATAATTATATAAGCATGGTAGGATAAGAGGGTCTTTTTGAGACTGATGTTCGCTTGCATCAGCCCATTGTAGTTTAGCTTTACATTGAGTGACTGCATCATATCTACAAGCCCTGTATAACTGTGGATCCAGCTTAAAATCTCGTGATATGAAATATTGTATCTGTATCAGTGCTGTTTCACACTCTGCACTCATTAAAGCTGTGCCAAGTTTTTCCATAAGGCATGACATTACTCTGCCATTCCCCCCATTAACTTCTCCACAAGCTTTATCAACAATTGGTTTACAAGCTTTGCGTAAAATTGGATCTACTCTCCAATCTTCTCCTGGGTTGGCTTCTTGTACTAGTATCTCTAGTGACTTTTGACATGTAGCACTTATTCTTCGTTCTTTACGTTTTCTGGGTCTAGCATGTTCCATTAAACAATGTATTGTCTTACCACCACCTTCCACACCTTTACATAGGATTGTTATATCATTGGCACAACTTTGCATCAACTCTGGAGATAGTCTATAGTCATCCATAAGCATCTTTCTGTGGTCTGTCATCTCAGCCACACATTCTGCCGCTAAATTAACAGTGCCATTTCTTACAACATTTTCTAAACAGAGTAAAATTTGTGCAAGACGCACATCCTTATCATCAACAACGCCTTTGCGACAATGATATTTTCTAATATCTTCTTTACAAGATTTTACCAAACCTTTGCTCATTTTATAATTCAATACAATGTTTCTTTGGGCATAAAATAATTGATCTTGACATCTTTTTGTCATACCTGTAAAAAATTAACACTAAGTATAACAATTTTGAGTTGTTTGAGTTGAATATTTGGTTTCATAAAAATTAAGTTCTTACCATTTTCATATTTATGTCTTATAAGACATTTATACATTAAAAGAGACCCAGGAACTTCATCTGGACAGAAGTTTCGTTGATCAATATTACATACAGCAAATACTAATTTATCTAATTGAAGAGAATTGTATTTAATTCCTTCAAGTGATGTGATTTCAGATTGACATTCAGGTCTTAATTTTTGTTCATGATTCTGAATACATCTTAATGTATGCATTTGTGAAAGTGTTTTAGGGTCTGGAGGTATTCGGCCACAGGATAGTGCTTGTATATCATCATAACAGTTTTTAACAAAGGTATTTGTTATCTGCCAATCATTAAACATCAATACCTCAATTTTACTAATGGTTTTAAGACATAATTTATTGTTTACACTTGGTTTTCTTTTCAACACACAATCAATAATATTTCCAATTGAATTTAAACAATCTAAGATAATGGGTTCCTCCAGACAGGCTTCTTTCAATTTAGTTTCAAGAAAATTGTTGTCATGTAAATCTAATTGATGGAGCCATATTTTGTGTTGGCATATAAATGGCAACTGAGTTTTGTTACTTCGAGTAATATTTATAGTACACGACAAAAGAGCCAAATCCTCATCTAAATGGGAACACTGTTTATCAAAGGGTCCACAATCTCTTAAATCTTCCTTATATCTTTCAATGGACGATTTCAGTGTCCCATGCTGAGCACTCAAAGCATATAAAAATATATCAAAAAATAGAAAAGACCAGATATTGAAATAATTCTGCATCTTATGGAGCCGGGAGGACCTTATTCTTACGTCTGAAAATTAGAGACCATTACTTGTGTGATAATTATTCTGATATTTCGAAGTGTTAAAAAATCTATGCTTCTTTTAATATAACTACACTATAATAATTTTAAGAATTGTAGAATGAAAAATTTATTTTTTGAGATAGCAAAATACAAACACAACTACACTAACGTCAAGCATAATATTTTGCAAAATTGCATTTTCAAACCAGTAATCACAGATTAATTATTATCGAAAACTAGTAACGAGTTACTACAGAATGAAGTATCATCGACTATATATAATTTTAGCACCTATCTTTAGTCTGTACTCTGTAGACATACGTTTATTGTTGCTTGTAAGGTCTTTTCTTGATAAAATGCATTTTTGGTAGGTATTTCCAGTTCTCTATTTTCATTGGTTCACCAAAACTGATTCACTCATCACTGGCTAGTGGCTTGTATAAGTTATAACTAACTAGTACATACTACATATACTAATAAGCTAGTATTCTGTAGCTCGAACTTCGAAGGCACTCTGTAGTCTGTCCCCTCCGAAGGACTATAGTAAGTGTAGTAGCATAGAGAATAAAAATAATTTAATACATTAAAATATATAAGAGATATCTGTGCACCCAACTCTCGAGAGGCGTGATTTTATTTAGTGATTTGTCATTTATATATTGTACGGTGATACAATAAATAAAGTAAATTACAGAAATCCGGTGACCGGTTAAAATTAATAATTAAAAAAAACCGTAAATTTAATGTCCAGGCCTAACTTCCCGTTCAGAAGACCTCTATTTTGATTGATTTACAATAATATCCTAATATTCAAGATTCCGCTTGTGTAAATATTAAAACAACTAATTTGATAAAGAGATATTTATCGATACACAGTAAACTTTACAGTACAGAAACCTAAAAATGGAAGGAGTGGTTGAGGTCAATGAGATTTCGGATTTTGTGTCCTACATAAAAAGTGTAAGTACTTCCTAACTTGTCGCATTTGTTGTGTGTATTAAAAAATAAAACAGCAGAAATTCCATAAAGCATTTTGCAGTTTTCAAGCTAGAGTCAATGAACAATATAATATCTAGTACATCTTAATTTGTTTCTAGGCCTAAATATACATAAATACAAAGTATTCTTTTGTTTTATGATGAATAATCATCTCTTATAATTTTTTTTTCAGATTGAATGGCGTGATCCTTGGCTCATAGCACTATTATCATTCCATGTGTTAGTCACATTCACCTGCTTTTCTACACGAAATTATGGAAATTTTCAAATTATCCTCTTTATCACACTATGTAAGTATGACTATAACAAAACTAAAAGCTTATTTATATATAGTTATAAGACATTTAAAAAAGTACTTTCTTTTGGATATACCTAATTTCAACAAATACTACCAAAATTATTATCATATTTAAATTAGAGGGCAGAGTTGAGTTCTACATAATCAAACAATTGAATTAAATTATAATACTTGTAATTACGTGTTGCTAAGCAAAAGTATTTTTATTTATTTCAAAAAATGTTACCCAACAGGCATAATAAAATCTTACATCTAGAAACAAACAAAAACAAATGGCACAACATTTAACAGGCAGTTACTATTACTGAATACTTAAAAACTGTAAATATATATATGATTTAACAAAGTGAAAAATATGAAACTTACTAAGACAGGTGGAATGTTTATATATCTTGAAGGAATTAACCTATTATTGTCATTTCAGTGTTATTGGTATACTTTTCTGAAAGCATTAATGAAGTAGCAGCAAGAAATTGGACATTATTTTCAAGACAACAATACTTTGACAGCAAGGGTCTTTTTATATCAGTTGTATTCTGTATACCTATATTATTAAACTGCATGATTATGGTGGTAAGTATATAATTTTAAGTTATTTTGCATGTTGGTTTGCAACATTTATTTACATATGACTATCATATGCCCTGTTATCTAAATCTGTTATGTATCGCCACAGATAATATTTTTTATTTGTGTTACAGTACACAAAATTTCATATAATTCACAAGCACCTGTTGCCTTTTTGCTGCCAGTCCAAATTTAAATCATTTGTTAATTAATTCATCCATGTTCTATGTCAGTTATAAATAATTTATTGGCATGCAGATAAATTTTCAACAAAACAATATAGTTGAACTGTGTTATATATGAAAGTAACTAGTTTAAATAGCCAGATTGTTTCTGGCATGGTATTCCTGCTGTATCATTTGACCTAAAGCTTCGGGTGTAGCTTTTTTCATGTATTGAGGCTTCAGCCAGTTTCTAGTATATTAAGCAATCCTAGTTGATTTCAATATAAGTCAAATATATGAAATTAATTAAAATCTAACTTTATTTTATTTAAGAATTTGAATGTTTTATAGGAAATTGTTCATATTATATGATGGTTAAGCTATTATATAAATAGCTATTTAGGTTATCACTTTAGAATTCTGTTATCTGTGAAATATGCATATTAAGGGTACTGTACTTATCCAGCTACTATTTTTTTTTTAATTGGATGGTACACCATATTGAGGCGAAGGTTAATGTTTCGGGACTATGTTGTTATCACATCACAAATATGTCATTAACTGGTTTAACAAAATCTTTATTTAAATTATCTTATTCGTATATACAGTTTAAGCCTAAATAGTTTTGACAAGTTTATTTAGGTTCCATATATCATGGTGTGTTCAAGTGTGACGATGTTAAAACATTGAATACCTAGTTATTTTATATGTCCATAAAAAATATAATCATAATCTCAAAGATTGTGTATAATTAAGATTGTTAAATTACGTACCTTTTCTACAAAATATATATGATGTTCAAATATCAAAAACATATAGAATACATTTGTTTTACGATTCAACCTTTTAATCGCGTGTGCATTGACCGTTACAAACCAAGGTTAAGACTTTAATTAAATCAAGTAATTATGTTTTAAAATCAACAAAACGTAACACATTTTTTAAAATGTAACTAACGAAATAACTTCAAAATAACTAGGTAAGGGAGCGTTCAAGTATTACGTCACGCAATTTATGGAAATTATTAAACCCCCCCGTGTAACGCGCCGTAACGTTTTTCTGTACCCAAGTTCAGTACTGTAACCAAGTATAATAAAACGTTTCGTGACTACCTAGTGACTCTTTATACCTAAAAGTTACCTACCTTCTTATGTTTTGTAAAGTACTGGAAGTCGAATAATATTAACAATAACGCGTAATTCAATCCCCACCCCGCATCGTAACGTTTTACAAAAGGACCCCACCCCCTTCAAAATTCGTTACGTGATTGCTAATACTTGATGACTCGTTAAAACTTGAATGCTCCCTAACAGTTAGAAGGACCCTATCTCTGAAAAGCGATTTCTTCCATAATAATTTTTGCTATCACTAGACACCTTATTTCCGAGCTAGATATATGACCTGAGAATTCCTATTAAAGTGAATACATGTGATGCTTTATCAAAAGTTGCAAGTATGGCTCATCAAAGCTTTCTTTATTATTTCCATAAATTTAATATAGAGCCCACAACAATTATCTAGACCTTGGAAGTTATAATCAATACTATCTACTTTAGAATTGTAATCGATCGGGTGTACGACCTTGGTAATCCTACTGGTTTACCAAATGTGGTGATTCAGTGCATTCACATTGATACTAAAGTATCGTATAATCTTTCTAGAATGAATGTGTTCGTCTATAAGTAATATAAATTCGAATTTGTTATTTATTATTAATAAAGTAAATAATTATGTAATTACAGGTAAAATTAATTCGCCTTACAGATATAATTACTGGTTTATAGCCTACATAACGTTATTTTCTACAATATAGTTTTGTTTCGTGAACTACATGAGTAGGTATTACTATAGTATAGACAATAGACCATCGTCAACCATTTTTATGTCGCGACCCACGTAAATGCCAAAAAGTTAAGTGAAACAGTCTTGCGACCCCGACACTAAAAGTATAATAATATGTACATACCGCGCTATTTTTATCAGTTATACCTACGTTATATTAGCCTTCATTGGTTTTAACCTGCGAATAACGTATCTTTTGTATCTATATGTAGTTTGTATTTATGATTTTTCAACAAACTGCGACCTCCTTTTTAAAAAAACCCGACCCCCGCTTAAAAAACGATGGTATATATACTGTATAATAAGCGTTCAAAGAATTATTTCGGTTCTTAGGAAAACTTATACTCATTACTTTCATATTGCAGTTTATAAACAGTTTTATATCGTAACGGCTTAGCGGTTAAAATAGTATCAATACAAATAAATAATAATAAGTATTATTATCAAAATTGAGTGTCTTCTTGAATTTGACCAGCTTTTGTACCCAATCTACTTTAAGCCACATAACCTATGTAGCCTGGAAAGCCATGTACAATGTACATAATTGTCTATGAATAGACAATTTAGCCATATAACTTTGATGACATTTTCACTATTAATCACCGCATCAACTGAGATTCAATGTAAAACCAACTAAAAGTTTCTTTTAATATGTATTTTAATTCCGAAGATATTGATTTTAGTTATTAATCTGTGTACCGCTTTCTTTATATTTAATTGTTTATGCTCTAAGGTCATTCATAACTCTGAAGGTGTATCCGTATCTGTAATACATAAACATGTTGCATAAATAATTATAAAATCGAAAATTGTCGTACTAACATTGTTTATCTGCCTTTTATAAGGTCACACAAAACGATTACAAATCATTTATTCCTACTATCATTCCAAAATAATAATTTCAGTATGGTACTTAGAGTGTGATGTTTCAGGGTTAATTAAATACAGTCAAAACCGTTACGACGACATCGTTTAGAACAACATACCTTTAGTTTAGGTTATATTGACCAAAATCAAAGGTCCCGGCTGAAGTCTATTGTATTACGTACTTAAAAACAACGTCATCGGCTGTTACGACTATCGGTTTTCAGGACCAAATATGAGTAGTCCCTTCGATGTCGTTATAACAAATTTTGACTGTATACATAGAAAGTCGAAGTCTTTATCTACTATTTAAGTAATTAATACAACAAAAGTTTGTAATCTTTTTTACAGGGCTCATGGCTTTACCAATCAACACAAATTATGACGAATCTTAAGAAAGCACAACTCCGTCAGCGGCTTAAAGAGCTAAACATGAACAGAGGAAAGATAACAAAGTCGGATTAGGTACCAGTCATTGAGGTGGGAATTGGTAAGATTATTTAGGTTTTGTCCCTTGCCTCAATCTGTGGTAACTTGCCTATGGGTACAGCCCAGTAGGTGGAACAAATATTATTTTGATACTGACGTAATGTTGCCAGGTGAGACGTGAAATTAATTTTGATGCATCGTCTGTAACCTTGGCGAGAATTTTGGATGCATATAAAGATTTGTTCTATAAAATTAATTGTTCACTTATTCTTCTATTATAATAACGACGATACTGTCCACTGTCCTTATTCATAATTTGCTAAATAATAAAAATTTAAACGCATTTTATACATATTTTTAGAAGAATATTGTATGCATAGAGTTCCTATTTTCACACATTCTAATTTCAATACAGACTTGTATAAGGTTTCTAATGTAGGATATTTTAATATTATAAATGCGAAAATAAGAAAGTAGTAGTACGTATTTATAGATGTGATTATAAAAAACATTCACACGTAGAAAATGTACGAACTCGCGGTCACCGCTAGTGTTATACTTGAATAATATATGTATTGGAGCTAAATCAAGAAATGTCGATTGCTATATTAGGAAAAGCTATCGAGCGCACTTTCCGATCTAGATTTCATCTCTAAAACTCGTTGCACACTTAATAACTTAATAGGGAACACAATTGTGTTTTTCTAAGATACTCTTTGCTGACTACAATCCTAAATTAAACTTTTAATTTTATTCTTAGATATTCTAGAGTTTATAAAACTTGGCACCTAGGTAGATCTTATTTCCGTCGTTGCTGTGGAGACCCTCATTTATCTCTGATAATGATAAACTTAGCTTCATTTTACAAATATATTTGTTGTTGGCCATTATTTCTCTAAACGAATATAAACGAATGGCCGATTCGAAACCTATTATTTTTTAATTAAGTATTTTTAATTTAAAACTTATAATATTGTCCTGTTTAATTCCATTTATAAAAAGCAGTGTTGACTGTAGTTGGTGAATTCGTTCTCATCTAGAAATAAATCACCTTGTGACCTTGAAAAAGATTGTGCCAAAGTGACTATGCATATAATTATTAACACCAACGTTTTGAATCTTATGTAATCATTGTAGTAAAACAACTTATAAAAATAAACATTCAATGTTGCGGAATTATGTTAATATGTTATTCAAGGACAGCATATTTTTGTGACTTTGACTGATAAATTTCCTTAAAAATATAATATACTAGCGGACCCGACAGACGTAGTCCTGTCTTAACTATGAATATTGATTTCGAATTGGTATAATTAACTATAAAAATATTTCAGAAACAAAAGTGTTTAATGCTTATGATATACAACATTCTTTGTTTGTTTTTCTGGCGCGTATATAAATAGTTTTGTTGGTATTCCGACACGGGAACAGGCGACATATAACTGGCCATGTGAAAAACATGGATTTTCAAGATTAATACCACAAACAATTAGCGACTGCCCTTGAGTTTTATTTATCGACATTGCAAATGCTAGCCGCATTGGAACTTGTAACCGTTTAAAGTCGAATGGCATGTCGTTCTGAATCAAAGGAATCCGTGGAATCCAATCGTCTTCGCCTAAATACTTCCCTTTCAAAATTGTGGCATCGATGACGTTGTTCTTTTTTATATGTATTTTATCAATATAATAACTCCGTTCGAAGCATTTGTTCTAAACGATATTCATTTTTCTTACATCCTCTTTGAAGATATTTCCAGCACGCTTTCTGTCAATGTTATGTCAATGCCGTTAGGTTACATCAAAAAAGTTTGAATTGTAAAAGCGCTATGCACTGAAAAAAAAAATTTGCTATCGTAACAATAGTCAGGATTACTTAATATGGTGGTTAAGTACCTATTCTTAAATTTTGTCCAAGGGAAATAGGGGTTCAATTTCATATACATATATAGAAGTGTATGGTCACAGACTAGACAAATAACGGTGTAAAAGAGAAGTAGAGGTGTGCATAAACAATTATATTTCACACTTTGCATGAGTGAAATTAATATTTTATAATTAGTGGGAGTCATGCGACAGTAGTTCTAATACAAAGTTAATAAGTTAACCTTACCATTTTTTATCTGCAAGGGTACAGGACAGACACATTTCTTTCATTAATCGGTTTTAACGGGGTAGATAACGACTGGTTAACGCGAAACAGTAACTGTTTCGTCGGAAATAGAATGCACGACTATCAGTATATTTGCACTGTTGTTTGTTCTTTAATCATTCTTTTCTATTTCCTTAAATAATCGTTCGCAAACATTTTTTATAACTAACAAAAGTCGTTAAAACCTTACACATTAATGTTACAATATAATGTTCGTTTTGAATAAAATTAAAGTATATATAAATATAACTTTTATTGGATTATTGTTAATATACTGGGTTTTGTCTCAAATGTAGGTAAGGTAGGTATTTAGATGCAGATCAGCAATGCTTTTATTACAACAAAAATTTACTTGCGGGGTGGGGTCACTTACTTTAACCTTCAATGAGTTAAAGAATGTTTTGTTTAGTTTAACGTGTGAGTGATAAGGACAAAACACTCAATAGCCATTCTAGTTCGAAATTAAGTATGATGTCAAAGCGAGAAGTCAAGATCGTGCAAATATCACACTTTTTTTCAAGTACATTGAAATATTTCATTTTATAGAATTACCTTTAAAACAAGATAGAACAGTAAAAACGCTAATCGGATTTACTATTATCAGTGATTATATAATTTGAATAAACTGGATTTTATTGGATTAATGAAAACGGCTCGTTTACGATAACACGTAATTATAGCCACGCTATGAGATTATATTTTCTTCCATGTACATTGTATAGAATTGTGCGTTAAAAAAAAGAATTTCTTCATTAAGGTAGTTAAACACTTGATTCTCCCTAAATTAGGGGAGAAAACCCTCAAATTGGCATCACTTTTTTGGATGACAACTGACAGCTAGGCCCGCGTTTTCGTTTAAGTGCAATAGATTACAAACGTTTTTTAACATGATCACATCTGTTTATTTTACAAAAGCAAACACTTTCGCATTTAGAATATTAATAAAGCTGTAATTTTTTTAACGACAACGTTTTTGAAAATCTATTTTTGACACGAGTTTTGTTAAATATGTTGTATTAGACAAACGTTTTACTACGTTACGTGTTATTTATATTTTCTTTTCCAATTATCTACAACTGGCGGTCTTCCCTCAGTGCCCGAAGTAATTCATTAGTTTTTTCATCTATCAACATACATACGCCGTGTTGCTTTAAAAAAGCGCGTTTGAGTCGATAGCATTAACTCTTTCTTCGTATATCGTCAGCAAAAGCTTCGCTTCTTTGTACTTAATGTTGTTAATAAATGAATGTCGAATGCCCAAATACACGCAATTACATTAAGGAGCTGCTCAAAACTATTGCTGTCACTATTTAGCATGCTTAGTCTTTAAATAGCTGTTAGATTTGGGTGGCCTTTGAGTATTCGGGCATAAGAACGTGTGTAGATGCCATAATAATTATATCACATATATTTAGATGTAAGCATTTATGTAACGAGCTTCAGGATTGTTAGTTGTGCTATAAAAAGTATCTACTTGTAAAAAGTGGTTGAGGACACAAAATTGTATGTTTGTATGATGAAATTATTCCTTGTTTGTATGTTCGTTTACTCAATTTACCAATCTTTAAGTTCATTTTATATATGAAAGGACTTATATATGTTGTTTGAATAATTTTGTAAATTGGAAATGCGTATCGTTATTAATATGAAGAAGATTACAAATCTAAGGACAATAAGAAATTTTGCCCAGTGACATACAAGTAATGTAATACAAGCTCCAGTATCATCTGAACAATAAATAACGATGCTTTTCCTAAGAGAAAAATCTTTGATATAATTCGTTAAGCGGGTCGTGTCGAAAGTCTGTGATGACTAGATACTGTTGACCAATGACAGTCAAACGAAATGCGAAAACGTTTTCGATTATCGCTCCCCTAAACCCCTACGAGACAGTTTTTTGCAACTCTCAAGATTAATTTGATACTCAATTGAATATTGTCTATGGACAGTTGAATCTTTTATTACTTGAACATTGACAATCATAATAGGCCGATGGGTTGACATAGGAAACTACGTCATTTGTACATCACATTTTGCTATTAAGATTAGTCCATTTTGTCTAGCACTTGTTAGTTATTTATGGAAGACTGAATGTGTGATTTGAATTTCATTTTCGTTATAGTCGAGCTAGTTAGTTATATTTTATTTAGGTTAAGAGACATGGTCGAATATTCAATCCGCCTGTTAGCAATTTTCAGTTTAAAAAAAATATTTTTTAAATTCTTATTTGATTGAGTATCCGTCCATGAAGTCTGTGCAATATGCTTTTTTTTAATTTAATGGTCGTTAACGCTTGACCTTGCGATGGAATATAGTTCTATTTGAACCTAAGTTTCATAGTTCTTAGCACTAAGTGTATCTTCGGTATGTCAACTCAAATACGTTTTTGACATACGGTAGTTATACTTAGCTCTGGGCCTCGACTATGAATCTTACCCTAAGACGTGCAAAGTTCTGTATTCAATCTGTTAATTGACACGCATATGTATATTGTAGTTATTGCGTATATGTGATTTTATTTAATAGGAATTAATATTGTGTTTACATTAAAGTAGGTATGCTTACTAACATTGTAAGCTAAGAATTGGTTATTGGATAAATAAAGTATTTGTTTGAAAATGCATTTTAAATACAACGAAAACCCATATAAAAGTGAGTTTATTACATTATTTACATAATTTCACTTTTCGAGTGCTATTCAGTATTCTAGCGAGACAGATACCACATTAAGTGGACAAATGACATTTTTATATAGTATTTAAAAATATTGCCATATTAACGACACTTATTACCCCTAAATCTCGTGCAAGAGGTCATTTAAAAAGATATTAAGTAGTATTTTTACCGTAATAATTGGCGGTTACCAATTGGTATGGTATTGCCAATTGGGCTTTTTATAAATCTAACAAAAATTTGTGCTATATGTAGTCTGTGTACTAAATTTCTTTTGTAATAATTGCATAAGGTTTATCTAGATTCTAAATTTTAAAAAGATTGTTATTTTTTTTTATTGGACAATTCACACCAATTGACCTAGTCCCATGCTAAGCTGGTGAAGCTTGTGTTATGGGTACTAGGCAACGGATAAACATACATATTATAGATAGATAGACGTATAAATACATATTTAAACACCCAAGACCTAAACACAGCACCAAATGCTCATCACATCGATGTTTGTCTCAGCCGGGGTTCGAACCCGGGACCCATGGATACGCAGTCAGGGATACTAACCACTAGACCAATGAGTCGTCAAAAAGTATAAAGTATAGTTATAAAAAGGTATGTTATATAATTCCATGAGCAAGACTGATTCAAGGTTTACTTATTTATTTTGCAATTATAAAATAAATATATGTAATTATTTATTGTTGTACCAGTCCTGAGGTAAGGTAACCTAAAAGGGACTTACAATGAATGTGTTTGAAAAATACACAATTATTTGTATTAAATCTAATTCTGAGTATACATTGTCAAAAGCCGTTGCTGGCTATTTTTTCTTTAACTTCGCGCATCATAATTTCAACTAAATTGTCCAGGTCCACTTGGGGGTTCCACTTCCAGTCTCTTCTTGCTTCGCTATCATCAAACACTTGGGGCCAACTGTCAGCTGAAACACACAGTTTATATTAAACAATTTCTTAATTTAGTTTTATGTTCTAATTTGCGTTACGAAAAAAAAACTAAGTTACCAACTATACGGAGAAAACGTTAAATAGCAAAGAAAATAAAATCTACAAAAAAGTTCGTGTACATACATAAGTCTTAAGGTTAGTCTAGCATGGAAATTGCTTAATACAATTTTAAACGTCACCTTACATACCCATAATCTAGAATATTCAATTCCGTATAAGAACAAGCACCATAGTAGGTATGTTTTCATTATTTCTATATTGTTATAGGGCCCGAGTAGTTTTTAAATTAAATTCAAGAGAAGACAAATTGCAGCTATAATGCAAAAGCAAGCAGCTATAAAGCAGCCCGAACTTATGATAATTATGGTACTTTAAAACCGCGTCGAGTTTCATACCTACGTTTTTATACCATCTCACATACACATATTACCAGCTGACACAAACACGCAAAAAATATTTTAATTTTGTGATGCGTATAATACGAGTAAATACCAATCTTAAGGAGAAACAAACAAATGTCAACTATAATGCTATTCTTAGAATTTCTACAAATGTTTACGGCATTATTAGATAAGTAGCTGTCTGCGTCCAATTAGGTCTTCTCCAGACTTGTCCTTATATAAGAGATGTCGCACTAATTTATTTTAATCTTCTTTATATATATAAATTACGCGTCACGTTGTTTGTCCGCTATGGACTCCTAAACTACTTAACCGATTTCAATCAAATTTGCACACCGTATGCAGTTTGATCTAACTTACAAGATAGGGTAGTCAAATCTTAATTTAAAACCGCAATATCATTTTATTGAAAATTATTTGACAGTCACAATTATAACAGATGACGCTGTGTTGAAAGTACCAACGTTTCACATAAGCTACAATTTAATGGCATAACCACCAAAAAAGCATGGTGGTCCCCATGACTGGTGTTCACCTACCGTTTCCCTTGATTAGTATACTACTTTGTTATATAACAAAAACCTAAGCCACAGCAACGCTTGGACGAGTCTAATAGTAGTTAATAAGTTTTATGGTTTATAAAATTATTATACTGGCCTTTTTTTATTCAGGCGTTATAAAAGTAAACTTTTTAATCGTGTATATATTATGCATTTATTTGTTTTTTGGTGGCGGCAATACCTTGTATATATACACCTCAAAATTAATTAAAATAAATTTTAACGCCAAAAAATATTTTGGTCCATGACTTATTATGATTTTTGTTAGATCGCCACGATTCTGAAGATGCAGTGAGTGCGTTCACAAATGCCATAGATGAGCCCCTAACGAAGAATTGGCCTACTGCTTCTTTCAGTAGTTTCATTCTGCTATATTCATGATCGTTTAAAAATATAAAACTTGCGTTTACACATAGTTAAATATAATTGTATCTTACCAATTTCCTGTCTTGCGTCCGGCATATACGTGATCTTAAAATCTGGTACATATTTGATCATTTTTTCGGCAAGTTCTTCAGGAGTGAAGCTCATCGCGGTGACATTGTAGCAGCGTCTATTCAGGATTTCGTTTGGAGCTTCCAGGAACTCTGAGAGGGCATTTAGTGCGTCTCTCACATGCATCATTGGTAGCCTTGTATCGGGTTTTAAGTAGCATTGGTAATGGCCTTTCCGTAAAACATCATGGAAGATTGCTATGGCGTAATCTGAAAAAAAGGGCATGGTAATGAAAATCCGTGCTCCGAAAGTTAGATATATATATATATATACCTCGTGCTCAAACACCTGTACTTATAGAATATGCATTATATATTTTGTAATATTTAGTGACAAATTATATAACAATTATAATGTTTTACTTTTGTTGAATATTGTTGCACTAACAGTGATAATTCAAGTCGTATATAAAACGAGTAAACTGAATACTCTAGCAACTGATAGAGCGTTTTAAAACTTCATTATGCTTACAGCGAATAGTAGGTACAATTGGTAATACCTGTTGTGCCTCCACCTGGTGGGTCGCTCGAAATAACACCAGGAAATCGTAAACAACGAAAATCAAGCCCGAACTTATGATAATAGTACTCTCCCAATAGCTCCGCGTGGACTTTAGACACGCCATAAATTGTTCTTGGTCTTTGAACAGTGATATTCGGCGTTGGGTTTCTGGGAGAGTCGGGGCCAAAAGCACCTATTGTACTAGGCACAAAAATCCTGAGTTTATACTGTTTTGCAAGCTCGATGACGTTGTGCATGCCTTCGATGTTTACTCTCACAGCCAGTGGGACGTTTTGTTCACCTATCGCACTTAACAGAGCAGAAAAATGTATCAACCACTCTATTCTGTGGTCGACAACAATTTTTTGGAGTCCTTTAAAATCTAGAATGTCAGCGAAAATATATGGACCATCATTAGCCACCTCTAGGTTTGGTTGTATTATATCTGATAGAATAACATTCTGTTGGCCGTATTTTTGTCGTAAGAATTTAGCACATTCCACGCCGAGTTGACCCAGACCACCTGAAATATAAGTTACATCTACTGTGTTATCGAGTTTGAGCGAAATCAACGCAAGACTCATGACGATAAAAACATTTATTTTATTACTTAAATTTTACTATTTAAAGAAAAACGCTTTTTACCGGATTAAAGTTATGTTTATTATTAGAAATTTACAACGTTGCGTTTTTCTTTAAATGTGTAAAAGTTATGTTAATCAAAGACAATACTAAATTTTACTATGTTTATTTTGCGTTATAAATATTTTCTTTATATATATGTAGTATGTACCTATGAACGCGACGAATAAATAAGTGGAGATAGCGCCACAGTTTGTTTAATTAGGTATTATCCGTGAAACTTATTGCTTATACATTTCCACGGCAATAATAATTGTATTATGTACACGTTTTATTGTGTAAATATTTTTAGTATAGATACATATTTATCAAGCAGCTAGCAAATTCTACCGTGAATAGGAAAATATTTCCTATTTTTAATAGATGATTACGTTACATACTTCATTTAAAATCTAAATATTTTTATTACCAATCCTCTCCTAAATCCTTATGACTAAAGTGAATGTTGGTGTCGTTTTCATACTTAACTATAGGTCACATTCGTATACCTGTAGTATCGTATTAATCCTTGACCAATATAAGTATAATAGTTGATTGTAGGCAGGTACCGTTGAAGTTTTTTACATATATTAAAATCTAATTCTCTACACAAGATTAACATTATAGAAAAAATAATAAAGTAATGACACACACCTATTTGGAATCGGCAAATTTACGAATTCAAGGTCGTCTCTATAATTTATTCAGAAGCTAAAATATGGCACAAAAAAGAGTAAATATTTAAAGTACATATGTCAATTTATTTTGTACTATTAACGTTAGTAGTAGTGAGGTATTATTTTTAGTTAGGGAATAATCCACGGGAGTAATTTAAGTAACTGGGTTCCAACCGCGTGTAGTTCCTTCAGATTTATTATCATTAGCGTAAAGACAAAATAAAAAAACAATATTATTGAACTATTACAAAACTTTGATCCAAAAACAGGTTAATCTTCTCGCTTCAGATATTTTTTGTGTAAAAGCATGAACTTTAATACATTATATTGTAGAGTGTTGAAGAACCTTAAGCAGTTATTCCGACTCGAATAGGGACTCACCAGTAATTAAAATTTTTGGTGGCTTCTGTAAACTATTCACACTGTACGCCCGCAGATTCGTCAATAAAGCTTTCTGAAATAATTTTTGCAATAACGCCATAGTATTCTAATGATATCGGTTTCGATTTGTTCCGTATAAGCAACACTTTAGAGCAACGATAACAGCTAACTGAAGCCAATAAAGATTTAGATGAATTAGAACCTCGGAACCTGTTATACTCGACGTCACACCTAGAACGCTTGGTGAGATTTCTGAAATAGGAAAATGAACTTTATATATAGTCAAATCAAAGCGATGTATACTATATTTATTTGATACGGAAGTGGGTGTGTACTTCGACGTAGATCACAGGTGCCTACTTTAGCATTAAATTTTTGCCAGTCTGGCCTTGAGATCTCGTTTTCAATTTGCGAAAACAATATATCAGCATACCTACCTGTTACTTCTAACACAAGTACTTTGATTATACTAGGTATATCAATTTTCATTACTAGTTTATTATTAATTCTAAAATGGTTAGTAAAAAATCTGTTGCAGATATAGATGATGACATTTTATTTTATTCTTCCGTTTGAGTAAAAATTTCCTAACTTCGAACAATTGTGAATAAATGTGCTCTCTTCCATAATAATACCTTGTGTAAAAGGAGGAAAATAAATTTTATTTTCCTGCTTTGACAGTATAGTATCAAAATAACAAGCTACGATAGGCTAGAGGGAAACAAGATTTTAATGCGGATATTCGCGAAAATTTGCCACGTCTTGTTTTGGTCATGGAAAAACAAATCATACATAATAATTGTAGAACCGCGACCAGTGATGTAAAGGTGATACGTAGCATTATCACCTTTACATTACATTTCATGATCATCAGAAGTTCATTTTCATTTCGGCCCTTAGACTAAAACGTTGAAATTAGTAAGATTCGGTTGGTTTGCCGTGCTCTTATAACGTTACATTTCTTTCAATATAATATATTACGAGAACTCTCTACAACATAAAAAAACCCGTCCCACACCCTTCGTCGCTTTACATATAAAATAATATAAGCAATATTTATGATTATTTTTTTAATAAAATAATATCCAAGTAAAAGTGTCCATTTCATTATAAATTACGGTAACAATGAAAATTTTTGTCACCGTTTATAGTGTGCATCAAACAATTAAACGCATGTCGGTTTCATTGTGCGACCCTTCCTTATTACAACATCTAAGGATTAAATCTTGATCACCGAATGTGCAATCTGTTTTGTAATTTCTTTCAAAGATTAATAAAATAGGAGATACGTAAAATACTCGTTCGTCAAATGCTTAATAATTACTAAGTTTAGCGACGATAACTTTACTTTACAGTGTAAAGTCGATTTAACAACAAACCCCTAATGTGTCGAAATCACTCGGTTTTGGTTGGTTTAACATGTCTTCAATAACGACAACAACTAAATACTAAAAAGTACTTTTTAAGTTGCCGAAATTAGTTAAAACTGCGGAGCGGTGTACGTTGTTTTGTCGCTTTATTGTCCTAGCGAGAAATAAACTCGTCTGTCGGTACTCATCATACGTACCGAACTTTCCTAGAAATCCGTTCTTTTTTTTACAAATTTCGCTTGCTTGTGTGCTGTTAAATTGTCAAAATAGAGTTGTTTTAGGTTTCCTGATGAAAGTTATTACCTTCTTGTCAGGATTTTGAATAAATAGCCGGTTTCAGTAGTTTTGGGTATAACACCTGGTTGATATTCGATTACAATTATTAAACGAAGGCTGTTAACATACTTTTGCTTAAGATATTTATAAAAAAAATTACGAGGCCTCACATGTTTTATATTGTCCGTATCTGCATTAAAGATTACGTGAAGTGGTGGCACGCGCCACAATGGTGAAAGAAAAGTTACTTGGTGCGCATCGAGCCATGAACCGAAAGTCTGGTGTTTGCATGCAAAATCCACCTCGCATCCCAGTCTGTATTTGTCTATCATAGCTCTAAGAAGCCTTTATTAGTGCACATTATAGATTTCAACCACACATAGTTGGTAGTTCTTCGCATTAATCTTTGTGAAGTGGCTACTGGGAATTGAAAATTGGTCGGCTGTATGAACGAAAGTAAAAGCTATTACAACATTTCACGTAAGTTTTAAATAACATAACATTATTACTTACATAGTTTATGTGTTCTATGTAAGTCACCTTATATAGGTACATCCCTATTAGTACATAGTATTAATATTAAAAAGAAATTCATAACAAATAGGTTTATATATATATACAAATATGTGTAGGTTGTGGGTAACTAGATAACAATGATTACGTAGTACATGGTATATGTTTAAATAGTTTTTTGACAAAAAGTAGTTTTACGTGTTACACAAGTCTTATAAGACTTTAAAAGAATGCGTGAATGTGTGTATGGGTGTGTATGCTGAGAGTTGTTATAAACGCGCGCTGTATTTGTGTTAGTCTTTGGAACAACAACAAAAAAAATACAATAATATTTCCGTATTTTAAGACAGGAGTCTAAATCTAATTGCTCATTTAAATCAATAGGAGGTAGTAATTAATAAAGTTGTAGCCATTTTAAAAGCACTTTTTACATTAATATCATCCGCTTTTTTGTATAGTTACTGCAAAGATAGCCTACACACGATAGCCTGAAGGTTCTGGGTTCATCTCGTATCGAAACAATAATTATCTTGGTAGGTACGAAAAGCTTGTCAACTATAAAATTACAAAACGTGTCAGCCCCATACTTAACTAGGGGATCTCAAACAATCAATCATATTTTATGTATATATTAGTAAACTATATTAGTAAACAAAAAAGGTAGATAATGTATTTTAGAAACTTCTACAATTTTTATAGAAATATTATCTATGGGCTTCATCAAGTTCGTTTTTGGGGGAAGAATACTTTTGGGTTGGATAGCACAGAAGGCTAATCGCCTGGGCTATTACTTTGATAAAAAATCTAATTATTAGATTCCCGTAAAAAACAATATAAGCACCTACATAGTATTGGTTGCAGACAGGCAGTCGTATTAAGTTAAGAGTTAACGATTATGTAAGCCATTTAATAAATACTTAAAGATTGATTCAATAGGAAGCAAAGAAATGGTGTTCCACTATTGTACGTCTTAGCTATTTAATTATTATTGTTATTTAATGAATTACTCTTAGGGATTCAGTAGCGAGACTTGGCTTTATTTATAACGCCCTGTCAAAAACGTATTGAATAGACATACGGGCGTGATACTTAGCGCTAAAATGTGTTCCTCAATCTTACCCCCAGTACCGCTGTATACTTCAACCAACCACATCTAAATAAAGGTGGTATAATCATGTTTATCATATTCACGGTTGGTGTACTTTGTCTCCGTACGACAGTTATTTTCGAGATAACTGCGTAACTGTACCAGAATGATTCGTCTCGATGGTTGCATATAGGTTACATTATCTAGTTTCATTGCATTTACATTAATTCTAAATGTCGTTTTGAGGTCGAGACAAGGTCCGGTGTGATTGATATCCTTCTTTATTTTTCTTGTTACTTGTATTCTTTAATATCGTCTTTTGTTTTTTTGGCTATTAAATTTCCGCACTTTTTCATATTTGTAAAGTGTTGGTTGTATGCGAGTGCCGAAAAGTGTTTGATAAACATTAGTACAATTACTTTTATTCTTTAAATAAACTCATTAAGTTTAGTATCAATAGATCTGATCTAGGTTAAACCTAGAATATCTATCAAATCATAGGTATCGTTAGGAAAACAATTGTTCCCAAAATCGTACCGCCCTATGGAAAACGTCGAAACGTTTACCTTAGTTGCATCATTGCGGTAATTATGACATAAGGTCCGAATCCTGCCGTTAACTATTAGAGAACAATAGCGAAACAAGTGAAAGTAGAGCCATGGTACTTCACAATCATGCTAAGCCACGCAACTATTGTTTCCCGATTTTATTGTTTTAATCGGCACCGTCCTTGTTGCAACCGGATTTGAAATCTCTTTGTTTACTGGTCACCATAAACAGTAACGACGCAGCTATCGCTGAGTAATAGCTCATTTAATTTCCAGTATGAATTTCAGACAAAATTAACTTAAAGAAATAAAGGATGATACCATGACAATCCAGGCAGTTAAGGTATGGATTCCAAAACGCAAAGAGTTCTATTGTGTCTCACCTTCCTATTACCGTCATTAAAATCAAATGAGGGAATATGTCCGATCCCAGAAAATATACTGCCATGTATATGTTCAACCAGGAACGAAGATCCACAAATATGGTAAGTTAAAACATAAAATAGAGTAGGTTGTATAATTAAGTACTACAATTTGAAGTTAAACGTTGGTAAGGCTTTGTTATGCAAAACTTGTGTTTTCTGGCTTAGTGTAATCTCTGTATTTAAATATTCTGTTATGGTTATAATTTATGTACCTAACATGCTAAGCATGAGCTCATGCAAATTGTTACATCGTTGATTCACTGACTCAGCTACGTTAATATAATATTTACGATCACACGTCCGTCGCGTCCAAGCACCCGAATCGAAAAGAAAGGAGGTCCTAAATCAGCACGTAAATGTCCTCTAAAAGTAAGCTGGATCCTGGGGTGTTATTCAGAAATTAGAGTAAGAGCTAAGTGGGACTCCCGTACGTGAAAAATTTAATGGATTTTGACATATGGGAATCTTATAATCTAATCTTAATACACTTTATAAATACAGTTTATTTCATGTTGCTCATCTCATTCCAGGTGTACACACAGCGACTTGATGCAAGTGACAAAAGGCATACAGAAAGTGGGACAATTCGTTCGAAAACCAATAGATGAACTTATTGTAGAGAATAATTATTTACCGTCTTTACCGGGAAAGCTGTTCCAAGGGGTAAATGTTGCAAGATTGATGCTAAGACATAACGGGTTGGAAAGTGTATCGGCAGCGTGGCTGGAAACCCAAGAACCAAATTTGGTCGAAATATTTATTGTTGAAAACGATCTAAAAAGCTTGCCAGCAGAAAGTTTTTCAAAATTGCACAATTTACAAGCTCTAACTATACAGTCTCAGAGCTTAAAGCGCATTCCATCATTGAATTATCTAACAAGACTACGGTACGTTAGCATTCAATCAGATAGTTTAACAAGCATAAGTGAACATACGTTTCGAAATTTGCCTAACTTAGATAAGATATTTATTGAAGGGAGTCCTAAGCTTCACACTCTTGAAGAAAATGCATTTTACGATTTGCCTAAACTTGCAAAACTCGAAATTACAAAATGTGGCATTATGAATATACATATGAGAGCATTTTCCCTATTACCAATGTTAAATGAATTGTCTTTGGGCAATAATTTTATTTCGGATGCTACAATGATAGGAAGAGCAATTAGAGATTTGCCTATGCTCTCAAATTTAAATCTCAATCATAACTATATATCGAAATTAAATGAAGGTGCATTTGTTGATCAACCTATGTTGGAAGTGCTGTTACTAGCACACAATAGTATAAGTATTATTCACCACGGAGCTTTTCATCTTGTTCCAAAATTAAGAGTTGTTGATTTAAATTACAATGAAATTGTCAGAATACATCCCGAATCTTTCTTACAACCTTCCGGCAGCGGTGTTGAAGAATTGTCACTCATTGGAAATAAAATAATGCACATTTCTGAATTTCGGTCTTTGCTCGACGCCTTGCCACGCCTAAAGTTTTTAGATATGAGCGAAAACTTCTTGCAAAATATTCCTCGAGGAGCACTGAGAGGACATCCAAGTTTAGAACAACTACATTTAAATAAAAATAACATAAAATTTATAGAGTCTGAAGCATTCGTCGCTATGCCAGCATTAAGAGAACTTCAATTAAGTAACAATTCATTGAACGATATGAATGAAGGGCCGTATTGGAATCTGCCTGCTTTAAAAGGCTTAGATATATCTAAGAATTTTTTTCGAAGGTTACAACCCAAACTATTGTACAATCTACCAGCTCTACGACGAATAAACATAAGTGGGAATCAAATATCGATCATTGATCCCCTAACATTTATGGATTCTCCTTTTTTAGAATACATTAATATTTCGAAAAATGCTTTGATAACAATACATCCAGCAACGTTTAGAAATCTGGAAAACTTATATGAAATTGACGCGAGTTCTAATAGGCTTGTGGAGTTCTTGCCTGGACTTCCACGAGGATTGGAGCAATTGTATTTGCAAAAGAATCAGATAACATCATTACCAACTCTTCCCTCTCCTGATTTAGAACTTCCTTCTTTAAGAACATTAGATTTATCTAATAATGGAATACAGAAAATACCACACGGAGTGTTGAAGATATTACAAAATTTGCGAAGATTTTACATGAAACGAAATGGGCTGAAACAAATTGAGGCTATGACATTTAGTGATTTACAACACTTAGAAATTTTAGATCTAAGTGAAAACCAGATAATTTCTATACATCCTAAAAGTTTTGACAAACTTTCACAACTAAAACGGGTAAATATTAATGGAAACCATATAGAAAATATAGATTTTTCTGCAATAAAAGATAACATTGTATTAGCAGCTATGGATTTAAGTAAAAACAGACTTAAAAGTATATCAACTGATAGGATAAATCAACCTATGAATATAGAAATACTTAACATATCTTTTAATAAGTTATACGAACTGCCGAAAAGTTTAAACATGTTATTGAATTTGAAAGTTTTAGATGTTAGTTACAACCATTTAAAGCATTTCGATGGTAACTCTATAAACAGCATTCAAACACTGAAAGAAATAAAAGTACCCAGTAATAAAATAGCAGAGTTACGATCAGGCACTTTAGAAAATCTACAGGACTTAGAGACTATTGATTTTGACAATAATCAGATTGAGACTATTCATCCCTTAGCTATAGCAAATTTGGCAAACCTGACCTCGGTTTTCTTAAGTAGAAATCATTTAGTTGATTTACCTGATCGAGCATTCTCAAATCTTCCAAGATTGCGTATAATTGAACTACAAGGAAACAGGCTGCAATTTGTATCTATACGCGCCTTTGATAACATGCCTTTAGTACAGTACCTTAACATGAGTAACAATCAGATGACTAATTTGGAAAATTCTGGGATCAGACAATTAACTTCACTTGAAGTTTTAGACCTTAGTTTTAATAAAGTGACCATGATTACAAGAGAATCTTTTCAATACATGGAATGGCTTGTCGAGCTGAATCTTGATAATAACCATGTATGCTCTATAAATGGCAATCCATTTGATTTTATGCCAAGATTGAAAGTATTATCTTTACGCCATAACAGATTAACTACGATAACTGAAAACAATTTCATGAAATTGAGACATAATATAGCTATTTTTGATATAGATGGTAAGAAACTTTAGATTTTGGCCTTTCAACTCATTCAGTATTTAAGTCTCTAATAATATCTAATCCTTTTAATTTACAGGTAACCCTATAATATGCAACTGCGGTATTATTTGGCTCAAGTCTTGGCTAGCTGAATCGACATCAACGGGTCCAAAATGTGCAGATGGGACACATGTAAAAGATATATCTTTTGGGAGAGATGATTGCAAAAATCAACCATTACGAAATGAGGATAGAAGTTGTTTTACTCATGAGAATCAAGCTCTTTTGCCTAGCATCGGCACTTCAGTACTTTCTTCCGTAAACAAAATAGCAGATTATTCCACAGGCTTAAAAAACAACTATCAAGGAAATAAGATAAACAGACCTTCTCCAGAAGAATCAGATTACTTTTACGATGATTATGTAGACTATCCATACAATGAAACGCTAATGGCTATTAATAACGATCAAACAAATTATACTAACAAAAAGATAGGTAATACTCCAACCCTTTATGCTTCTATGAAAAATGTTACTGACAAAAGAACATCTGTCATTGGATCTTCTACTACTGCATCTCCTCCCAAGACTGGTTTTACATTTTTTGGTCTTCCATTACCTTCACTTGACATGGGAAAGTTGTTGACCACGGGTCGTAAAATAGATTGGTCTGAGAATAAAAACACACCAAATTTGAAAAAGTACCCTGTAACAGATCTGCCTAAATTTGAAACTGGTGGATTCACCCCTATGCTTCCCTCTACATCAAGTGGTTTCTCTCCAATAGTAAGTCCAATACCCACTCCAACTGTAAACAAAACACATACTGTAATAAGTGATGGTGGAAAAATTAGATATGGTAACATTGGCATGATAAATAATACCTTTTTAGCACATGAAATTGTGCCACCGAAGACTGTTGTGAACAATATAACTACTCATAGAAATACTAAAAGCGAAGTTCATGAGGTAAAATCATACTTTGGTAAAGATAATAGTACTCAAATAGCTTATAATAAGACAAAGAATGTGGAAGAACAAAAGAGTGATCCAACAAACTTAAGTAAATATAACATGATAGAATCAAACTACACAATCACACATGTTACTGAAAAAGAGGGAATTATAACTACAGATAGTAATGATATGTTACAAACATGGCTAGATACAACTAGCAATCCTACACCAACCAGTTGGCCAATAACTACAAGACCTACAAAAAAGCATAAAATTGATAGTCAACCCACTGCTTTATCAGCTGTTCTTGCAACAAAGAATGACGATTTCATATGGAATGGTACAAGAGCTGCAACAATTACTAAAGTTAATTTGCCACATGCTGAGCACTATGATTTACGTAATAATTACGCTCCCGTTACAAACAGAGAGGCAAAGACAAGATTTAGTGACTTACAAGTACCCAATAATAAGAGTAAAGATACTAAAGACTGGTATTATAAGAATTACAATAAATCTCATTTAGATCCTTATATTGCACCTGGCATAAATAAATCAACTTCTGCATCAAATTTAGTACAGAAAACATATTTTTTAGATGTTATTGTTATACTATATATCTTGTACAATATAAATCTTTTTCAAATTTAACTTCAAATAAACTATGTAATTTCATTACATATTGAAAAACTGCATACCTTTATAAAAATTAAATAATCAATCATGTATTCCTATAAACTAACCTAAGGTAGAACTAGCCACAAATAGATTTAGATTGTCAAGTAACAAATGGAACTGTTTCAGTATCAATTAAAAAAGAAATATGGTGTTTAGGATAGGTAAAAAAGTTGTAAAAATATTTGTACTGTATTGTAAGTAAATGACTTTTACAAAATTTAAACTTATGTCTATTTTGGTTGAATGGGTGTATGACAGAGGTACACACAAGTTTGGATAGATCATGTTCTATTGAGGCATCAATCAGCGAGTAATTGTTGTACATGTATATTGCTTTACTTCTGTTATATATTTATATATTTACCTTAATTTAGTCTTCAATTTACTTGGGTTAAAAAAATAGTAGAAATGATAGTAAATAGCCTTTTTAAAGCAATTTAATCTTTAGTAATTTATTCTTTACCTGTGAGTACTAGGTACTGCTACATTGTTATAAAACACCATGTTTATACTTCAGTATTTTGATTTTGAACAAAATATGCTCTTAGCTTATCTAGTGCCTTATATCTATGAGATATTTTATTCTTCTCTTCCTTTGGCAATTCAGCATATGTTTTATCATAGCCATCAGGTTGAAATACACAATCCCAACCAAAGTCTCTTGTTCCTCTTGGAGAGACAATTTTTCCAGAAGTCCTTCCTTGAAATACCAAAACTTCATCATTGGGTTTACCAGGTGAGTAGGCAAATGTACATACAGCTTCTGCAGATTTATCTTCCCATCCAGCCAGTAGTTGGTGTAATCCTTCCGGATGTAGTTTGTCCAAAAACCACTTAATATACGGCCCCGGCAGACCTTTCAAAGCATTAAAACATAATGAGGTGTCTTCGATAAAAACAGGACAGTTTATGCGGTGGGCTGCTTCTTGGCATTTCTTTATAGAAATCTCTTCTATTTCACCCTGTAATTCTGGAAGATCTAATTTATGGCTAGTAACTTCTAAAGGAAAGCTGTTTCCCAGTATAGCTCTAACCTCTTCTAATTTCTTTATATTACCCGTAACAAAAGTTAATGTTCTTTGGGACATTTTATAGCGGTTGGTTGTTATGTATTTCAGAGGATAGGTTTAGGTTTTAGGTTAAGGTAAGTAAGAGTCTAATATTCTCTTATATTGAACTTGAATGTGGACGGCACCGGGTACCATAGGTTTTCTATTATTAAATTTGTAAATTGTAAACACTAAACACATGTTTTTTTTAATTTTTTGGCCTGGTAACGAGACCTTTAAGCCAAGTCTTATTTTCGGTCACAAATTTTCACTTATTTTTCTGCATGTAATTTCACATGTTATTTCTAACGTTCCACCTGTTTTCTTAAATCTTCCATAATCCATATGGTATTTTTAACACTTAACAGTAAAATGTAAGTACAAATAAACACATAGAGTAGTGTCTAAGAATACTAGACTATACCATAGATTACTAACTATACAGAATGGTCAAAAAGTCGTGGATCAAACGCAAATAGGGGATAGATGAGGTCATCAGCTGCAAAAAATTGTTCTACGGAAGGTCTCTAAGCTCTTTGTACCAGGCTAATTTTTGCACTGTTAATCGTCGTTTTTTTTGCCAAACGATTTGTACCAGCCTAAAAAATTTTTTCAACAGTCCCTGTATGATCATAGATAGAAGTCTGATAATGCCATACCTATGGGAGGTGGGTATACCTATAGAATGATTTAGGCGCGTTATGAAAAATGTATGAGAGTGAAATTTTACGATGCGCGCGCACCTGAGACACAAAGTTGTCAGTGTGATTATAGCGTGCGCGAGCGAGATGGGAATAAGACAATCTACAATTAAAAAGAAATATGCGTGAAGTTAGCAGCTATGCCAAGAATTTTGAATGACCATAATGACATTTACCTTTTAAACAAATAAAGGGGTTTTAATTATTTTTTCGAAGAAATTTAGCAATGCTACTGGTCTTACTTAAGTGCATGTCTTGGTGGGCAGTAGATAGATAATATTGTTATTGGATGCCGTTTTGTTGTTTGGCTCACAGCCACAAGCTGCATATTATGTTCTATTTCACATTTAAAGATCTCATGATGTTTAAACTGTCATTTATTATGTACTTTCCCCGCTGGTCATACATCAGAATTTGATGAATGATTTCACGACCACCAAGCAAAAAAGCACCTGAGTATTAATTAGATTAGGTTAGGTCTCATTCACACATGCATACTGTAAGTTTTTAAACAGTTTCTATGCTTTAGGGTCGATTCGACCAAACAAGAGTAAATCTTAATCTTAGAATAAATCGTCAGTTAATCGAGAGTAAATCAATTTTACGTTTTACCATCTACAAATTCTAAGAATAGTGGGCCTATTCAGGGATTATTACTATACCGCCGTTTCGCACGGAATAACAGCTATTCCTAGAATAATTTAATGGCGTCAGTCAGTCCAATCAGCTGATTTCTGTCATTTCACAAATATGTATTCTGTGTTTTAATTTCAAGTCAACCCAATGTACTAAATTAATAGTCTGGCATTGTATAATGAAACGTTTAAACAATTTATTATTTATTTGTAGATTTTTTATTTTCTATAATATTATAATGAAATTCAACTAGGCTCAACAGAAGTTCCTTTTTAGACGAAAGCCTCAAACAAACAACAAATAAAAACTTTTTGTTGGCGTTTGACACCTGTTAAAAGCTAATTTTTCACACAATAATATGGCAAAATCGAGTTGGCATGATGAATGGCTCTTACACTGTCCCGTTGTAGAACAATATTTATTTGCCGAGTTTTATTTTCGTTCACCATTCTCTTTGCTATTCGCGTATTGTTATTCCTAAATCCTAGCACAATTATACTATCGATTACGTGTAGAAACGACTATGGATTTACTCGAGATTAAAATCATGGAATAGGTTATTCGTGGTATAGTTACTCGTGTATAAATTGAAGTTTGGTCGAATCGACCCTAAGTTATACTAGACATAAACAATTTACAATATACAATATTCTATGATATATATTTTACAGAGTATTTTATTCTATGATTTGCAACCTATGCAATGCCAAAAACAATAGAGTTTTTGTTTATGGAGTTGTGGTTTTTGACATGATGATACTCAAAATTTGTAACTTCGAATAAATTATAATTTCTTAGTATAATTCACTTTAAAAATAAACACGATTATTATATTGCTTATTAAATCAAGTTCTTTCTCTTTAATTCTGCGTTTCATAAATTAGAAGCTTGACTTTAAACTTTAACATATAACTTATAAAAATCTCAAAAAATGCCTAGTCAAGAAGTGGTAACTACAAAGGTAGTGGTTCATCCACTTGTTTTGCTTAGCGTTGTCGACCACTTCAACCGTATGGGCAAAATTGGTAATCAAAAAAGAGTAGTCGGCGTGTTACTTGGTTGCTGGAGGGCAAAAGGAGTTCTTGATGTATCAAACAGCTTTGCAGGTTAGTCCAAATATATTTTTTGCTTAAACGCCGGTGTATTATCGAATAATTTATGTAAAGAGTGTACCTAAAATATCGTGACTCACAATACTCTGATTGATTTATTCATAACTTGCTTTATAAGGAAAGCAAAAATTTGTTTACAGGAATTTAATCCATAAAGCAACCATAAGATTTCATTATTAACTGTCACTAAATGTTACTATATAGACTGGAGGAAGCAAAAACTAAAATTACAAAGAATAATAGTGTACTACTGCTGCATCTCATGGTTACACTGCACATAACCTGGGTTAAGCATCCTCCCTTCAATGTAGCAGTCATTAAAGAGGGTCTGCCCCATGCATATTGCAGGAGTTGTCAATCACTCTACTACTGTCAAGCAATGTTGTTTATGTTATCTTATATTACTCTCATTTCATTAAATTTTTCTTATTTATTTTTCAGTTCCATTTGATGAAGATGACAAAGACAAATCAGTCTGGTTTTTAGACCATGATTATTTGGAAAACATGTATGGCATGTTTAAGAAAGTTAATGCAAGAGAAAAAGTGGTAGGATGGTACCACACTGGTCCTAAATTACATCAAAATGATGTGGCTATTAATGAATTAGTAAGGCGTTATTGCCCCAATTCAGTTCTCGTCATTATAGACGCTAAGCCCAAGGACTTGGGATTACCAACTGAGGCTTACCGAGCAGTTGAAGAAGTTCATGATGATGGAAGTCCCACAACTCGCACCTTTGAGCATGTTCCAAGTGAAATTGGAGCTGAAGAAGCAGAAGAAGTAGGTGTTGAGCATCTACTGAGAGATATTAAAGATACTACTGTTGGAAGCCTTTCTCAGCGTATAACTAACCAGCTACTTGGTCTTAGAGGACTTCATTCTCAGTTAAGTGAAATAAGAGATTATCTTGTTCAAGTTGGTCAAGGATCTTTGCCTATGAATCATCAAATTATATACCAACTTCAGGATATTTTCAATTTGCTACCAGATATCTTAAGTGACAACTTTGCTGATAATCTCTATATTAAAACAAATGATCAATCCCTAGTTGTTTACCTTGCAGCTCTTGTAAGATCTATAATAGCTTTACACAATCTTATCAACAATAAGATTACAAACAGAGATGCTGAAGAAGGCAAAAAGGATGAGGCAAAGGACAAGAAGGAAAAGAAAGATGATAAGGATGAGAAAAAGTCTGAAGATAAAGGAAAAGGAGACAAAAAAGATAAAGATGAAAAGAAGAAATGATTTAAATAACCCAATAGTATAAGTTTGTAATTCAAATTGTTCTAATAAATTAATTTTTTAAATTATCTTTCCATTGTTATCCTCAGTTTGAATTGATCTTGTCTGATTGTTATAAAACTTCTTATCAGTTAACTTGAAATATGTATGTTGTATTATCATAAATATTTCTAATAGGTAGCCTTACTTTATCGTGAAACTCTTTTTCGATTACTTTAAACTTATCAATACAATAATGATAAGCAATCTAGTGTATTGATAATGGTGTCAGTTTCTATAATGATTTCATATAGTAAGGTTCTTATATTTTGTTGTTTAAATGGATATTAGTGATTAAAACCATTCAAAATGGCAGAGAGAGTGCAGATATCAGTAAGTAAATTAATACCCTTTTATCCTTCACTATGGACAATAGTATTGACTACTAATTTTTACAGGACTTGATCTGGTTAAAACCTGAACGGCAATCTGAATATGATATCCCCATAGCAGTGAAGGTGCTTAATAGTTCTGGGGGTAAATTAGAAGTCAGGGATGATGACGGAAGGAAATTCATTACTGATGCTACCAATGTCATCAAACCTCTTCATGCTACGTCCATTACAAGTGTTGAAGATATGATAACGCTGGGAGAGCTCCAGGAGTTTACTATTTTACGCAATCTTCATATTCGATACAATCAGCAGTTAATTTATGTAAGACATTTTTTTTATCTGATAATAGATACGCTGGACTAGTCACTTGTTTCAAATTTTTGTACCAATACCTGATGTGGGTCCCGAGTTTGAATTATGAGAGTGAAGAAAAAATACGTTGTCTCAACGCTTCCATCCATAATCACATCCAAATACACGAAATTAAATAACATGTAGATCAGATGCGTTAAGTTTGGCCGTGGTCGTATTTGTTGGCAAAAAACCTAGTCACTATCAAATTTATAAATATTATTTATTGTTGCGTTTGTATACATCTTATTTTTTTTCTATTAGCTTGTGCGTAGCCCATGCATACATCGTAGTTAATACAAATATAAATATTGTTTATATTTGTATATTGAAAATTTTATTTTGTTGGATAGTCCATATATCCAGGAAGGTAATACAACCGACTACGATCGCATTAATGTGAATGCATATGTAGGGCACAGCTAGTTCATTATATATAAGTAATATACTCTTTTTGGTCCAATCATTCTCTGTTTATTTACTTCATCCAAAAGCTATATGTATTTAAAACATGTGTTTTAGACCTATACCGGATCTATGTTAATAGCGATTAATCCATACGAAATACTGCCGATATACACAATGGATCAAATACACTTTTATCAAGATAGAAATATAGGTGATATGCCTCCACATATATTTGCCATCGGTAGTGATTCATACAAAGAGTTACTGGATACATCTTCAAATCAATGCGTCGTAATCAGGTAATATATGAATACTTCACTTGCAGTTAGGTACTATTACAGGGACATGAAAGTGGGATCTTAGTTTTTTAAGGGGATATTTCTCAATGTCTTTACCCTTTTGGTTCATATTTGCGTATTTAATCATCATGTAACGGCTTTGTTATATCAGTTGATATGCAAAGGACGGTAAAATAAAAAAACTACTTATTATTTACAGCGGTGAAAGTGGAGCTGGTAAAACTGAGAGTACAAAATTACTTCTGCAATATCTAGCAGCAGCTAGTGGTAAGCATTCCTGGATCGAACAACAGATACAAGAGACAAATCCTATACTTGAAGCTTTCGGGAACGCTAAAACTGTTAAAAACGACAACTCTTCCAGATTTGGGAAGTATATTAATATTTATTTCAATAATCAAGGCATAATTGAAGGTGGGAATATTGAACAGTATTTATTGGAAAAGTCTCGTATAGTGCGCCAAAGTAAGGGAGAGAGAAATTATCATATCTTCTACTCACTCGTCACAGGCTTGTCCGCGGAAGAAAAGAAGAAACTTGAGCTTACTAGACCTCAAGATTATGAATACCTTAACTCTGGCAGTATGTTAACATGTGACGGAAGGAATGATGCACTAGAATTTTCGGATATTAGATCAGCATTCAAAGTGCTCAACTTTTTAGACGAAGAAGTTTGGGGAGTTTTTAACTTACTTGCTGCAATTTTACATTTGGGAAATCTTAAATTCAAATCATATAGCTCAAATAATATTGAGTCATCTGAAGTGGCAGATGCAACTAATGCAAGCAGAATTGCATCATTACTAGGTGTTAATAAAGTGCATTTTTGTGAAGCACTTACTCGCAAGACGTTTATTGCTCACGGTGAGAAGATTGTTTCAAATGTATCAGCTAGTTCAGCTACTGAAGCAAAGCACGCTCTCGTTAAAGCTATATATGGATCAATTTTCGTCTATATAGTGGAAAATATAAACAAAACGTTACATAAAGACGAAACCCTCTGCGGTGGATCAATAGGAATATTAGATATTTTTGGTTTTGAAAATTTTGATAATAATAGCTTTGAGCAACTGTGTATTAATTATGCGAACGAAAACCTGCAACAGTTTTTTGTTAAGCACATATTCAAACTTGAGCAGGAGCAGTATCAAAAGGAGGGCATTACTTGGACAAATATTAATTATGTCGATAATCAAGAGAATTTGGATACTATTGGTTTGAAACCTATGAATATATTGTCACTGATTGATGAGGAATCTAGATTTCCTAAGGGCACAGATTTAACGTTGTTAGATAAATTAAATACAAATCATGGCAGTAAAAAGTGTTATGCGGCTCCAAAATCGACGAGAGACCACACGTTTGTAATACGACACTTCGCAGGAGACGTTTATTACAATGTCAATGGTATGATTATTCATTATTTATCAACAATTATTTGCTGATAATTTCTTACATTTAATAAATCATGTATGACTTATTCATTGTAAGACTTTCAGACACATAATTTTTCAGGGTTCCTTGATAAAAACAGGGATATGCTCACAACTGATTTGAAGGAACTTTTAATGGATTCAACGAACAAATTTTTAAAGACGATATTTCCAATTGACCTTTCGCCGCATAGTGGTAGTCGAAAACCTGTATCGTTGAGTCATCAGTTCAAGACGTCCCTTGATTCCCTTATGAAGACCTTGTATGCCTGTCACCCGTTCTTTGTACGCTGTATCAAACCAAATGAGCTGAAAAAGCCTCGGGTAAGACTTATCTTATCTTGGTATGTTTCGCAAATAGCGGTCGATTTGTTATTAGTCACCTTTAAGATTATTCGGAACTCACGTAGCGAGACTACTAGACTAAACTTAGCTTTTAAAGCGATGAGAAAGAAATATCGAAATATGTTCCATTTTGGATCACCTGCTTGCAATGATGTCTTTTCAGTGTCACGTCGTAGGTCATGGTACTACACTTTAAATATATTAAAGGAATATAAATTAATGTCAATTGAATTACTTATTATATTAAGACTTTTATTGGATTTTGTTTTAAGCCAAAACATTGATTAAAATTTTTTAATTTCAATTATGTAGACGTAATTATGCCAGTTTGTCAATTACAGATTCTGGATCGACCACTATGCGTCCGTCAACTAAGGTACGCCGGATTAATGGAGACAGCAAAAATAAGACAAGCCGGCTATCCTATAAGACACTCATATGCAGAATTTATTAACCGGTACCGGCTTATTGTACCAGGTATTCCACCCGTAGAAAAAGCCGATTGCAAGGAAGCTGCCAAAAAAATTTGTGTTCAAGTCTTAAAAGACCAAGACTTTAGGCTTGGACATACGAAAGTATTCCTAAAAAATCACCACGATGGAATTCTGGAAGAGTTAAGGCACAAAGTTGTTATAAATGCAGTTATCAAAGTTCAGACTAATGGAAGACGGTTCATCTACAGACGAAGATTTCTAAGACTACGAGCCGCGGCTTTAACGGTACAGAAACATTTCCGATCGCGAGGCTATAGAAATAGATACTTGATAATGAGAAGAGGGTACTTGCGATTACAAGCCGTGTTGAAATGTCGAGAACTTAGAAAAACCTTCTTAAACCTAAGAGGGTTTTTCACAAAACTTCAAACTCAAATCAGAGGATATTTGCTTCGAAAAATGATACTAGACAAGCGTTCTATTATAACCGCGCAATTAGCACAGTTTAAAAAAGACAAAGAACAGAGTAAGTTGGATACAAAATCTGCAGAGGATGAATATGAGAAAAAATACACGGAGTTTATGAGAGCTGTTTGGATTGGAAAAGATGTGGGCGTAGAAGCTGCCCAGAACACTGCGTTTATAGATGATAGATATGTTGATGACGTGTTTGGTTTTTTAAAGGATACTGCGACTCCGGCGGGGACTGTTAGAGGAACAGGATTCGGAGTAGTATGTATATTTTTGTATTTTTTGCCAGACTTAGACCAAAATATTTAAAAGAAAATACACACTTTAATCACCACAATCTACAACTATTACAACTGTGTTAATAACTATAGACCTTAATATAAATCGAGTAAAAGTATAATTTATAAATGACCGACTCGCCTACAAAGTAAACTGTTGTCTGCAGTACTCCGTCTGCCTTAAGTTCCAAGAGAGGTTAGTACTTGTATGCAAGCACTTCACTTTACATTGTTTTTTTTCAGAGTGCAGTCGAAAAACCCACAGCAGTAGATGTTATTAATATACCCCTTCAGAGAGAGTATGAGGATGAGGCATTCGATGAGTTTAATTTCAAGAAGTTTGCGGCTACTTATTTCTTAGGAAACGTCAGCCACCAATACTCTCGGAAACCTCTTAAGCATCCTCTTCTGGACCTGCCGTCGCCCGTAGATAAGGCAGCATCACAGGCTCTATGGATCACTATATTGAGGTTTATGGGCGATATCGCTGAACCTAAATATGTCGATGATAAGAAGGATAACACACCCATAATGACCAAATTAACAGACACCGTTGGACGAGCATTCCAAAAAAGCAAAGAATTCGAGGTGAGCTTTTTTATTACGATAATAACATTTTCATATAATTACTTTAATTTTCCATAATACGAGTTTGTCATTTGTATTCATTTATGAATAAATAAGGGGTGGTTTTTTGACTAGATACTTTCTAGTATAGGAAAATTTTTTTTATTTAAAACTGATTTAAATTTCGGGAGAGATGTTACGCGGATATAACCCAATTCTCGATTTTTTTAATGAGTTATTTTGAAAACTGAAGCATTTTACTACAAATTTCACCGCGAGACGAGCATTTAAAAAAAAAAATTTTCATATGGATGTGCTATTGTGTGCGCCGTCGACCTTTTGGGTCTAAGTCATGTCGGTTTCCTCACGATGTTTTCCTTCACCGTTCGAGCAAATGTTAAATGCGCACATAAAAAGAAAGTCCATTGGTGCACGGCCGGGGATCAAACCTTGACCTAGGTATGGAGTACACGTAAGCACTAGTAACACTGTCTATGTATAATAGAACAACGTTTATTGCGGTTTATAAACTAAATTAATTTTATTGTAATTTCAACAATTCTTGTTTCATCCGATTTATTAGTTCTTGGTAAGGTAGGTCTAAAAAAGAGTAATTCATTATTAATTACATCGTGTACTGATAGAATATTGATTACATAATTAATGAATTCTGTGCTTGTCTGTATTTAACTATACACGATTTTGATAGTTGCAGTCGCTTATACAACTAAGCAAAACTCTAATTGCTTAGCGTATAACACTAATTTAATATTTTTGATTTAGGAGATGCTAAAAGAAAACAATGATGGTAAGAGAATGATCCAACGAACTCTAAAAAACAATCGAAGTTGAATGATGAATTTGTCAAGAATTTAATGAATGATGAACAAACTACGGAAATGTACAGCGCGTGGTTAAATACCAGACGTAGTACTAATTTAGAAAAGTTGCATTTCATTATCGGCCACGGAATCATTCGTAAAGAACTGAGGTATGAAAATATGTACTGAAATTGTTAATTGTAAACTTGTATAACCTAGGGTTCGCTGGCTTAGTTAATTAGTTTAGTCTGAATTGGCTTCTCCCAAAAGATAAAAAAAAAAAAAGTCATTTTTAGAAATGTATAGTTTACCTAATAAAGTGATGTTTAGTTCAGAGACTTGATTGGTGATGAAGATCTTAAAATTTTCTTAGAAATCTTAGTGATATTCCCATTTTTTAAAGTGTTAGAAAACATTAAGAAATATTATAACTTTGCTAAATAATGTTTTATTTGTTTTTTTTAATAAGGTTTTTTTGTTTCTTCCAGAGACGAAATATTCTGCCATCTTTGTAAACAGTTATCAAACAACCCATCGAAAGCCTCTTTCGCTCGCGGGTGGATTCTACTATCACTTTGTGTTGGCTGCTTCCCACCTTCTGAGAGATTTGTCAATTACCTTCGCTCCTTCATCAGAGAGGGACCCGCTGGCTATGCTCCGTATTGTGAGGGACGTTTAATGAGGACTTTCAAAAATGGCTCCCGCACACAACCTCCTAGTTGGCTGGAACTGCAAGCTACGAAAACGAAGAAACCCGTATTACTCACAGTTACTTTAATGGATGAGACCATGAAAACTGTACAGTCTGATTCAGCCACAACATCTGAAGAAATATGCCAGCAAATAGCCGATAATGTTGGTCTTAGTGACACATTTGGGTTCTCACTTTACATAACACTCTATGATAAAGTCCTTTCTTTGGGTAGTGAAGGAGAGCATATTATGGACGCAATTTCACAATGTGAACAATACGCAAAAGAGCAAGGAACACCAGAGAAAAGCGCTCCGTGGAGGTTGTTCTATCGAAAAGAAGTATTCACGCCCTGGCATAATCCAGCAAACGACCCAGTTGCTACCAACCTCATATATCACCAAGTGGCTAAGGGTGTCAAGTTCGGAGAATACCGCTGCAATTCTGAAACCGATTTAGCAATCATTGCAGCACAACAGCATTACATAGAGTATGGAGCATATATTGAACCAAACGTTTTAAGAAAAGTAATCGCAAACTACATTCCAAATCAGTTTATTCAGAGTAACGATGCAGCGTTAACAAAATGGGAACATTTAATTACAAAAGCATTTGAAGCGTCGCAGAGTATTCAATCTAAGATAGAGCCGCTGCGATGTAAAGAAGATATTGTTATATTCGCAAAAATAAAATGGCCTATGATGTTTTCAAGATTCTTCGAAGCTATAAAATTGAAAGGTGATTCAATCAACAAGGATATCGTCATTATAGCAATTAACTGGACTGGAATCTACATTGTCGATCAATCTGAGCATATTCTCTTAGAAATGTCTTACCCTGAAGTCACATATGTCGCATACAGCGAAGACAAAGATTACGAAAATATTGGTAGAGTGACTATCAAAACTATACAGCAAGAAGAATTCGTATTTCAGAGTGTTGAAGCGAGCGAAATGAGCTCATTAATAATATACCTTATAGATGGTTTAAAGAGGCGCTCTGTATATGTTATAGCTCAAAGTGATTCTCAAGGGTACAGTGACGCTGCCTCATTCTTACAATATAAAAAAGGTGATCTCATTACCCTTTTACAAGAGTTTAACGGTGAAACTCTCATGAATGCTACTTGGGGCCACGGACTGTGTAATGGAAAAGAAGGTTTATTCCCCACAGAACAAGTTTATATATTACCTACACTGTCTTTACCACCAACTTCTGTATTAGAGGTATTCAAAAAAGGTAACATAAACAACGACAAAAAAGTTACCTCTCAATATAATACTTTGCAGAGGAAGAGAATGTATACCTTAGAAAAATACGCTAAAGAACATTTTAGAGAAAACTTTGATATTCAAGCCACAATATCCAAACAATCCACTATAACATCCGCTAAGAAGTCAGTGTTGGGCGATCTTTGGGCCCATACGCGTGAACCTCTCCGCCTTCCTTTACTAAATAAATTACTAGATGACGAAAAGATTTGTAAAGTGGCTGTTGCAACATTCTTTGCGATTTTGAAATACATGGGCGATATGCCCAGTCCAAAACCACGGTCAACTACTGAGTATACAGATGAAATATTCATGCCTGCATTAAAGGATCCCATATTACGCGATGAAATTTATTGCCAAATAATGAAACAACTGACTAACAATAGAATACAACTGAGTGAGGAAAGAGGATGGGAGTTGATGTGGCTGGTGACAGGAGTGTTTGCCTGCGGCCAAACTTTAATGAAGGAATTAGTAGAGTTTCTTAAAACGAGACCGCATCCTATAGCTAAAGACTGTTTGAAACGGGTTTTCAAAATTCAAAAGGGAGGCGCCAGGATGTATGCCCCATATGTGGTGGAAGTTGAGGCGATACAACACAGGAGTATGCAAATATACCACAAAGTTTATTTCCCTGATGACACTGACGAGGCATTTGAAGTTGACTCATCGACCAAGGCAAAAGATCTATGCGAACAAATTACTGGTCGGTTGAGTTTGAAGAACAGCGATGGGTTTAGTCTGTTTGTTAAGATTATAGATAAAGTATTCTCAGTTCCGGATAATTATTATTTCTTTGACTTTATACATGAACTTGTTGAATGGATGAAGCAAACTAGACCGGCGCGAGTTACAGGTACTACTTATATTTCCTATCTATACCATTTATATATTTTGTATTTTAAGTATCTTATTAGCGTCAAAGTTAATGCTCTCGTTAGTAGTCTGTCGGTGGTAGCTACGTGGCTACGAACTACTACTAAGTTTCTGCAAAACCTGGCTGATCAGTTTGTATAACATATGATATGTTATATAATCTTCCGTGCTTTCTATTCCCGTTGGTACAAGCACTTTCAAACTATCCGCCAATACCTGCCAACTACGGAGCTGAATAAATAAAAACCAACACATGATATATTTTCAGGTGGCCAATTACAAATGAACTACCAGATATTTTTCATGAAGAAACTATGGATCAATACATTGCCTGGCAAAGACAAGAACGCTGATGAAATATTCTATTTCCCCCAAGAGCTACCCAAATATTTGCGTGGTTATCACAAGACGTCCAAGCAAGATTTAGTGGATTTAGCGGCTCTTATTTATAGAGCCAGATTTGGTGATGATCAGGCGCTATTGCCTCAAATCCCTCAAATGCTGGACGAGTTCATACCACCAGATATGCTAAAAATTATGTCCAATTCTCAATGGAAATCTGCAATAAGTGCAGCTCATCTTAAACATGGTGTCATGAGTGAAAGCGAAGCTAAGGAGCAATTTTTGAAAAAGATCTACCAATATCCAACATTTGGAACAGCTTTCTTTGAAGTTAAGCAAACTTCTGACCCGACATATCCAGAAATGGTTGTCATCGGTATTAATAGGCAGGGCGTAAGCGTCATTCATCCACAAACACGGGTAAGATCAGACTTTAGATCAGATTAGATTATTTTTTTATAAGATAAAAAAAAGGCGTTTATTTGCCAAGAGTGGTAAAAAAACCGCACAATCAGCCATTTATAAATAGGTATGCAAATGCCATATTAATTTGTATAATGTCACAATAATAAGTGAAGTTATTTATAATTGGTGTCAAACTTATGGTCTAAATACTCGCCCACGCTATAAAGGCACCTTGCCTTTCAAATTTAATCACCTTCCCCTTGAAAGAATTACACGGCAGCGATCTATAACTTTTAGGAAGGTGATTAAATAGTTTGATAGCCATAGCGAAACAATTATTTGAATATATCGTGGTGCAGCATGCAGTGACAGCCGTGTTGGATCACATGAATTCCAATATTTCAATGGCATGTAAACATTGCTTTAAAATTAGTTTGTATTGATTAATTCCTTTTGAAGCTAAACATGTAGCTCTGTATCTTATTCCTTATAGGTTAATTTAGATAGATTCCTCAACTGACAATTTTCCTTAAGAGAGACCCTTTTATGCGGAAGGCAGCTGACGCCGTTCTTGTATTAATTTCACCTTATACCTATAGACGATTGAACTGTACATTTACTGCGAAAACATTATTGTTACACAAATTACTGTTACATTTAACAAAAACAGTATATTGCGTAATTTAAATATCAAAATATACACGTCGAATTGATCCTCCTTCGGGGTTTTTTAAGTCGTTTAAAAAGGATTAATAGTTAAAAAGCAAGTCAAAGCATGGATTTGACGCTGATTAACTGAGAATTTTGATTTCTTAAATACACGTGGTTGACCCCGCACAATAAATAAATTTCGTGTTCGTATAACAAAACAGAATTTGGTTATTTCAGGATGTTATGGTGACATATCCATTTTCACAACTATCCAATTGGTCATCAGGAAATACATTCTTTCACATGACAATGGGAAGCTTCATGAGAGGAACCAAAATACTATGCGAGACTTCTTTAGGTTATAAAATGGATGATTTAATATCATCATACATAGCTGTTTTGCGTCAATCAATCAAGCAAAGAACTCGAAACTAAATATTGTAAAACTATAAATTATAATATCATATGTTTTTTTTATTATCAATATAATATTCACTCTGTGTGATGTCTAAGGATTGGTGGACATGTTCCAATCGTTGGGCAATATTGGTCATGTTAGATATGAAGCACGATTTTTAAAATATGACAAAAGATTATAATTGTCTCCTAGATTTTATATTTAATTAAATCTTTATTAGGAATAGATTGATTCAAATTTGAAATAACTCCCAAGTCAAGTTTCGTTTTTTTAATCGTCAATAATATTTGTAATTTGTTGACATAATAAAGTTTATCTACCATGTATTACTATAATATGTAAAACAATCAAACTACACATACACTTTACTAAACTTTAAAGCTTTATACCAAAATATATTTCTTATTATTAAAACTATCCGTTATTTATCCCTTGCGGGTAATATATATACATTTTATAATATTCTACCAAATTTTTATGTTCGTTTCGGTGTCTTTATTTACGTCATAACTAATAAGTAACTCTCGAAGAATTTTCGTTTTATGCCTATTTTGCATTTTTTTATCAAGAAAATATTTCAATACAGTTAAAATGCTATTAGTACAAACACAGTCTACTAAATATTATTTTTATACTACATACTGTAGTTATGTGTGGAGACGGAGATATATCTGAAATCGGAAATCTGTGTATCGGTTTTAGAATCAATTCGAATGGCATGCTGTGAAATCGGTTGCCAAAAAATAAATATTTGAAAATATTTTTTTTCTATTTCCTTTCAACAATAATTAACATAAAACAGATAAATCGTAATTTGAAACTGATAATTAAAATATACATAAGTATTTGTATTTTAAAATGGATTTGAATCGAAATCTAAGCTTAGAGTTCCACCACCACACAACAATGTTTTTTTTTATTTGAAAAAGTTAAATCAAGACTTACGTGGAGAGAAATCGATCGATTCAGAAATAAAAAACGTTTTTCTCGTTAAAATGAATTGATTTTATGCCAAAGCCCAAACTATCGATTCATCCAACTATAGTCTAAATTTTAATAGTATCTGGTCTGTGGCCTGTGCCTGTGTGCAATGTGCATTTGGCCTAAAGGTCTAGATACCAGGCCATAAACTCCAAAAAAAAAAAAAAAAAATGCAATGTGCATTATTTATTAACCATTGACTTAATTGATTAGAGTTTAACTCTAACTGGACATAAACTTGTAGTCACGATAATTGCGTTAAAAACCCTTAAAATATAGGAACTAGAAAGATAATTACAAAAAGGGGTCATTAAAATACCTATTATGGAAGGTCCTCCGATCGTATTGGAAGATGGGCTAGATTTACAGTTTAGTTTTACTTTTTGTATAATAAATAATATAAAATAATATGTTTAAGTTGTTATTGTAAAGTAATTATATAATTTAACTTTCGATTTACAGGAAACTAATTACTTCAAGTTCTATATTAAATATAAATGTCGATTACGATGACTTTGATAATTTTCTAGAAGACGATGATCCCAACAAATTTGATCCGATTGGTGAGCCTGTTGAAACGTTTGAAAGCCTAGAAAGACATCTAGTACCTATTGATGGTAATGGCTATGTTAAAAAGAAAATATTAGAGGAGGGTGGTGGTATGCCGTTACATGAAGGATGCACAGTTTACATTGCCTATTCTGGATACTGGGAAAAAAGTTTAGAACCTTTTGATATTTGGAAGCCCAATAAACCCCTAGTAGGTTCTAGTACAAAGTATTTCTTTATTACTGTAAGATTTTATTCAAAACTGTTATTTTTACATTTATTTAGCATTGCAGGTAGTTGATTTAAAAGAAAATGGCTTGTTACCTGGAATATTATTGGCAGTAAAATCTATGTTAGTGGGAGAAAAATCTATTTTCCTATTATCACACCAAGTGGCATATGGAGATTTAGGTATACCACCAAGAATTCAACCAAGAGCTAAATGTGTGTTCTTTATTAAGCTTATGAAAAGTATCCTGACCCCCAAAGAAGGGTAAGTAGTTAAAGGGTATGAAATTAATATATTTAAACTAATTCACTATTTATATTATTCCTATAATTTCACTTTCAGGCCACTACATTTCTCTGAACCAAATACTTTCAAAAGAGTTCTTCATGAAGTTAAGATGATCCATGTATCAGGTATTACTTTGTATAAATCAAAAAATCTGCCTGCTGCAATCCAGTTATTCAAAAAAGGAGTAAACATGCTTCATAAATGTCGTTTAGCTGATGAAGATGAAGAAACTCAGCAACGGAAATTATTAGTAAAATTGTATACTAATTTAGCTATATGTTATAACATTACAAAACAACCACTTAAGGCTTGTACATCATGCAATGAGTTACATAGGTTGGAAAGTTTATGGAATAATAGCAAAGTTTTATTTCAAAATGCTAAAGCATTGAGAATGATAGGACAATTTGAGGAAGCTCGGAAAAAACTCAAGAGAGCTCTGAATTTAAGTCCAAGTAATAATGGAATCAGAGCTGAAATTGAATTATTAGAAAAAACCAGCAAAGCATGTCATATTGATGTTTGTTTAAATAGCGGCAGGAATTTAATAGACAACAATTTCAAAAGAGAAGTAGATAACTTAGTTTCAAACTTTAAACAAAATCTAAATGTGTGTAAATTAACTTTGCCACCAGGCATGAATTCTAGTGAAATAGAGTATGTTAAAGAAGCTTGTTTAAGAGAGAATTTATTTTTCAATCAAGTTCAAGAAACCTGTACACTGGATAAAGAAGAATCAAAGGAAGTTGAAGATTTCATAAACATTTAACTTTTTCTACTTTATTGATAGATAAATTTTTAATAAAAAATATTTTATTTGATATTCTCTTAATTCTGCTGTGTTTTAATGTGAAAAATCCCTAATTGGCATACCACATTGAATCAAGGAAGCCACATGCTACAAAATTTGAAATTGATAATATTCAAGTCAGACAAAGTAAGTCTTTGATGAAAGAAAATTCATTGGGGTTTCTCTATTTATTTTGGGTATAATTATGTATTTCAAATAATGAATAATTAACAAAGTGTTTGTTAAATTTAACATCCAATTGTAAATTTCCTCCTTTGAAGTCCATAATAACAAGAATAGCTCTTAAACTAGAGTGTTTTATGATAAATGTATGTTAGCTATGATACCTGAATCTTTATGAATAATAATTTCTGTCTAACTGATATGAGGGAAATAATTTTTGCTATGTTTATAACAATGGAAAAGTAGCTATGTTTATCCTGTCTGTAGAAAAAAAATTGTAAATAAGTTTAACAACAAATATTTTATTGCGTAATTATAATTTTTGTAAAGCTATGTAAACTAGTCTATTGATGGAACCATAACACCTCCAAAATGCAGTTTTCTTAACATAACACAAATGCAACTGCTTTGCACCAACCACACTGTTGTATAAGTTCAACAAAAATACTTTTTAGTTTTGTGTTGGCAGGTTTAGGAGTACATTTTGTCCTTGAGGTAAGTAAGTAACGTTGCGTGATTTGGATAGTTGGTATGCAATGTCTTCTGCTGCTTCAATACGTCTAAGTTCTACAAGACCTTCACCAGCAGCTCCAAATGATTTAGCAAGCAACACAGCGGCTTGAGCATCACCCTCTGCGGCAATAATGGCAGCTTTCTTTTGTTGTTCAGCCTTTTCTACTAAGAATCTAGCCTTTTCAGCTTCTTGCTGCGCAACTTGTTTTAACTCAACAGCCTGTGTAAACTCCTTGCCAAACGTCAAGTGGGTAATAGAAATATCATCAAGAATCAAACCAAACTGTGCTGCTCTTTCTGTTAAACTTTCACTTACTTTTTGTGACACAAGCTGTAACAACAAAATTAAAATGAAATGAGAGTACATTGTCACATGAATTTTGTGTATATAATTATTATGGACTTCGCAGGAAGCTACAATTTCCAAATAATTGCATCCAGGTGAAGTCTCAATGGAGAGTAAAGATTATAGTAAGCCTATTGTATATATAAAGAGTAAAATTTAAAATAACACAATAAATAAATATTAAATTAACCTCTCTTTGTGTAATTAGTTCGCCTGCATCAAATTGGGCTACAACAGCCTTTAAAACCTCAGCTGTTATAGATGGTAGAACTCTTTCATCATAATCAATACCAAGAATAGTGTAAATCTTTGGAAGCTGATCTGGTATTGGTCTGAATAAAATACGCAGGGTGATGTTGACATTTTGAAGATCTGAAATAATAAAATAATTATCTTAAAACACATGTGTGTCCATGGAACATTTTGTGTTATAAATTATAATCATACTGGAGAAAACTTAAGAAATGGGTTGGATTTAGAAATAAGTTGCCTGAATTCAATGATACTGATTATGTAGGAGTCTCAGGATGCCTTGATTGGAACCCCTCGCAAGTGATTTTGACTGCCGGAGTTGCGTCTAAGTATTAAAAAAATATATAATTTTGTGTATTGAATTGAAATTTATTTTCCAGGTTTGTGGCCTACTAATAAATAATAAAGTATAAACTGACCTTTACTTCCAGTAACAGTTGGGACATTACGAGGTCTAGACCTTATATCGAAAACAATCGGTCTTTGAACCCAAGGGATGAAGAAGTGAGTTCCTTCACCAACTACTAAGTTTTTAACACCAGCAAATCTGTCAAATATTACTGCTCTGTGGCCACCATCAACTGGAATTTTTTTTATTTTATTTTATTAAATGTATAATTAATTTCATATCATATTAATATAAGACACCATAAAAGACCATTAAGAATTAAGATATACATTTTACATACCATTGTACAATGCTGAATTTACTACTCCTCCAACCAGAGCTACTCCCAATCCGAGTTGACCAATGCGATTGAAAAATTGGGCCATCTGCAGAAAATAATTTATCGCAATTTATGAAAATATTGTGATATATTTACCTTCGAGCTTACTTTTTGCATTATACAATATTTAAGTTATCACAAAATAACCTCAAAGATACATGAAATCGACATTGCTGATAGTTTATTAAAATCTCTGTCTGTAATTACCTTACTAACTGTATCTCTCTAGTATGTATTTATTAATATAAGAACTTAAATATATTTTTAGTTTTATTACACAAAATGTACTATAATCACGTAAGAATTATTAAAATTGAGGAATTTGAGGCACAATTTGCCATAGATAAAGAGTACTTTACAGAGTATGTAAGATTAGATTTATTAGTTGAGGGCACAGCTTACAATTACATTTAAAATATTAGCTGTGTACATTAGTAATACCTTACACCATATCTATTTACAGTTTCACGCCTATTTAAGTAAGGTCGAATCCACAATCTCTTCTTTTTCTGTTTCTTTTTTAAAATAATATAAGCTGCTGCGACTTCAATTCAATTCATTTAAAAGGTTTTCAAATTCCTTTGTGTGATATATATATAATCTTTAGTAATTAAAAACTAGTTACTAGGAAAATGGCAGGGTTATCATCTGAAATCTTTTTATACGAATAAATTTTAAAGATACATTTACAAAAGTTTCTAGGCATTGCAACCTGGGGTCTACGTCAAGATGCCTGAACAGATATGTAGAAAGTCGAAAACTAAATTTGTATGAAAATTTAGTTTTCGACATTCTACATACACCACTGTTACGGCATCTTGACTAAGTCACCAGTAAGTCTTAAATTCTTAAAAGACGTTAGGTACCTTCTAATAGAATTCAGATATTTGGAGCGCCGTCATTTGAGTATTGCTATAACTTTGTACTAGGCGCTTTTTAATTTCATTGCTTTTCAACTGAAAGTATATTAGAATAAACTAGCTATTTAGTTGCATGCATAAACTTATTTCTTTCTTTTTTGCTTTTTAGCTATTGTTAATTTGTTAAAACTTTAATTAATTGATGTTAAGGATATAAATTAAAACTAATAACTTACCCCGTGAGCTATATGCTGATGTTGTAAATTCAACGCGGACGGCTAATCGAGTTTACTATGGCGGGAACTGTTGGTAATTGAACGAAAAATAAACAAATAAAGGGATAATTGCAAGTCTGTTGAGGGTCGGCTTTGGGTGGCTCAATTATACAATAACACTAATAAACAAATTGTGATTATCGAATTAGAAGAAATTATTTATCCTTGGCGACTTTTTTGAATGTATTTTACTAGTATGTAATTTGTTTAGTCTTAATTCTATCTTGGTTCGCTTTGGCATTTTTTTTATTCTTTATTTACTGGTGTTTGTGACTTCACTCCTATATTAATAGCCTAATTCCTAACCTAAGAAAATCTTACAAAGAAACTCATTGGTGCATTTATTTACTATTTATTAGAATATAATAATTTGCATGGTTTGCCATATTTTATCAAAAACGACATTCTCAAAAGACATACGTTATATATTAATTAAAAAGGTGTAGTGAAGTAATTAAGTTAATTTGTAAGTGTACTAAGATTTGCAAGACATCGCAATGCACTTGAAATGTCGATGAACTTAAAGTTTATTATATTTTTGTTTAATGTTGTGTGGGGTGAATATTTACGATACACAAGTAATCTTAAATTGTATATACAAATATGGCACTTATTACAATACAAGAATGATGAATTTTCAATAATCAACTAGCTTTATATAGTTAGTTAGTTGGGGTTTTATTTATTAACTTAATTGCGTAAACATAATCATTGTTAACTCTTTATACTATAAGATCGCTAGTGTATAATTCCAATATTCTTCAAAATGAAAGTTCCAGATGTTAACAGGTGCTGTTTTTGCATTCCTTTGCGTCCCGGAATTATAATTTTTGCATACTTAAATGTTGTAAGTATCTATTTAATAAGATTCTCTTTATTGCAAAGATATTTATTTTTAATTGTTATTGATATTTATGGTTTTTCGTATCTATTAGTTTCGTTAGCGTAGTCATAAATAAAAATATTTACAGACGTGATAATTTTTATCCGTATTTCAAATCTTAAGTAGTTTTCTTTACAACAATATGTACACAACATTTATGTGTAGTTTTTATTTACCAACCAAAGAAATAACGAAAATGCTATAGATATGAAATTTAAACCACATCTAAAACAGTACTAAAACCAAAAATTTCTTGATTCAGAGAACAAAACTTTACATTTTTAAATTAAAAATTAATAAAAAACAAATTGTGTTGTAAAAATCTTTGCCGAATATAGTAAATGATAATAAATTAACAAATCATATATTCATATACAACCATCTACCTATAAGCATCGAGGGTATATCTCGTTTCTCAGATATTTTTAGCTGCTGCCGTGACGTGTCTCGTTATCAGCACCGAGCTGCAAAAGACTTCGATAACACGTGACTCTGCAGTCGAGGTCCTGACCTCTACGATATTATACAGTATTCTTGGCATGGGACTCATACTTAATATTCTCCTTTTTGTCGCCGCTTATCAGGTATATGATAATCAGTTGATATTTTTATGAATAAAAGATTTTTTATTTGAAATATATTGTAATAATAGAGTTTAGTCAGTATTTCTACCATGAGTTTGACAAAGTATTAAACACGACTGCGAAAAAAATAGTGGTAGGTAGACGTGAGCTTTTAATAGTTCGTGAAACTCATTAATACGACAAAAGTTACTTAAAATTATTTGAACTAATGATACCGCAATTGTAACAATGTTTATTTTTTTTTTAAGTTTTCTTCAACTTTCGTGCTCAACCATGTTTCATGTTAGGTACCCTATATATTAGGTCCTTACATATGAAATTGGCGTTTTTCGTACTGGCCACTTTAATCACGATGTTCTCCTCTTTGATAAGGAATTCCAAATTCAAATTTGTACTGCTATTTACTCATGTATTTGTGTCTTCGATGACCGTCATTCATTTGTTTTTTTCTTCTGTTTTCTGTTTGCGTCACTCATTTTACAAAATGGAAAACTTAAAGTATCGCATTATTTACGAGTATGAGTTCCGCCGTGGCACTAGTGCTGCGGAAACGACTCGAAGGGTGAATGATGTGTATGGCAGTCATGTTGCAAAAGAAAACACAGTTCGTTTTTGGTTCCAACGTTTTCGTTCTGGAAATTTCGACCTGCAGAACAAGCCCCGTGGACGGCCTGAGACCCAAGTTGATAATGAAGTATTGAAGGCTATTGTGGAAGCAGATCCATCGCAAACTACGTGCGAGTTAGATGCAGGCTGCGGTGTTAGTGATAAAACTGTTATAATTCACTTGAAGCAAATTGGGAAGATTAAAAAGCTTGAAAGATGGGTACCTCACGAATTGACTGAAGCAAACCGGCAAACGCGCGTCGACTGCTGCGTTACATTACTGAACCGGCCCAATAATGAAGGTATTTTAAACCGAATCATTACCTGTGATGAAAAATGGATTCTTTACGATAATCGGAAGCGCTCAGCGCAATGGTTGGATCCTGGCCAGCCAGCCAAATCCTGCCCCAAGCGAAAATTAACCCCAAAAAAGTTACTTGTAAGCATTTGGTGGCCTAGTGCCGGTATTGTTCATTGTAGTTTTCTCAAATCTGGCCAGACTATTACGGCTGATGTCTATTGTCAGCAATTGCAAACCATGATGGAAAAGCTAGCGGCTAAACAACCTAGGCTGGTCAATCGCTCCACGCCACTGCTACTTCACGACAACGCTAGACCACTCACTGCACAACAGACGGCTACCAAATTAGAAGAGCTTCAATTGAAATGTCTAAGACATCCTCCGTACTCCCCGGACCTTGCTCCAACAGATTACCATTTTTTTTCGAAATTTGGACAACTTCTTGCAAGGGAAAAAATTTAACTCTGATGGGGCAGTCCAAATCGCCTTCACAGATTTTATTGATTCCCGTCCGACTGTTTTTTTAGTCATGGGATCAATGAACTACCTATGAGATGGCAAAAGTGCATAGAAAACAATGGTTCATACTTTGATTAATTAAATATATTATATTTAAAAATATTCGACTTTTTGTTCCTCCCATACAAAACGCCAATTTCATATGTAAGGACCTAATATATATAGCACTTGAGACTGAAGCGGTAAAATTGTGGTTATTAAGTAAGTGGAAGATTAGCTTTTTTTAACGCAAATTTGAACCTTATGTTATCAAATAATTTCGTAAGTAATTTCAATTTGTCCAATGTGGTTTATGTACATTGGTGCCAATTTTGTGAGATTCTATAGCATTCGTTAAATAACTAATGATGTTTATTTTGTAAAAAAAAGTGTACCTTCAGTAGCATGTTTGATCTCAAGACCTTAATAATAAGTACCTGTAATTGCCATTACGGTTTGTCGTTATAAATAATTGATAAATATTGAGCCATTAAAAATCATAGAGTATATGAGTACTTTATGTTACTTCGTGTTAATATTCCAAAATCTAGATTATACAATATCTATTACAGAAAGACATATCTATGCTACGTCTTTACAATTACTACGCTGTAGCGACATCGCTGACTGCGCTGGTACCTACGTTCTTCCTGCTTTCCCGCCGGATGTACGTCGACTCTACAATGTCCTTCTTGGCGATAGGTATCTTAACCATAAATACAATAAACTAGATTTTAATAAAGATATCGCAGAATAAGTTTTTTTTTATGAATAAGTTATTTTAAGAGTGACTACATTAAACTTAATTATTGTAATCGTATATTAGAACATGAGAAGGACACATATTATATATGTTGGTTTAAAAAATTCATAAAACAAATTATTTACTGACTCTTCAAGATTTACGTATATTTTTTGTCTTCAAATAAATCCATTTTTAAATAACTTAGCGTTTCTTAGTTCGTAATAACAATAAACTCGATTTCAGGTCTACAAAGTTACGTTGTAATGCTGGTGCGAAGTGAGGTAGTGAAACTTGAGGAAAAAGAACTGAGACAGAATACTGAAGAGCACGAGAACTTGCACGAGGCAATTAATGTACCTGACTGCGTCACTCTTTTATAGGGTGAAGCAACGGCGATCAGGGGGGTCTGGGGGTCATGACCCCCTGAGCAGGACTTAGTGGACCACTAATTGATCATAATGATTTTATATATAAATTTGTCACCATACAGATTATATGTAACTACATACCTTCAATATTTAATTAATTTAATATAATATAATAACTTTGTATGATGTTGAAAATTTGAAATTTTGAATTTTCCGCCCACACTTGCGCCCCTGTCTATGAAACGTCTAGCTAGACCTTACCTCAATCGAATGAACACTAAACTTCAACATATCATAACATAGTCTTATTTTAAATTTGATATAAATTATACTAATATAGGAAAATTGATAATACACTTCAGTAAAGCGAGAGGAAGGTTTTCTCTATTGGAGAATTAAATCGGCTAAATCTTCAATGTTGAAATACCTAGATGGATTCTATTATGAAACGTACCTTGACTAAATGACTAATAAGTTTCGGGAAAACACTTAAAGAAAAATTGATTTATTATAAAATATAATATTTGTGAGGAATCCCTTGCCATCTCTTCCCTTTTGGAAGTTTTGGTAATACCCTCGACAACCTCTAGCTGTTATGACAAATCATCACACGGTATGAAAAAAGCTGCCTCATTCCGACGTGATATCAGGCCGAGCTAAGCTCGCAAAACAGCCGAGCTGAGCTGTAAAGGCCCTAAAGGCAAAGGAGATTCCACTTCAAAAAAAAAATTTATTTGGTTGTCTTAAGAGAAGATGGTAATATTACGTGTATAAGTTGTCAACTAGTGACGTAATAAATTTTTTTAGATTCCTCACACTGGGGCTACGAAAATACCCCATGTATGTTCCATTTTTTTAGTTTGAGTTATACATGTTTTTGTGTTTTTGAATGTTTTCTGCCAGCGAGGTTTCAAAAATTCATATCTTTTTTGTTGTAGGTATTTTGCAGGTTTTTTCCTGTTAAAGATTGCCTTAAATGATGTCAAGTAAAAAAATCACTTCTTAAAATTAGCTACTCAAAAGTTTTAAATTTAAAGTTTATTTTTAGTGATTTGCCCAAACATTCGACTTCAATTTAAAAATACAAAAAGAATTTCCATAGAAAAAGTTAAAAACTCCTCAGGGTTCTAAGTACCAAAATCTAGAAAAAAATGGTACTTAATTGTTTTTTTTTTAATGTTTTTTTTTGTGGATAGGCTAAAAATCATTGAAGATTAAAAATTTTTTTTTCGACTTGTGGTATTCTTATGGTAAATTAAACTTAATAATGTGTTTTTAATTAATTTTATTACCCGTAAAATAAATGTAGCTGTGTTTTAATGTGAAAGGAAAAAATCATAAGAAAAAACTGTTTTTTTAACTTTTATTTTCTTATGGAAATGAAACTTTACGATCTATTTTTACTAATTTTAATACCCGTAAAAAGTAGCTGTGTAATCCTTACAATAATTTTGGTCTTACCACTCAAAATTCACAATTTATTCGAAATAGTATTGTATTGTGAAATTACTGTTTTTTTAATAACAAATAAAAAACACAATTTACTGAAAAATATATTCTAATATATAAAATTCTCGTCTCGGGTGTTTTGACACTCGAACTTCGTTCCAACTTCTCGAAACGGCTTACCGATTCTCATGAAATTTTTATGCATATTGTATGTCTGAGAATCGACAACATCTATTTTTCATCCCCTTAATGTTAAGGGTAGTCCACCTCTAAATTATTACTTTTAATTTTTAGATAAAGATTTTTTTATTTTTTCATGATAAGATTAAAAATACATACAACCCCAATTTTCACCCTCTACGATCAACCACTATTTTTTATTATAAATGATATAATAAGGAAAACGACGTTTGCCGAATCAGCTAGTATTGTAATAAATTTTCAAAACTCCTTCCTCACTTGAATACATAACGATAAGTTTGGGGATTTTTAAGAGCTGGTTTACCGAAGGAAAGCTACTTTTTTTAATGGGTATTAAAATCACATATAAAGTTTAATTTACCATAAGAATAACAAAAGTCGAAAAAAAAATTATTAATGTTCAATGATTTTTAGCCTATCCACCTTAAAGGCCGATTACAACAATAAATTACCAATTAAGTACCATTTTTTTCTAATTTGGTACTTAGAACCCTGCGGAGTTTTTAAACTTAGCCAAACCTATGGAAACCTTTTTGTATTTTTAAATTGAAGTCGAAGTTTGAAAATCAGCAAAAACTAAACTTCTAACTTTAAAACCTTTTTGAGTAGCTTTAACTAATTATAGGAAGCTGAGATTTTTTTATTTGAACAACATTTAAGAAAATCATTTCAAAAAAAAACTGCAAAATACCTACAAAAAAAGATAGGAATTTTTGAAACCTCTGGAGAAAACATTCAAAAAACACAAAAAAATTATAATTCGAAAACTACAAAAAATCGAAAAACATGGGGTATTTTCGTATCCCCCAATTAGGAATTAAAAAAATATTGACGTCACTAGTTGACCAACCTGTATATTAACAATATAGTTGAATTTTTCAAGTGTACAATAAAAAAAATATTTTTAATTGCAATACTTACGTACATTAATAAAATACCTACTTTTTACTTGTATCTATTGTTATCAAAATGAAATATAAGTTTTGACTTACCAGATAGGACCCTCTGGGAAGTTGTTGGGGTGAAGGCTCGTTGTGGTGAAATAAAAAAAAGTGCGTGCGTACAAAGTACACATGTCAGAAGTGAAACTTCTTTGGCAAATCTAATTTTTAAGTCTTATTCATATTTATACAAATCTAAAACTTTAGATTTCCGAGACTTAGAAAAGGAAGATATGTTAGGAATTTAATGAATTTAATTGTCATTAAAATATTAAGAGTGTCGAAACTTAATACAAATTATAAAATAAAAAATAAATATTTTTGTCGATAATAACAACACGTGGCATTTTAATTTACAATTCGTCATTTGAGATTTCAATAAATTATTTAGCATAAAATATAAAATACTAATATTTCATAAATTCTCTTTACGAAATTTTAATTTTAAAAATAGAATTTCTATAAGGTAATCGGCCTTCTCACTCTCTCTCAATCGCTCTCTTCCTTTTCTTCGACAAAAACGCTGCACATCTTCGTGACGCTAATATTATTATTATTGCGTTTCATCCGTAAAAAATTTTACCCTCATACACCTAAAGAAGTTTCACTCCAAAAAATATAATTTATTGTAATAAAATACCACATACATTAACATAAATAATAAAATTAACTACAATTTTTTACAAACGGTTAACGTTGGATGGTTAATTTAACCTTTTAGATTTTGGCAAATCTACCTCATAAGATATCCCATTTCAGTACATTGAAAGCGATAAAGCCGTCCTAATTATTTTTTTACTGTTGTAATTTTGTTATGCAACGAAGTCCTTAATAAATAAACTGATAATTATAACGTGATCGTAGCAAATGGAAACTCGTATGGTATTGAATTCACCTACTCTTTAAAAGCACACAGGTTATACGTAAATTCCGATAGGAGCTCGTTCTGGTAGCCCTCTCTTTAAGTATCCAAAAAAGGACTCGTTCTCCAAATTGGTTTTACGTAATATCAGTGAACAGATATTAAAATTTCATTCAAAACCTTACTGGAATCTCAAAATTTCGATGTCTTCAAAGTAGCCGCTCGGTGCACGATCCTGTCGTGTTGCTGTAATGAGTTAAATTAAAGAAAAATATAACATTTTCGGGGGCACAGGTGGGCGCCCGCGGGAATCGTGACTTACTTTGTTGTTGCTATTGTTATGTAACGCCTATTGAATTCATGAAAAATATCATTAAAATGCTCCATTTTGAATAAGCGGCCAATTAAAGAATGCCACATAGCAATTTGTAAGGATTATTATTTTTAATTATTGTGTTAAATAGATATTTCGAAACACTTGTTTTTTACTCATTGACCTAAAACAAAAATAGACTAAAATTAGTCTATATTATTTATTTGTAAACTTTTTTTGTAATAGTGTATTGTTTTAGACAGATTATATCTAACTGCCGTTTTCAGAAACGTTCATTAAGCCATTAAATAAAGACTTATAGTTCGACATTAAATCGGAAGCTCAGAGGTAAGGAGAGGCATTATTGATATGATAATTGACGACTCAGTGTTCAGCCGAAGTGTTTTAAATCTGCTTAATTAATTTAAGTAACTATATATGATGCATCAGAGCAGTGTTGGCCAAGTGGCATCAGCGTGCGACTCTCATCCCTAAGGTCGTAGGTTCGATACCCGCCTGTGCACCAATGGACTTTTTTTCTATGTGCGCATGTAACATTCGCTCAAACGGTAAAGGAAAACATCGTGAGGAAACCGGCTTGCCTTAGACCCAAAAAGTTGACGGCGAGTGTCAGACACAGGAGACCACCTACTTGCCGATTAGATTAAGAAATGATCATGAAACAGATACATAAATCTAAGGTCCAGACCTAAAAAAAGGTTGTAGCGCCACTGATTTGCCACATATATGTGATGCATCTCAATTACTCGGATCATATATTTACCTCAAGGACTCCCTAAACTCCCGGTAGAGGGGATAAACATCGTTACAGAATGGCGGGTCTGATTACTGTAATTATTGATACGGTAAATATTAAGGTTGTATGCCGCGGCAGCTGGCGTACGAGTGAGAAAAGACAGAAAGCCACAACCGTTTGGTGGGGGCTCATAAGGAATTATTTTAATAACATAGGTAGGTACTATATAAGATAGTCCTAGGTATCTATGAGTGGCGAAGTAAACTAGTTAATTGCGTAATGTATTTTTGAAATATGTATTATGTATTATTTTTTTACATACGAGGTTATCATACAGTGACGATTTTTCGTAATTATTTTAAAATCGTCGTATGGAGTTTTTTTACTATAATTGGAATAATTTATTATATATATACGACGTACGTGTTTCATAAAAGAGTGGTGCCTGTTAGGTCTAGGACAGATCTGCTTCGTGATATTATTTCTAATAGTCAAAGGCTACTTGCGCCCGACACATGCCGAGTTTTTGGATCTATGGTATGCCAGTTTCCTCACGATGTTTTCCTTTACTTCTTCAAACAACTACACTTAAGCCACTAGTTCAAAAATGCTCTGTATTTCATATGGAATATTACAAATTTTCACATTTTAGTAGCTAGGAAACGGAATGGAGTTTATATTTCCACACATACGAAAATTTAAATGCTATTATTCCGCAAGTGAATGTTACTTATCTTAGTCGAAAATTAGTTCAAATCTACGTATTTATAGAGTGGTCAATTAACTACACATTGGTATAGACAAAAATAGTATGCCAATTTATCACACACAAGTAACGTTTCATTTAAGATGAAGGAATAGAAAATGGGATTTCGGGACAGAACTAAAAATGAAAACTCACTTACTACACCACCTACTAGGACTGTAATTGAAAAATACCTAACTATGTGCCATTACAGCGCACACCGTCACTTTATTAATTACTCAAGCGACAAAATAGCTTAATGGCGTCAATTAAACAATCCGTATAACAATTTAGCTTTCGCGGAATGGTTTCTCCGGGCATTTTTAAAAACTACGTGGGTAAATGCCACTAAGGAGTCCTGTAAAGCGAAATGCACTTATTAGCTGAGGAGGGCGCGGTGAGTGCTCCGCCTAATGGTTGCTATTCATGGGTTGAATGGAGACATAAAATTGCCAACAATTATATACTCTCGCAATGATAACTGGTAGATGCCTCCAAACCGTCTCGGAATGGAGCCTAGCTTAGGGAATTTTTAAAATCTTGGAGTTTTACCTGGAAAATATAAGCTTCTTACGCCCGCATTCATTCAATAGAAAGAACTGAGTGATTTCTTAAAGCGCATCATGGCGTACAATTATATTCTTAAAGGTTTATAGAAAGCTGGTTTGATTGCTTCGCTATCATACTCTCCCAATAGCTTCTTAATTGTAATCTAAATGTTACATGGGAGAAAATAAAGAATGATTATTATTATTATTATAATTGTGCAAAGCTTTGCTTCTGTTACGAGCCTGTATGTATGTATGTAACAAAGTAGGAGTGACATTATACACACGACAAGAGATATGATTGATGGATATCACATCGTTAAGATATCTCGACCACCGAGTTTTGTTTACCTGTCAATCTATGATACACCGTAATACACACATGAGTTTGGAACATCCTCATATAAGGTAAGGCTATACGTGCTATTGTTCTGTTTGATGCCAAAATCTATCAGCAATCTGTGAGTAGGAGCGTGAGTGACGTCACAACATGGCGGCAGGTAGGCAAGCGGAGATAGGATCCGGTCATCCTGGCCATTTCCGGTCTTCACGCGGCCGTGACGCTTCCGGGCGTACGTCGCCGCCGCACACTGAACTGATGAATCTAGAATGGACACGCTTTGCCTGACAATTGGGTGATAGATTCACTGAAATGAAAAGCAGCATGGAGGTTTTGCTTTAAAAATCAATTCATAAATTCATTTTTATATTATGGCTAGTAACATTCAACATGCCAGTTGTATTGGCTACACACGGTGGACTTTAGATAGCGACAGCTAAAAGAATGATATAAAATAAATTTTCTATTCTATTCTCTGTGTAAAACTAGTCACTTCCATAGACACTTAGAATGTAATCTGTGGTGTGTCGCGCCGTCCCAACGCGAAGATGAGTTTGTGAAATGAATTCGCGACAATTGAATACACGGAACATAGTTATCTTGGACTCTTCCGTGGAAGTTAGAAAATATCTAACGGCTTCATTGAAAGATAAATTAGTATTTTGAAACTTTATTAAGACGGATAAATAAATGTTATTATTTATTTAGTTTTCTATAGATGAAGGAATTTTTAAAATCGATAAGTACCAGATCTTGTAGCTTTTACATTACTTCCAGGTCAAGTAAGCTGCTTACGGCTTCTTCTGCAAATGATTAGTTTAAGTTATTTATTATATTTTCGTGACTATACATATAAAGAAGAATATTATGTTATATTAACATTACTTCATTCTTGGTTTTTACGATGTAAACTATTTAAATTAGCTGCAACGTGGAACTATAGGTTGGCCATTTTGAGGTATGTTATTTTAAATTATTAGTGCTACATATATAAGAATAAATCTATAAGTTATAATTATGGGTGCCTATTTGATAGGAAGATCACGGTCTAAGGCAGAGAAGGGCGGGAAAATTATGGCTTATTTAAAATATTAATATTAAAAAGGTCGTTTTAAACTGCCAAGGGTATAAGAAGATTGCCCAGTTCAAGTTGATTTGACCCCAGGGAGCTCCGTTGGGTGTCAAGACGTCAGTTCTTCATTTATTTGAAAATATTGACAGATGCCCTCGAAGCCACCTGACAGCGGTCATGAGCATATGTCGACTACCAACACGAGTTCCACGCTACGTTCCACGCAAACGAATTTACTAACCAACTGACGTGTTATACTTGTTTTGTGTACATTTCTCTTTTCTCGACCTATTTAAAAATGTATTAATAGTAGGCCTGTAATGTAAAAGGCGCTATAAATATGTTCAAAATTAAATTTTAATATCTAGTTTTTAAATGTTAAGTATACTTAATTAGTCATTCAATAAAGCGATCTTTTGAAAGCATATGCTGGTTTATGTAACTATAATCTTTTCATAAATTATGCTTATTACATAAATTTTTAATATATTAAATGTGTCGCTTTATAAGCATCTAATTACATATGTGCCCTTAAAATATTACTCTCATAGAGTTAAAATTTAGACATAAAAGATACACCATTATGGTATATTAATATACACAAAATTATTATTCAAAATATTGAACCTATAGTGAATTAAAGAATCGTTATCATTATGGTAGAGACTCGGTACACGTTCCACAGGCTAAAACTAAAACCTTACTTATCAGAAATTACATTAAATTTTAGTATAATTTAAATTTACATTGATTTCGTGATAATACACGCTGACACATCGAAGTTTTCTAAAATGAAGTAATTACAATTTTATCATACGCGTCGTAATCCGATAAAACAATATTACATGATGTATTTAATATATTCACGTAAATCATAGACATTACTTATGATTTTTTTCTGAAGTTTATAATTTATGTTTAATAATTTGACAAATGGCGTTTGTGTGACGAGAAAATTCTTAAGGTGGGGGGGGAAAAAAAAAAACCACCCCCCCCCCCCCCCGCCCCCCCCCCCCCCCCCCCCCCCCCCCCCCCCCCCCCCCCCCCCCCCCCCCCCCCCCCCCCCCCGAAAATTTTGGTTGGGCGGGGATTTTTTTTTTCCACAAACCCCCCCCCCCGGTGGGGGGTGGGGCGGGCCCCCCCCCCCCCCCCCCCCAACCCGGTGGGGTTTTTTCCCCGGGGGGTCCCCGGGGGGTTTTTTTTTTGGGCTTCTGCCCATTTTAAATTTTTTTGTTTGTTAAGTACTGACATGCGTCGGGTGGCGTGGTGTAGCGTCGCGTTTTGGTAGTATGTTTCCGCCTTTAGTGTGACGTCGCGTCGTTTTACGAGACAAAGCGAAACTAAAAACTAAATCGAATTGTTACTTCACGTGTATGATATAACTCATATAGTTATTGAGATAACGTATTACATATATACTATTTCAAATAAATAAAATTATATTTTGGGTCAAATTCCCATGTATTTTAACTCAAATGTTTTATCACTCTTATGTGACATTAATTACATTACAAATTATGTTCAATAATCCTATTTCATTAAAGGATCAATTTTGTCACTTAGGCTAATTTCTTTAAAAAAACGTGTTTTTTGTTTGTATAAAATAAAAAACTTTTTTAAAACAAATATACTCTTTATTATTTAATCGTTGGCACTATTGCGCTGTGAAATTGATTCGGTTTCATCATGTAATACCTCAATAATTAATTTCTCTATTTCCTTGTAACAAATATACTTCCTTTTTTTACGTTTATATACGTTTATCCAGTATTCAGTTAGTAAAGCCAAAAGAAGACTAAAGATGGACAGAAACATTTGGAATGTTTAATACATCTAATAAACGTGGGTATAGTCTGTGCAAACAAGTTAGCCGATAGACGTTAAAACAAAGACTATAGACAAAGTCCAACTAAGTGACCTGTTGAGACTAATACAGCACCAAGAGTTTTAAATTCCGGCTACATATAATTAATATATTACTATTACTACATATAATTCACTAACACTATACTATGTAGGAACATTGGAAACATCGCTAGTACCTATATGTGTGAGAAACCTTAACAAAATGTCAAAATCACTTTGGTGCCGACAGGATTGTGGATGTCCATGACAATAAGAAATATGTTCATAATTTAGTTGGATGAAGGAAATTCAAATAATATTAGGATTTGTAAATTTGATTAGACATATTTTAGAATTAGTATTTTTTCATCTTTCATTCTGCTGTCGGCGTGCGTGTTAACAGACTATAGAAATAATAATTACACATGTAAATATATAGCGATCAAAGTATGGTTGTCTACATTATATACTATGATCGCTTCACAATTTGAACGAAGTTTCTAAGCTAATATAAAATCCAAATCAATTTCACGGCATTTTACATTATTTATTATATGCTATATAATACATATCAGTAAAGGGACAATTATTAGCACATAATACATTATTTTGTGACTGAACATCGTCTGGCGTTCACTTCTCCATATTGTGATCTTCACTGAATGATTCGGAGCAGAATCTGAAATGAGAGAAACGAATATGTTAAATAAGATTTATATTATGATCTTTAAAGGCTCTTTAACAATTTGGAATATTTTTATTGAATCTTTTTGAAATTATAACTTATATTTTGAAATTGAGGTTATTTAATAAGTCTTATAAAAACTTGTATAGATAAAGATACAGACAAGCTATATCCACCTGCTACAGTACGATGTTACGGCATTTTATAGATATTTGACTTGTTTTATATAGACCACTGCAATTAAAATTAGTATTTTTAAACTTGTATTTAAAACAATATTTAATAAGTAATAGGCCCGATTGTTAACTTTGAGGTCGTGAGGTCAGTTGTGTTTTAACGGACTTCTAGTACTTCGCACAAAATCGCGACTCTGAATGGCACCTTTACACGCAAGAATCAAAGCGTCAGGCATAAAAATATATTCTAATAAAGACAACAAAATTATTAAATAAAAATATTAAATGAAATGAAATAAAATTATGCAAAAAAATTATATCCAACCCATATAAGGCAGGTAGTACAACATCAAATATTCAAATTTTAATTATTTAAAGTAATTACGTAAGGAACGATAGATGTATCAAAGGAGTCGACCCGCGGCGAACATTAATCGACTGATTGAAATCGACATGTGTTCGACGGACGTCGCGATTTCCGACCCAAAACCGTTTTAATGTGACGTGCCTAATCAATACTATCCATCACTATCGAGGGTGTCTTCTCTATGGGGTAGGAGTGCGGTTTTGGGGTCATTTGGGGTACCGAACATACATATCTTAAGGTTATAAGCTTCAATGAGACAATAATGAGATCGAGAAATGAGAGGATGGTTGTAGCGATGTTGTGAGTAGATGTATTTTAAAATATTCTAAGCTAACATTATAGTTTTTATATTATATTAAATAGTAATTAAGAATTAATATTACGTTGTGAATTTTTCTCTTTTGTTTCAAAATACCATCAATTTTGGTAGTCTTTGACTCACCCATGATACTATTGAAATCTTTTAAATTTTTAAAAATTATTTATACACTCATAATTAATAGTTCTTTTATATCATGTACACATTAAAGCATTTATCTTTATTCCCAATACTAAAACATTCATTAAAATTAAATTTAAACCACAGATAATATTTATGACAGTATCACAGAGTAACACAACACTAACCTAAAAAATGCGCGCGCTTTTTTAAACGCGAACAATTTTATGAAATGATTTCTTCATGTCGTGCACCACCGTGCAGTATTAGCATCGGTAATGGACCGTAATGACAACTTGGGACTTATTTGCGGTACACGTGGGACGCTCCGGGCTGACGCAACAGATTTAAAGGAATGTAATGTGGCATGTCCTGGGCTTCATAATGAGACCACGAGTAATGTTGTCTTATTTTTCACTTAAAGCATTTACGCGGTAATAATTTTCAGTATATTGGTGTTAAATGTCTTCATTTCAATGACAGTTGAAAACGAAATGTTCTATTTTATGTTATTTTACGCAATCAGTAAATACAGTTGTCAGTTCCAGCCCGCTTTCAACTCTTAACTATAAAAACTAAAAACTAATATAAGTAACTTAATAAACAAAAATAATTAAATTTAATTAAAGGCCGGCAACGCACCCACTAAAATAGGTGCTCATATGATGTTTTTTAAGCGTTCCGTTTGTTCTACCCCCTTATACTAAAAAAAAAAAACAATTTGAAGACTAACATTTAACGTACAAGGCCAGAATTGATATGACCCACCGCACAAATCAATCAAATACGACAAAGACAATAGCCATCGATATACAGTTGACTAATGAACAAGAATACAATGCCATCCCTTCCTATCGTAAACCCATCGCGCACGTATCGCGTTACATAAAATATTATTTATGGTGTATAATTAATAAAAACAACCGCCTACAAAAACAAGTAGCCCAACAGGAAGATGTAATAACTCAATCGCACCTACTGAGCATAACGCGATTTGTTTAACAAGATTGGATCTGTGGTACAGAAGCCTCTTAACACGATACCTTAAGCCTACCGCGCTTACGTGGAACGTGTTATCAGGCACGGTAACATATTGGTGGTTATTAGCGAGATATTATAGGATACCACCCCAATTAATCTCGTTCGTAGACCTTGTACTAGCGTCGTTCATTGAGTTGTCCAAGTTTTCTCAAGTATTAAACTATTTTATACCTGTGTAGACAACGCTTCCACTGTACATATTTATTGAAATTTGGTATTACTTTTACTTTTTTATAGAACAGGTGGTTTATCTAATGTTAAGTGATACCACTGGAGATGTACACTACCCATGGCCACTCTCAATGCATGAGGGCTCGCAAGTGCGTTGCCGGCCTATTAACTTTAAAATTGTTTTATGTTTTTGTTGCTTTTGAATTAAATTGAAACTACATACATAAAAATCTTTCTTTGGTAGATCATGTTTTTGCGGATATACATTCATTTAAGTCTTGTGTAGTCTGTGGGGATAAGGTTACGTACGTACGTACTTAATACGTATATGAACATACAGAATATTATAAAAATTGTTATCATAGCTGTCGTGTGAAGTTTATATGGCTAGTTATAGATAACTTTAATAAACTTAAGCTTAAAAAAATTTGTTTGTAGTGTAGACTCCAAAATTCATCCGGCAGAAAAAGTGTAACACGCAATTTGCCAGCAACATACCTACATGAAATTTTTAATATCAGGTGGCGATCTCCGAGGACCTGCTTTATGCAAACTGGCCATACACTGGTTATTTCTCATGAAAAGCTTACAATGTGCCGGCCCGAGTTGCAACTTAATCTAAGAGAATGAAATCTGCAAATGAAATCTACGAACGGGGTTTAATCTTGCTTGGCTCGGGTTGTTCGCGTTTTTCACTGTCATTTTACTTGCTGTCGCCTGTCACCGATTTTATATTCTCGTAATATTTCCTACTTCTCTGCAATAACGGGCCCTTGAGTTCATTTATAAAACGTAAGAAAGTACAGAAATTATCTTTTTGTGTTATGTAACATACTTTTAGCAAATAAAAGAGAAATTATTTATTAGTGACTACGTATACCTATACAAATTGTTGTTTTTAATTATTAAATAATTCAAATTAAACATTGAAAAATAAAAAACCCGCCTAAGCGCTTTTCTCGGCATGATAGCGTCACACCAGTCCCTAAGACGTACCACGTCTGTAAACACTTAAACAGACGTCAAGTTTTTATGTGTTAATTATCATTCTGTAATTACACAAATACACGTCTATTATACTTAAATAAAACAGTTTCTGACGAAATCAAACTCAAACTTAGTATTAGGATTAGACAGACAGAGAATTTGACTAATTTGTGACCGTTTTGTGTCACGTGATATTGTATAAAAGTCAATATTTTTATTGAAGTATCTAGGCATTATTTACTTCCAATAACAAATTATATACTAATTTTAAGTATAAAAATATCCTGTCCAATATTAAAAAAACCTTGGCCAGTAGCTACGTGCTAAATAATTGAACACAAGTAGCCGTTCAATAAATTGCACGCACTCGACGCCCCCACACTTTGACGGCGCAAGCGCATACATCACAATCCACAGTACATCTGCATACCTATAGTACTCAGGGTTACCACATGAGTTGCTATACAAAAAAATGGGGATTCTATAAACAGTTAGATGCAGATTTCTACACCTGTTTCACGTGTAGTTTTTTAATCTGTTTTGAAATAAAATCGGGGGTCGAAACAATTTTTTACTTTAATTAAAAACGTACTATTACTTTAATTATAAACGTATTAAATTACGTAGTTACGTAAACTAATACTACTAAATCTATTACATGGTTTGACAATCCATAAGATACAAAATCCAACAAACAAGGAAGTAATTAATAATATCCAAAGGAGTGATATTTTTAGACTTTTTTTTGAACCTTGAGCTGGAGTAGGGTTAATATATTTTGTGAATAATAAATATATTTATTTTATAAACAGATAAATTACAAAATAATTTAGGCTACTTTTAAACTAATAATTCTACTGAAGCCTTTAATATGTATTATGTAATCATATCATAGATAACTTTTGTTTAACTTATAAAACAAATGAATGTGACAGAACATTTAAGATTTCTTAAGAAAGTTTTTCAAGGGACAATTATTTGCTACACACTTTAGCTTACGCAAAACGAACTTAACGTTGAAATAATCTATAAAGTAAGTTACTGTTATAACAGTTATTTATAATGTTTTCCGTCCTCAAATAAAGCGGAGCTAAATAAAAATCCGTGTAAAATAAAAGCAGTGATTTCCTGCGGGCATAAATCGCTTGGACAGTGGGTTGGTGATAAATAAGGCGGCTTCACGTTGCCTCACCGCAACTCAGTAAGATGCATGCATTAAAAATGTATAAAATGGGGAAAATGAATGTGAAAATTTAAACGATATATATTTTTTAATTGCTTAGTTAAGCCCTTTGGTTTATGTGCGTTTATTTTTGTAAAACTCCTTGAACGATACCTACGTAATTGACAGGCCTATTGCAAACCTTGACTGTGTTTTGTTTTAACAATTAAATCACTGACATTTCAGCATTTATTATTACTTCAATTTGCAAAGATTAGCGTATTGATAGATAATAATTTATTTAATTCGTAATCCTACATCTACAAATTTTATACAACAAAAAACAATTATACTAAAGATATAGTCAAAGACGGAATAAGTACATAATATATAAAAAGGTTCAATCAATAAAAAATACTAAATAGGTTTAACTAATTAATACCTAATTCGGCTGGGTTGTGTGATGGTGAAAGTGAGGGTATGTACGTGATGGTGTGTATGTGGGATGTGCTCATGATGCCGGTGATTGCCGGTGATAGCGCTATGGATATTCCGCGATAGCTTAAACAAGTCAAGGCTTAGTGGTCGTTGTAAGTGTGGTATGAATGAAGTGACGAAAAAATATGGCACATAAACAATTTTCAGTAAAGATTTTCAGTATTAGTCTGCAACATCGTTTATATATTTACATTTTCAAACCTATTATCGTCCAGAAATATTAAGCCTTCATTAAAGGCTGTATCGCACTTACAAATCAAAAATATCCCTACAACGGATCTCAGGTTTAATAGAGCGGGTTTTTAATGCCTCTAATGCATTTAATAAATCCAAATGATTGCTTATCTGTCATATTTTGAGTTATGTGACATAAAATCCTGTAACATAATACGACTAGTGTACTATAAAACGGTGGAACAGAAACCGGATCGATACTTGGACATTCAAATAAATAAAACTAGTATATTGAACGTTAGAATTTCCTTCCTGTCTAATAAAAACGGGGGCCGAGTATCGGGCAGGTCGTAATAAGTCTGAGAAATAAAATAATTTCAATATCAAGTATACAGTAATGCGACCAATATTGTAATAGCAGGACGCAGTACGAAGATTTAGGTCCGGTATGGTTGGTGTTATGCAATATAAAAAATATATCATAAATAATAAATATATATTATGTTCTAGTCTGGATTTTACTGAATTTTTGGCAAGAAAATGTTTGGTTTTCATTTAAAAATTTGTTACGGTGTTGAAAATATTTAGGTAAATATTAAATATTAATATATCAACTTGGCTTAGTTTTCTCATTAATTTTCTTAAGTGTGATTAAAATTTCATACTGCATAATCCTCTTATGAATTTTAGCGATTTATATTTTAATTTATTTTTTCTGAATGGAAGTATGTACCTTCAGCCCAGTTAAAACTATGCCTCTTCAGCATAAACTGGACCGCGTGCTCAGCAGCCCAGGCCGTCTCGTAAAGCAAGAGACCACACGCGGCCCGAGGTGTGAAGGCAGGGCGCGCCGCGGGGGCGCACATAACTCACGAGCCGCGGGACGCCACGACCATTCATGACTACCTGCGCGAGCGCAATCTAGACATACTGTCTGCTTTTGGACTCCTACATATTGATAAAACAATAATGCTAGATGGCAAGTTTTACCACCTTCGTGGCTAAATAAGGCGCTTGGTATATTCGATGTTTGTTATCTATATATAGATAATTACTAAAGTAAAAAATTGCATGGATTTATAATCATCAGATGGTAAGTAATCTATTCATTTAGGCTTTTAAAAGTCTTCTACATATAACTGTGTGTACGCTTGTGGTTCGGGTACATTTTGCGTCATTGTTATAGTTGAAATTTAGTTATTAAGGTTTGTATATGCACCAAAATATCTTTGATTTTCTATCTTTTACTCATTCAAATACAATGAGATTAAGCTAGTGAACATTTATATTCCTTCAACAAATGAATATTCAATGTATTCAGAAACATGTCATAAGTAACAAGAACACTACAAAGACACCTCAAACACTGTCATAAATGTCATAAGTCATGCAAAAAATAAACAATTTGACAGATGACATCACAAATACAAGATTTATAAAAAAAACAAGTACAAGAACTGTCCTTGAATTGTTGCACGGATAAAAAATGATAGTAAGAGTAACACAAATAAACATAAATATGTACAATATGTCACGAAAATGGTAGAACAGCGATTTAACATACATTTGATTTGATTTATATTGGAGTTGGTCTGTTACGTATTCAGGCAGAAAATGTATTCAGTGAATTTTGATAATTTTTATGTCCGAGATGTAATGGGTTTTACACATCCAATTACAGTACATGTGAGACTTAACTCACTTTAGGTAAATCCTCTGCTACGGAAAGAGTCAGGTAGCATTTTTCGCACTACCTGTGTCTAGATTTGGACGGGTAACGAATAAAGTTTTTAGTATTGCTTACTATAATAATAGTATGCCTTTATTTATCCATATCTTATTGACGTAGAAAAATAAATATAAATATAATATTATTAATCTAAGATGCGGCCCCTGTCCGGGATAAGGCCTCCTCCGACTCTTTCCATCCTATTTTAGTTTTATTTATTGCTTACTTTCTTCTGATACCACATTATTGCTAAAGGTTGGCTGTTAACGACTTGAATTGCCGGGTATCTTTTTAGCTCCTCGGCGCATGTGATGCCGGTCCACTCCCGTATTTTCCGCAACCACGACTACTTCCTCCTATCAGCCCGTCACTTGCCTTGAATTTTGCCCAGCATTATATTTGCAACAAGTCTTATCGATGATGACGAAAAATGTCTGAGATATTCCGTATTCGTTGAAGGACTCTTTAATTCGTCACTCTTTGGATCCAGCTGATGCGAAGCATGCAACGGTAACATCTCAAAAGCCTCGAGGCGTCTTTTTGTGTCTTCTTTAATAGTCCATGCCTCACAGCCGTATATGCTACTGGTCAGATGTAACAGAGTAAGAGTCGAACCCTCAATTTGATACTAATGTGGCGGCAACATAGTACTTTTTTCAGTTTATGAAAACTATACTTATATGTATTGCATACTATAGTTACATGTAAATTTACATGCAAATTAGGATCAGGTTACAATAACGAAAATTCGTTAACAAAGTAGCGTGTCTCGTTATCTCATAAGTAACGAAACTCTCACATATTAGGCCAATAATGACCAGAATTATGAACAATATGCACGAAGTTACGTAATTAGTTTAAAAACCGTGTTATGACTTAAACTGCAATTATCCGCAATGTTTTCTAACCGCCCTTTAGCCAAATGGTGTATGATGTTCGTGAAAGGAATATTGAGATGCACGCTATCGGTTAATGGGTCGTTCGGTTATGTGCGGTCTAATTTGTAAGGAAATTGCGGGAAGCGCGTCGTATTCTGTGTCATTAGATTCACTTGTTTTAAGCCGGCTTTTTGGGCAAATATAACTTAATGGATAAGTAATAAATCAGTGGCGCTACAACCTTTTAGGTCTGGCCCTCAGATTTCTGTACCTATTTCATGACACACGCCGTCGACTTTTTGGGTCTAAGACATGTCGGTTTCCTCACGATGTTTTCCTTCACCGTTCAAGCGTATATATAATATATAAAAGTCCATTGGTTTGTATATATTATTTATTATTTGTAAATAACTTTGACTGGCGGTGCCTGAGAAGCCGCTGGCTCAGTATTCCAAATGGTCCAATCTTGCTAACTCTGGCAATATTACCGAGTGACTTTTTTAAATCTATAGTATATATATTATAGCAAGACGAAGAAGGCCTGCTTGCTTTGAAAAAGGAATGATATTAGATTTAGGTGTTAAGTAACGCCCGCCTTAAATATGGCTATTTGCTCTACTCTGTGAAGCGATATCTACAATCTGTGCCTACAAATCACTACGATGACGTCATACCTTGGGTCGGATATATAACTTCTCGACTTCTACTGAGGCCTTCGGCATCTGCCCGAAGGATCAAGGATCCTTACATTAGTAGGATTACCACATTTTTGACACAGCACTTATCACCCAAAATTTTTTCCATAACGGTGAGAGTTATTAATTATTGTAGCAATGTGTTGCTATTACTAAATAACACGCATGTACAGTTAGGTCGTTACAGGTAAAACCGGAAGTGACACAGTTAATTGTTTTAGGGTTCACATCCATAGACAAGATATATTTCAATCCTTTTATTGGAATATTATTGGTCAACGTACAGGTATTTAATTGACTTATTTAAAAACACAATATGAACTATTTTCAATGTTGTACTTGTATTTATTACATAGAGCAGTGTTGGCCAAGTGGCTTCAGCGTGCGACTCGCATCCGTGAGGTCGAAGGTACGATCCCCGGCTGTGCTCCAATGGACTTTCTATGTGCTCATTTAACATTCGCTCGAACGGTAAAGGAAAACATCGTGAGGGAACCGGCTTGCCTAGACCCAAAAATTCGACGGTGTGTGTCAGGCACAGGAGGCTGATCACTGTTTGTCTATTTAATTTACAAATGATCATGAAACAGATACAGAAATCTGAGGCCTAGACCTAAAAAGGTTGTAGCGCCACTGATTTATTTATTAACATACTCGAGCTATAAATTAGATTATAGAGACTAGCTAAATTCTAAGGCTTGAAAGAGTTTGAATATTATAACTATTAATATCACAGTCTTCATAGTTTTAATAATATCATAGTATGATATATCACGATACGGTATTATTTGCGTCATCTATATAGCCCTGCTTAGATTGGACTATCACCTTAATACTGTTACAGTTCGCATGGAACTACGGTATAGGAGCAGCATCCGTTTTTAACATCCCAACGTCAAGTCCCGTAACGTCAGAATAAACAGATCACTGCTTGCCAAACCTATGTCTTTTATGATAAATGTTAAAATACATACCTAGTGTAATCGGAAGATAGGGCACACATCTTTCCTGGCCGTAATTAAATGTGGTCATTATTGCTTTTTTTTATATATAAAACGACCGAACAGTTTTGGTTCGATGCTCTGCTGTGCTTTCTTTCTGTCTATGTGCGCATTTAACATTCGCTCGAACGGTGAAGGAAAACATCGGGAAGAAACCTTTCCTAGGCCCAAGAAGACGTCTGTCAGGCACAGAAAGGTGATAGACCTACTTGCCTATTAGATTGACATATGATCATGGTACAGATACAGAAATCTGAGGCCCAGACCTAAAAAGGTAGCAGCGCCTGATTTATTTATTTATTTTGATAGAACGTTCAATAGCACTGACTTACGATAGTTTTGTCAAATATTCATGAATGTTGTATATGTCAATTGGATATTTAACTTTTTGACAGCTTGAATCTAACGATGCTTGTTCCTGTTTAGTTCCCAATACGCTCACAGACCGCTTCTCCAATCCATACAAGTTATACTTATCTGGAAGAATATTTTATTATAATTTAAGGTATATTTTCTAGTACTTATGTGGCGTTTTATGAAGCCACAGATTCACAGAAATCTCCTAAAGTCATAAAACGTATTTTAACATCCATCCGATAATCAATCTAACACGTCATAACTTTGACATTCGTGGACGGTCTTAACTTTAATTTAAAAACCAATTGAATTAATAAAGAGCTCTATTTCTTCAACATAGGGTTAAAATTTCCTTGCAAATAATTGAAACGCAAAAAACTTTTTGATAAGACAACAAACCAAATGAATCAATATAAACATGTTAATTTAACAAAACTCGGCGTTTTCGTAAACGTACATGAACAAATCGATGCCCCAGTAAAATTATAAACCATGTTTATTTGTAATACATCTATGTACTGGTAATTATTTATTTTAATACAAGAGACTTCTCGCGGGATGTTTTGTTTTGGGACAGTAGAGTCTCAACTCTACTGTTAGTGTTTGCGTTGCCGGTTGTCGTGACGGTTCGGATATACTTATGGCAGCTGGTTCTGGTTTAAGTAATCATCGTGGAACTCCAGAAGTCAATGTAGCATTCTGAAGGTGAAATAATGTTTGAAGTCGGTTCTGTAGATTTTGGGTTTCTTAAAAACATACAAATCTTTCCTCTTTATGATATTGGTAAAGTATTACAATCTCAGCAATACATGCAAGAACTCCAGTGGCGCTACAACTTGTTAGGTCTGGGACTCAGGTATCAGTTTCTGTTTTTTTGTAATAGGAAGTCATCTCCTACCGTGCCTGTCACACTGCCGACTTTTTCGGTCTGTGGCATACTGGTTTCCTCACGATATTTTCCTTCACCGTAGTCCACAATCAGCTGGGGTTCGAACCTACGACCTTAGGGATGAGTCGACCCTAAAGTCAGGTAAACAGTGTACACAGCTATTCCTTATAAAAATATTATTCGCAAAAGCTTTTTTGTCTGTCTTTTGATTAGAATTAAGTAAAATTACAAGAAATATTTAACTCAATTTAATTGTATGTAAACACCATCTAAAGTGTCAAGAATTTTGATCGCACAGCATTAATCTGATCACAATC